AAAAGCTTCTGTGTGTAAAGCTTCTCTGTGTAAAGGCTTCTGTGTAAGGGCTTCTCTGTGTGAAACCTTGCTGTGTGTAAAAGCTTCTCTGTGTAAAGTTAGGCTTCTCGATGTAAAAGTTTCATAAAGTTTCTGTGTGTAAAAGCGTGCTGTGTGTAAAATCTTCGCTGTGTCAAGGCTTCTCTGTGTAAAAGCTTCTGTGTGCAAAAGCTTCTGCATGCATAAGTTTGCTGTGTGTAAAAGCTTGCTCTATGTAAAAGCTTGTTGTGAGTAAAAGCTTCCGTGTCTCTGTGTACAAGCTTCCCTGTCTCTGTGTTGAAGCTTGCGTGTCTCTGTGTATAAGCTTTTGTGTGTACAAGCTCTTGCTGTGTGTAAAGGTTCTCTGTGTCAAATCTTCTCTGTGGAAAGCGTAGGGGTCGCTTGCTTTGGCACCGAGATCCTTGTTTTGGGCAAGTTTTGGGCCAGAGAAGGGCTGAGATGATTTGAGAGTGCGCTGAGAAGAGCTGAGAAGAGCTGAGATGAGGTGAGACGAGCTGACAAGAGGTGAGATCAGTTGAGGAGATGTGAGAAGAGCTCAGAAGATGTGAGAAGAGGAGAGAGATGGTGAGAAGACAAAAGACGAGCTGACATGAGCTGCGGAGAGCTTAGCAGAGTTGAGGGCTGTTAAAATTTGAGAAAAGCTGTGAGAAGATGAGAAGAGATGAGAAAGGCTCAGGTGACATGAGATGAGAAGCGGACAGCTGTGACCAGCTGAGAAGAGCTGAGCAAGGGAGAGAAGACGTGAGATGGGATGAGATGAGATGAGGTGAAAAAAGTTGAGAAGACGTGAGATGAGATGAGATGAGATGGGATGACAAAGACTGCGGTGACAATGGGATGCAATGAACAATTTCCAAGAGAAGCTGCGATGCGATGAGGTCAGGTGAGATGAGAAAAGATACAACATTCAAAAGACATGGCATCAGATTGACAAGTCAAGAGCTTGTTGCTGCGAAGCACAGACGGCTTGGCCGTCACCTGTAGGCAGAGTCTTTGCCCCGCTCTATAGGCTATAAGCGTTTCAATGTTGAAACTTCCGCCCACGGCTTGCCCGGGAACTACTTGTATGTGCGTATCCGAGTATATATGTTGATATCTTTGGTCTGAATTCATCCTAAACCACCAGGTTGGCCGGAGGAGGCACATACAGTATATAGATGTACTGATAACTTGTGAATGCGGATTCAGATGACTTTATCTGGCCCTCGTGATGGACTATGGATGATTAACAGATCCTTATGATATAACTTATGATAACGAACCATGCAAGATCAATACCAGCAGACAACCTAGCCACTGCTAGCACGCTCGATGATTAAACAACTTTGAGCCATATCTAGAGCTAAAGATACTTGGGTTTAGCTAAACAATGGCGTCCCCATGGGACCACAGAAATGGTTTGCTCCAGCCATGTTTCTCTTGATTAAGACCAAGACTTTTGAGCCATACCAGTTGTGCTGGCAAAAGCTGAGCCATCGAGGCCCCAACTTCCTCAAGGATTTCCAACAGCAGGCCTGGGGATCCCGGGCCCGTTACCACAGAAATGCTGTGTTAAAAAACATGGTTCAATCGGATCACCTGTATATAAACTAGGCTAAATTGTGAAAAAAATAGGGACAAGGCTTAGAGAGTCATACGCATATGTTTTATAATCATACACACACATTTAATCTCACACACACACACATATATTTATATGGGTTGGCGCAAAAAGGGCGGTTAGGGTTTTAGTCTTCAGGAGGTCGAAATTGTTTTTTTGTTTTGTTTTTTTAGTCTATCGTACAAGGCGGGCCCCAGCCTGAATGACGTTATTCACCAGTTTAGTACAAGTTTAGTACTACTAGTACAACTAGTACAAATAGTACTGCTAGTACTAGTAGTACTAGTACTTCTACTACTAGTACTACTAGTACTACAATTACTACTCGTACTATTCGTACTACTTTTACTACTAGTACTACTCGTACTACTCGTACTACTTTTACTACTAGTACTGCTAGTACTACTAGTACTACTACTTTTACTAGTACTACTAGTACTACTAGTACTACTAGTACTACTAGTACTACTAGTACTACTAGTACTGCTAGTACTGTACTACTACTAGTACTACTAGTACTACTAGTACTACTAGTACTACTAGTACTACTAGTACTACTAGTACGACTAGGACTACTAGCACTACTAGCACTACTACTTCTACTAGTACTATTACTTCTACTAGTACTATTACTTCTACTAGTACTACTAGTACTACTACTTTTACTTCTACTAGTACTACTAGTACTACTAGAACCATGCCAATAATTGACATGGCCGCGCGGATTGCGCGGATGTTATAAGGTCAGAAGGACATTCTAGTTAGCTTGGAGGAGCGCAGGTGACTACTACTACTACTACTACTAGTACTAGTACTACCACTACCACTACCACTACCACTACTACTACTACTACTACTACTAGTGCTACTGCTACTACTACTACTACTACTATTACTACTACTACTACTACTAGTACTAGTACTAGTAATAGTACTAGTACTAGTAGCACTAGTACTAGTATTTCGGGTACTAGTAATGATATTACTTCGACGATCACTAAAATTGCTCCTAGTTTGATTGCCCGTGCTGATTTTTTTGAAGTTGAAGAAGGCTCCGGGAAAGGTCACAAACAGGTCAGAAACAGGTCAGAAACACCGAAAAGGCAGCACTTGCCTAGCATCCATCCATCCATCCACCTCATCTCTTATCATTGCTATTTCTACTTCTACTATTACTGTTACTACTACTACTACTACAACTACTACTACAACAACAACTACTACTACTACTCCTCCTCCGACATCTGCTACTGCTGCTACTGCTGCTACTACTACAACTACAACAACAATAACAATAACAAGAACAACAACAACAACAACAACAACTACTACTACTACTACAACTACTACTACTACTACTATTACTACTACTACTACTACTGCTACTACTGCTACTACTAGTACTAGTACTAGTACTAGTACTAGTAGCACTAGTGCTAGTATTTTGAGTACTAGTAATCATTTTACTTTGACTATTACTAACAGTGTTTCTCGTTTGGCTGCCCGTGCATATTTTTTGAAGTTGAAGAAGACTCCGGGAAAGGTCAGAAACAGGTCAGAAACAGGTCAGAAACACCAAAAAGGCAGCACTTGCCTAGCATCCATCCATCCATCCACCTCATCTCTTATCATTGCTACTTCTACTTCTACTATTACTATTACTACTAACCTGAATGTCCTTCTGACCTGAATTCGCGCGGCCATGTCAATTATTGGCATGGTTCTGGTCTCACTCGTAAACGAATATAATATATTTATCTATATTGTAAATCTGATCAAGTCCGTGTCTTATCTTCAAGAGGATGCTTGCAAAAAAAACGAATGTAAATGGTTGGATGCTAGGCAAGTGCTGCCTTTTTGGTGTTTCTGACCTGTTTCTGACCTTTTCCGGAGTCTTCTTCAACTTCAAAAAAATAAGCACGGGCAGCCAAACGAGAAACACTGTTAGTAATAGTCAAAGTAAAATGATTACTAGTATTCGAAAAACTAGTACTAGTGCTACTAGTACTAGTACTAGTAGTAGTAGTAGTAGTAGTTGTTGTTGTTGTAGTTGTTGTTGTTGTTGTTCTTGTTCTTATTGTTGTTGTAGTTGTAGTTGTAGTAGTAGCAGCAGCAGCAGTAGGAGTAGTAGTAGTAGTAGTAATAGTAGTAGAGTAGTAGTAGTAGTAATAGTAGTAGTAGTAGTGGTAGTAGTGGTAGTAGTAGTAGTAGTAAGTGTAGTAGTAGTAGTAGTAGTAGTAGTAGTAGTAGTTGTAGTAGTAATAGTAGTAGTAGTAGTAGTAGTAGTGGTAGTACCTGTTGTTGTTGTTGTAGTTGTAGTTGTAGTTGTAGCAGCAGTAGCAGCAGTAGCAGCAGTAGCAGCAGTAGCAGCAGTCGGAGTAGTAGTAGTAGTAGTAGTAGGAGTAGGAGTAGGAGTAGTAGTAGTAGTCGTAGTCGTAGTCGTAGTAGTAGTAGTAGTCGTAGTAGCAGTAGTAGTAGTAGTAGAAGTAGCAATAGTAGCAATAGTAGCAATAGTAGCAATAGTAGCAATAGTAGCAATAGTAGCAATAGTAGCAATAGTAGCAATAGAAATAGTAGAAGTAGAAGTAGCAATGATAAGAGATGGATGCTAGGCAAGTGCTGCCTTTTTGGTGTTTCTGACCTGTTTCTGACCTTTCCTTCTTCAACTTCAAAAAATATGCACGGGCAGCCAAACGAGAAACACTGTTAGTAATAGTCAAAGTAAAATGATTACTAGTACTCAAAATACTAGCACTAGTGCTACTAGTACTAGTACTAGTACTAGTACTAGTACTAGCAGTAGTAGTAGTAGTTGTAGTAGTAGTAGTAGTAGGAGTAGAAGTAGCAATGATAAGAGATGAGGTGGATGGATGGATGGATGCTAGGCAAGTGCTGCCTTTTCGGTGTTTCTGACCTGTTTCTGACCTTTCCCGGAGTCTTCTTCAACTTCAAAAAATAAGCACTGGCAGTCAAACTAGGAACAATTTTAGGGAAAAGGCTGAGGCTATTAAGCCACCTTGATTTTTTTTAAAAAGAGGACATGTGAGAAATGAATTCGCCAAAAGGCGGGCCCCAGGCAGAACGCGAATTTCGACCGCTTTCGGGAACCAACATTTTGCAAACACCCATATATATATATATATATATATATACGTATATATAATTATATATATTATTATATATATTATATATATACATATATATATATATATATATTTATTTATTTATATTAGTATACATACCTTGCACACACACATATTATACTAATTATGTTATACGATGATAATACATATTTACATATACGGACAACGCACATGCATGCATGCTCCGAAAGACAGGAGTTTTCACACTTTTCGCCTGAATGGCTGGCCAGGTTTCTGCCGCACTGATTCAGGAAGGTGCAGAGGCTGGTACAGGCACGCCAAGATTGATTTGGGTTTGTCCAAGAATTGGCAGCACTCCACGCTGCCCTGTTTTATACAATTAGGGTCACCGCAAGATTTGAGGACATTTTTTTCAATCAAACCCTTTCTGTTTATTTGGTTTGATGGTTTGAACAAATTTTAATATTTTTGATTTGTTTGTTCGAGTATGTGTTTTATTGTTTTTCATCACTACGTGGCATGATGATCCCCGCTGACATCCACTGCTGATATATTTCTTCGGTTTGATACACTTGCCCAGCAATGCAGTTGTATTCCTGCTTTCTGTTTTGTCACAACGGCACTCAGAATTTGGTTTGGAATCCATGGACAGACTTCCGTGCAGATCTTGGAGCCAGTTGTCAGGAAATTTTCATCAGATTGCAGCTTTTGACATTCCGGTTCTTGAAGAGAAGAGCAGCTTGGATGTGGAGGCACGTTTGATGAGACAGCTGTCGGTTTGTCACTTGTGTAAGCCTCGGACTCTCTGACACAACATGAACAGACTTGTTTCAAATGTTGTAGGTTTGAAAGGGCCAGAGCCATTGTTTGCTGTTTGCATCCTTTTTTTTGCAGTCCATCCATCAATTGATACTAGTAGCGAGGAAGCGCTTCTCCAGTGTTTTAAAGATGCTGCGCCATCCCCTCCACTTGTTGAAGCCTCGTGTTGCGGGATGCTGCCAAAAGGGTCGATTTCTTTGGTGGCATAACGTCATCTAATGTCAGTTAGTGAACAGTCCGGGCTACACAATGCCAAGTTCAACCTCATTTCTCACTATTTTGCTCCACGGCCTAAGTATAGAGCTTTCGGGAGTAATGTAGCATCAAGGCCTTGTAACATGTTCTCCGCATTTCCTGGCTACCGTTCAACAGGAATTTCAAAGCGCGGGCTTTGGTACGTTATGTGCTTCAAACAGGCACTGCTGCGTGGGGGCATTTAGCATGGGTGTGATTTTCGGGTGTCCAGATGGCTTTGGATTTGCTTGCCTTTGACTGACTTCATGTCTTAAGCACGCCTGAATCCTAGAACCAAGGGGTTTTGGACCTTTCTTTGGCGATTCCAACGAGTCATGCATAGTTTGCTTTGGTGCTTTAGTGTGCCTTAGCTTTTCTGCAGATGCGGTCCCCTGCGGCGTGTGCCTCCCCAGCCAGGATACAGACCTTATAGATCCTTACAGCAACTATCTGCCAAAATTATCAGCCTTCAATTTCATTTACACAGTGTCATAGCATCGCGTGAGCAATGCAGGGGAAAGACGCTGCAGCCTGGAGATGTTGAAGTTTGAGCCTAAGCTGTTCGCAACAACAAACGGTTGGCATTTGGTGACGCGCTGGGCAATGCTGGGCAAACGATGTCAGGATGATCATAGAGAAACAGTTTCAAGTTTAAAGGTGAACGCCATCTTTCCTCCTGAGGTTTTCATTCATCCCAGTCCTTGCAGATCATTATATCATATTCATTAGGTTTCGCTGTCCCACAATGTCCTAAACAGAACAGGCTACGGCTATGGTCGATAAATATGGCATGATATGGCATGAGATTACGCAAGAAAAAAGGCAGCTTGACAGGGGCAGGGTGCGGCAAAGCTAGGGGCCCCGCAAATCGAAAAGGACCGAACCAGATTGAACCATAGTATCGCGACTCTTTGCACGTATCGAACTGCTAGCATATATTCCTTGTGTGTGTTTTCGAAATATACGTTCATCAGAAGTTCATCGTTCAAACATGTACCTTTGAATGGCGTTTACTGATGTTTACTGTGTATCCCCAAGGGTTCCGGGGTGCCCTCATCATTCTTCATCCGAGCCCGCAGCGCCCCACGTCACTTCAGGCAAAGGAAGTGGTATCGTTGAGAGCATGCGCGCGAGCATGTAAGGCTACGGCAGGTGCCATCGGATGCCATCGGAGGGTCCCGAAAATCCCAGGAACCTTAGTGCAACAAGAGCAAAGGCATGCAAAGGCATGCAAAGGTAGCAAAGGTAATAGCTTTAATAGCAGTATCTAGCACCCAAAGATGCATGTACACCATGTAATAGCGATATCACAACATATCATGGCGTATCATGTCATATAATCGCTAGCGCTCATCATTGCGACACCATCATTATAGCCGTACTAGAGTTTGGTTGATCAACATTGACATGTTTGCCAACAGAACTGACACAATTCGACATAGCAGCCTCTGTGTGGCACGTTTTGTTTGGGAGCAGGTTGTGCAGGCTTCCAGTTTGGCCATGCGCACAACACCTGCCAACTGTGGAAGACCGGCATTTGCAGAAGTGAGGCAGGGAGCAGAAATTCATAGTTAGAGTATTCCCAAGTTTCAAGCCTGAAAGCTGTATTGAACATGATGAGAAATGGTATGCGAATGATCCAGGATGCTTCAGCACATGCATTGGATGCGCTATGTGACGCTGCCGTTTATCCAGGATCAGCATAGCTGTTCAGCAGTGGTTGTGCTCGACCTGCCATGGGCGTCTAGACCGTGAACCCACATCGATCTGGAGTGGTGACCCGCCTTGAGAGTGAAACTAACACTTGGGCGAGTCGAAAGCACCAAGTCTATCAAGTTGATCAGCAGGATTGCTCAGACCAACGAAGTCTGGATCCCAAGTTGCTGCATTGTACATTAGTTTTGTTTGCTGAAACTGCGAGCTGGCGACCACCACTTCTAGCTGTGTCGAACGCATGCTTTTTCTGGCCAAGAGGCGTCACGGCAGTGCCTGGGAGGATCCAGCCCCGCTACCGAAACGTCGTGCGCCAGTTCGGGACGCGGCACCCTGGAGCCTGTGGAACTATGGCTGGGGCTGGCCAGGGGCCTGGGACTGGCCAGGCTGGGAAGCTGCAGAAGCTGCGGAAAAGCCAAAGAAAATTCGAAAAAACACGGTGAAAGACAATGAGAGCACTGAGACTGGCAAGACATCAAGGAACTCCAGCCAACCAGTTGCGCAATCAGCTTTGCCCACGCCTGCCATACCTGCCGGGACCACCCTGCCTCCGACCCAGAGATTCTCTGGCGTAGTCAACGCCGTTGAGCCCAAGAGTGGGAATTTGTTAATTGACTGCGCAGCGATTACCCAAGTCTTCGGGCGCCCACCCCTAATTCGACCAAGCGAAAATCGTATGAATGCCAGAGTGGGCTCAATGGTGGTGTTTGGGCTGCAGCCAGGTGATATACCTGTGGCCACTGACATTGTCATCAATGGCTTTGATTCAGACATTGGCTTGCGTGATGATCCCGTACGGGATGACAATTGTGGTGAGGTGGCTGGCCTTCTGCCCGGCCAAAGACCAGTGTACGGCACGTGGAAAGGGAAAAAAGGCGGTGAGAAAAGTTTCGGAAAAGACAAGGGCAAAGAATGCAAAGGCAAGGATGGCAAGGGCAAGAATGATATGCCGAGTCTGACTGGTAAGGCCTATGCAAAAGGATCCTTCAACGACTCCCTTTGGGGACCCAAAGGCAGAGGAAAAGCCTCAGCTCGCGGCTCCAACGATTCCATTGTCCATCCGTGGTCGACCTGAGTGCAGCTCTTTTGGGGCAAAAGAAATGATGCTGCTGCTTACATTTGTGGCATCCCGAATCCATCAGAATTCTATATTGTACATGTGTAGAAGTATCATGTGTATAGATTATAGTTAATATATGTTATAATAATATAATTATATATTATATTATATATTATATTATATACACGTGAATAGATATATATATATATTGTATATATAATATGTGTGTGTGTTAATATATTTAGTAGCTCTATATATGCAGAAGTATTTGTAGAATTGTTCCCAACTAATTAATTGGTTGCCGCCGCATGGCACAAGCAATCAAATTGTGTCAAATTGTGAAGTACTGGCCTGAGTTCTTTTGGACAGGCGTGCTGGTGAATTCCCATCATGCTGCCACGGAACAATTAGCATCAATTAGCCAAATTATCCGAATACAAAAGCATCAAAAGATATCAAAGGCAAACATTTGCTCCGTTTTCTGACGGTTTTCTGGAGGTTTTCAGAATGTTTCAGATGTTTCTCTTGGTCTTGGCAAAGCGTCAGGAATCCGTCGGTCCCGAGAAGATGGAGTGCTTCCGGAAATGCGCCTGATAGATCCTGATACGACTGATTCGAGGCGAAGCCTCTTTTCATAGCGGTGTGTTTAAGGAGGAAGTTTCACCACTGCCAGAAATGCTGAATCTGTAGCAAGATCATCCCAAAAGCTCCCAGAAGTCGTTTTACGTGTTTCTACATTTTTTACAACAGTATCAACAGTTATACTTTGTTAATGTTCCGTGAGCTCAACCAAATACGTAGCTGGATGCGTTCAGCTCACAAATTCCGCTTCGCACGTCCTGGTCAAAGTGCATCAAGGTGGAAGTTTCAATGGATTCTTGTGCGGGACACACTTCATATTCGCAACTCTGGCCAAGTACACTGGAGAAGCAGCAGCACGATCTGAATGCGGTTAGGTCCGAAATCCTTGTTCAGATCCGGCCAGCGATCAGTTTTCACTCATGCAGCATGCTCTTTGATTGCTATGATGATGACATTATGATACTTATTGAATCTTATTGATACTTTATGTTTGGACGGCACAGATTGTGAGAAAACGGGAGGCCAATGAGCTCCCCCTAGGTCTTCGCGTTAATGCGCTGGAGCCTGGAGCCGTCGGGAAAGGTCAGGAAAACGAATGGTGCAGTTCTGGCCAGTCCAGGGATGTCCAGGGTCTTTTGATACGTGCCTTCAACATAGACTCAGTATGACTCAGTAGAATTTTGGCAGACGAGCGTAGACATGTCTGATGGAAAAGAAGCCAGATTAATTTAATTAGCAAGAGAGGTGGTCAGAGAATTTAGGGAGCCTTGGCACAAAGGCAGCATTGCTGTATGTGCTTCTTAAGCTTCGAGATTGCATGTGGTGTAGTTTGCAAATGTTTGCAACTCCCTGGAGTGACAAAACACATGAAACTATGCATACTATGCGCGATGAGGACAAAAGGATGCGCAAAGCATCAGCATCGCCTCTGGTGGAGAAGGGCTTCGACATGGCCAATCATGGCCAGCAAATTTGGCGTGAGACGGCCAGTTGAAAAGAGCTCGAACAGGCTAGCGGCTAGCGGCGATTGACCTTCTGAAATGCATTCTGATAAAACACTGCTTCACAGAAATGAGCACGGAGTGGATTCAAGTCCTGGTATTAACATCTATCAACATCTAGACATTATTAACCACGAATCAATACTACTTGCAAAGTCTCAAGAATTTAGAGCTTCAATTTGGAAAGCAGCGATTTGGCAGGAATGTAGCAATGTAGAATTTCCAGCAGTGGCATCATGTCTAGGCAGACATCCGGTTCATCATTTCAAGCGTTGACTTCCAAATTCTGGCTCCAATAGCTAGAAATTATAGGTCGGCATTGCGGTTTAGGTGCTGCACACTGCAAAGATTGGCCTTACCTTTGCAGTTGGGCGCTTAGATGTCAGAGGAAAGCAATGTGCTTCTCTCATTTGCACCAAGAACACCCGAATTGCCAATCGAGTCACGTATGCTGTATGCTCCAGCGAAAATAAATCCGGACTGTTTGCTCACATCCAAGATTTGCAGAACAACACCAATTAGGCATTGTGACAAAGATGGAGTTCAGCATCTCATTCTGCCTTTGTTTGTCCTTCCAGCAACTGCTTGGTCATTGCGTCACTGCAGGTCGAAGCTGCTGTGTAGCTGGCGATGGCTGTAGCGGCTGGGTGCCTCAGGTTTCCTCAGGTGATGGATTGGTAGGCAGTGTGTCGGCGTCGGGTCTCCTGGGTGTTGAATGGTTCAAGAGGCATTTGTGGTGTGGTATGGTGTCGTGCAGCAGCCCAATGGAGACAGGGGGAGGGAATTGTAATATTGTACATGGCCAAGTTCCTTAAAGGTGATGAAACATCCCATCATTTTTATTGAAAAGACCAATGTCAAACTGTCAGTTTATTTTTAAACTGACTCAACATGTTCAAGAAAAGGATTGTCACGTCACGCTAACTCTCCCATTTCCATCCCCATTGAAATTTCCAAGTGACCCCAATTTTACTTGGTTTTTGTATTTTCTAGGCTTTTGACTGGGTCAGAACTTTTCTATCTAGAAAATGGGGGTCACTTGAGTGACCCCCTACAATGTCAATAGGGATCCATTTCCGTTGATCTCAATGATTCAAAACCCGCACAGGATGTGGCAGCCGATGCAGGGAAGCCTGCTGATGGTGGTGATCCGGGTGCTCATGGCTTCAGAATACATGCACTGTTATGAGAGAGAGAGAGAGAGAGACAGTGCTGCGGGCAATTGAACCATTGAACAGATGGAGACAGGAATGTCCATGCATGTCCATGCATAGCCAACACGTGGCCAGGCCATTCGTTTCCTGTGATTACAATGTGTACTTGTTCAAGTGCTAGTGCTGTCCAGGCCATACTAAGATATACTAAGCCTGAAACCAACCATTGATGTAGAACTTGCAACTGCAAACTTAGACGAGATTGATTGATTGTAACTGTTACAAATGATGTGAGGTCATTGCCTGTATGCTGCATGCTAGTAGAACTAGTTGCGTTATTCGCCAATATTGCGGCACACCTGGTTTGATAGTGGAGAGGTTGGACCACTTTCCTGTGACGACATGCCGACATACCTGAATGATGAAACCCTTCCCGTAACCCATGATACACTGGCCTGTAAGTGTCAATGTCCAAATATGTCCAACTTCCGTTTAATGCTTCTAACACTTGCTCATTTTGTGCTGCTTAGATGCTAGGCTGTTTTTGGAGATTTTGCCAGGACGCTGGGCAAGTGAAACATGTTGTGTTTGCAGCACATGCTTCGCATTGCTTCGCTCAGAATGAATCGGATCAAATCTCTCCCCCGAATGGGGGCTTTGCAATGGCGGACAACTGCAGCCACAAAAGTGTGATTTGCAGGCTTGGCATATTTTGGCGTTATAGGATGTTATAGGATGTGGATGACGCTGGGGATGACTACATTTCCCTGTGAACGTTCCATGTTTCAAGGTTGTTCACGTTTTGCACCTCAATGGGCCGCTTTTTGTCAACTTTGGCTCCCATCTTTGTGTTGAGCATTTGTCTGTGGAGTGTTCCCAGTGGCATTGCGCGCCAATCTTTTTAAGCCTTCATCATGACATCAAGACCTGTTTGAGACTTGAGGACAACTTAATTATATAGTTGAGCGTTCCTTTCCTTTGCTGCCCCTGCAGGTTGTATTGCTACGGTTTCACTTTCAATGGACGGGGCAGAGTTAAAGGCTGAAGAAAAAGCAGATGGCGGCGCCAACGGCGACAGATTTCGTCAGGGCAGAAGGCGCGGGCAGCTATCAAATGGGCGTGTGACAAAGGCAGCATTTAGTTATTCATAATGCCCTCATTGCAACGTATGTTGCCAGGCGGATTGAATTTGGCGGGTTGGCAAAGCGGCAAATCTTTCCTAGCAACTATGTCCTGGACTCAGTCAGATCCCCTATATTTGCCTCTGAGGTTGCTTTACAGCAAGGTCTCAGGGCTCAGCAAAAGATGCAGATGCCGTATTGAATTTGATGATTTTTATGTTGATTACTTAGGTTAGGCGCCATTGTCATTGACAACTATATTAAATTATTAATATATATATATAATATGTATATCAGAACTTAGTTTTGTTTTGTAGGCGAGAAGTGTTGGAAGCCGATGCAGACCAGAGCGTACCATGATGGGCCAAGGTGTCTACCACTCGCTATAAGTGGTGGACCATCATACCTCTGAATTTGTTCCTTGGAGTTTGGAAGATCATGACCGTTGTGAGCAGTGAGAGCAGCCCTGATACTGGTACAGGTTGGCAAACTTTGCCCATGGATTGTGATTGGTGTAATTGACATTGATTGACCCGAGTGCTTTTGATTGGAGCAGGAAGTAGCGTATGCCTGCTACAGTGGTTTGGAGGGTTACGGCTTAGGAGGGTTGAAAACAACACAACACTCATTGATGCCGCCATCCAGTGGTTCAAGAAGGAAAATTTGAGACCAGTCTGCAGCTTGAGAGGTTCGAGCAGTTCCACCGGGTGGCGAACATTTGGTTCTTGATTGTCTCGGTGCTGCAGATGTTGCCCTTCAAGCGCCTTGGTTTAGCAACACTTCGGGCAGGGGCCTCGTTCAGACCCAAGCCGGAAGGTGTTGCATTTGAACGGATAGAACGACTAAGTTGGTGTCCATAAAGTTTAAAGCAGTTTGCTCAAGGCATGAGATACATTGAGATACTGCATATGCAGAGATGTTACCGGAATGACGGCATCATTTTGTATCAATGTTTGACTTTCTTTGATCTGATTTTCCAATTGATTGGCGGTCGGATTCTGTGGACTAGGTGGCCACAAGGTTCACAGTCCAGCCATGTCCAGCCTGTATGGTTTGCTCATGTTTGCTCAAGGATCTCTCCAACGACATCTTGGGCCACTCTGGTACCTTTGTGTGGTGTGCTGTTCGTGACCTTCTGCAAGGATGCTTATGAGGACTTCCCAAAGGGGCCCGTAGTTAGTGACCTCAATCTTGACCTAAAATGATATATATATATACTGTATATATATATATGTGTGTGTGTGTAAATTTATGTATATATATATACTAAGGCACTAGCAGATAGAATATTATCCAGTGTTCAGAGATCGAAAAATTTGCGGGTGAAACCTGGTTTCCCGGTGAGAATATTCTATCTGTTTAAGATGAGTAGCAAAAAGTTGATTTCGCGTATATATATATATATACGAAATCGTTGATATTGTGAACTTATAAATTATGGAAATATATCTCTGAACTATTCTATCTGTTGGATCCGTGTATATATATATATACATGGTTTTCTGCATTTTCAATGGTATATTTTATTCGATGAAGAATGAATTTCAACAAAATCAACAACTTCATATCAATATATTCATCAAAGAAGGAATCATCACTGGTATCATTGGTCTGTTGGAATATTCTATCTGTTGGTTTCATGTATATATATATAGGTTTTCTGCACCCTCCATGGATTACTGACTACTGTATCCAACAAAGAATGAACTTTTAACGTTTCAATTAATGAATTTGGGTGATCTCGTTGAACTTCATATTTTATCTATGAAACCACATAAGAATTGTTTCATCAAAAAGTGAATATCACTGGAATATTCTATCTGTTGGTTCATGTATATATATATATAGGTTTTCTGCATCCTCCATGGATTACTGATTATTGTACCCAACAAAGAATGATTTTTTAACGTTTCAATTAGTGAATTTGGGTGATCTCGTTGAACTTCATATTTTATCTATGAAACCACATAAGAATTGTTTCATCAAAAAGTGAATATCACTGGTATCATTGGTCTGTTGGAATATTCTATCTGTTGGTTTAATGTATATATATATGTGTGTTTTGAACCTATGGGATAATGTTGTGTTCTATGCATGTCATTGTGGATCACAGCATGCACGGTGAGCGCAGTTCCAGCAACTTTGCAAATTTCAACGGTATAAATAGAAACATTCAGTTGCGTTTCTGCATTGAACACCAAACCAAAGTTACATATATATAGGAATACTAGATTCGATTGGTGCTGTTTCTGTGGGAGATGTTGAAGGTATGGTTTTGGAAGAATTCCAAAATATAATGTTATCTGTATATATATTTGTAGATTTTTTCTTTTTAAACGGTCTTCAAAAATCAACAGATAGAATATTCAGACTGGAATGCCAGCTTTGCTGGCTGCCAGTGGTCACATTCTATAAATATCATATATTAGGAAAACATTGGCACAAGCCTTAGCAAGAATACAGTTTTCATGTGTTTGGATGTGCAATTAGTAGAAACCACATGCAATGTTTTCCTAATCATCCCATAGCTATTCAATCATCTGAGGGATACACTATTGTGGAAAACATTGACATCAAATGCAACATTTTCCCGGCAATCCCATAGATAGTCAATGATTTCAAAAATATAACATCATGGAAAACGCTGAAACCAAATGCATCATTTTTCTCAGCAATCCCATAGAGAATCAATGATTTAAGGTATGGAAAACATTGAAACACAAATGCAATATTATCTCATTAATCCCATAGAGAATCAATGATTTTAGGGATACATCATTTTTGCAGGTGAGAATATTCTATCTCTTGATTTGCTTGCAAAAATCATCAAAATCATATAGTTTCTTTAATGTTTTGCTTATCATGAATATTCTATCCGTTGGATTTGCTGATAGCGTTTTGGACTATTCTATCTGTTGTCCAGTGTTTTTTGAATATTCTATCTGCTGGTGACTTAGTATATATTATATATATAAATGGATGTAAATGGCAGATGCTTGTCTTATGTGTTGACTCGATCCATGCAGATGCTGGTTTTCAATCTCCGTGCTGGGCCACACTCCACACAGGACTTGAAACGTTGGCGTGACGACTGTCGAGCAACCTGGCACGGCAAGTAGTGAGAAGCACTCAAGAAGTCATTCAGGTATCGATGGTACTCGTATCAAGAACATTGGCCGTAGTTTTTTCACCACCTCCAGCTCGCCACTGAGGTCAACAATCAAACTTGCAAAGTCTTTACAGGGGCAGAGGGACCCAATGCTTTTCGAAGCATCAAGCACCTCGGATCTTCTTTTACTCAGCTGCCGAAACTGGTTCAAATTTTCCAATCAAGAGTGAGCACAATGTAGCTGCCTTCTGAAGGTGAAGGGTGCCACAATGCACAACATCGCTGACCCTGACCCTGTTTACGTTGGTTGTGCCATGTTTTGCCATGTGAGTGCAGGTCACACTTTAAGACTCAGGCCATGAAGACCCATTGATTTATTATGATTTTTTTTTGAAGGATCCCATTTGTGGATCCCGGAGGGCCCCAATGCCATGAAACTTGTTGCCACAACAAGATTTTTCGACGCTGGTTGAGACTGAGTCGTTCCTGAGGTGGTCAGAGGTTCAAGTTGGAAATTTTGTGAAGCTGACTCGGGACCAACCGGTGCCGGCGGATCTCCTTCTGGTTTTTTCCACCCCAGGCGGGGTGCCAATCATTAAAGCAACAGATGGTACCAGTAACTCACAAATGGAGTTATATACACAAAATCCAGTGGTCAATGATCACGTTCAGCCTTCAAATTGCTTATTCAGTGTGCTCTATTTAATTTGTAGGTTCCCGTGGGCTTAAACTACTATGTGAAAGAAAATTGTTTCAAGAGGATCGCAGGATCGCACTCTCAATCGCTTTTTCTACCGTTGATTCTCTGCAATTTCCATTTCAGAGAATCTGCATTTTTGATCATTTTTGCAGATAGGCAATCCAAAAGGCCATGGTTCGTTGACACAGAAGGATACCCAAGGTCCAAGAGGATATTGACTCAACTTGACTCAAGATGGTAGAGGTAGATAGAGGTAGCAGAGTCAGCAGAGGTAGAGATTGTTCCGCACAGTTGGCCTTCAAGGATCAAGACAAACCGATTCAAACAGAACGACCATAGAGAGTACGAGGAGATACGAGGAGATACGAGGAGATATAAGGAGCAAGAGTAGCACGTGGTGGTGAATGTTGATCATTGTTGATCATTGTTGATCCCCGTTTTGTGTTTTTTTGGGTGTGTGTTTGTGTGTATTCCCACAGTGTCAGTGTGTGTGTGTGTGTGTCTGTGTGTGTGTGTCCGTTGCCCAATCTGCGAAATACCGGAACATACCGGAACCATGAGTTTCACTACAAAGATACGCCATCAACTGATTAATTTTGGCTGGCTCCGCCGTGAGCGGAAACGCCCAACTGCTCCATGTATCATTGTATATCATTGTACATCAGCATATCGCCGCATTTATTGTGCTCACATCAGAACGATTTATTTTTCTTGGGCCCAGATTTTCTTGAACATATATATATATATAATTATATATACATCTACCATTATCTATCAATCTATTCAGCATTATTCAGCCCATGGTTTATGTTTGTTTTGGATGATGGGCCGATGGGAAATGATGAGATTTCGCCAAGATGTCGTGTGTTCCCAGGGGGTGCCGCCTTCGTGGACACAGCACAGCTGGATGGGGAATCCTCCTTGAAGCCCAAACAAGCGGTGGACGAGACGCAGCACATGATCCGCAACTCCTCTGTGCACAGCGTTGAAGGCGCGGCGGCTCTTAGTCTTACTCTTTGAAGATGTTGGAACATGTTGGAGCCATAATGGGAATTGAACATGACACATTATGATGAGGAAAGATATGGAAAACATACACGGAAACTATCGTAAGATCCCAAGTGGTCAGAAGCCACCATTGAGACCCCATTTGAGACTTGACGAATTTCATGCCGAAACTGGATACGAATGGACCATCGTGCTCAGATTGATGTTGTGGAATTTGATTTGACTGTGGAACATGTTCTTTTTTGAGGTGGAAAAATGTTGTGGAAAACATGAAGATGGATGATGTCCAATTTCCATCCTGGATTACCAGAGACCACGGGGTATTTAAAAGAACTGGGAAATGAGGACAGCGTTTCCCCTGCAGGCCATATGGAAGCAGATTTGCCGAATCAAGTAGTTGGCAAATTCGATGGCTGTATTTACTTGAAGGGCTATCCCAGAGGTGTGACTGTGGACCGGGCCTCAGTTTTTTGTTTTGAAATGTGCCTATTCATGCCTATTCACTTGGATTCATTCAATATGTTTGTATTGGATGATATTGGTGAATGTCGAAATCATTTGAGCTTTGAGGTTCATGCTGGTACTCGTATGAGTGGATGATCTCATTGGATCTCTGAGAGAGTTTGTTGAGTGCTGATTATGTCAGCAGCATATATAATCATATAATATACTGTAATTTTTGTATTATATATATATATGTATATGCTAATATATATATATACATATAATATATATTATCCATGTTTCATTTTGTTTCCTTACTCCGCGTTTCATGCAGCCTAGTACGTCCCAGCACCGCCTCTCAGAACCTGAAGCATTTCTTGCTGCGTGGCTCCACGGTTCGAAATACACATCATGTGATTGGGCTTGTGGTGCACCTTGGCATACCTTGGCCACATCGGTGCATCTCCCCTATTTCTGGACTTCATGGTAAACACATGCAAAACTGCACGTCTCGAACTGGGGGACCTATCTCAGACTTAGCCCAAAGATGCCCAAAGGATACATTGGATTTCAAACAGAAAAGAGGTATGAGAATCTTAGAGAAGTAAGATAAGTATGGATAAGTACAATAGTGTGCCCCTAGAGGCGAGATACTGCAGGCTTCGGCAGGCCATCGCTTATCCGCCCATGCGCGGGTCTTGGGGTGTAAGAAGGCAGGACATGGCAGCACACACTTCCCATAAAAACAGGAGATGTTCAAGTGTTCTTAGTAGCGAACTTGAACCAGCAGCTTCTGAAATGTGCTGAGGTACACTGGTGTAGACACGAAAGTGGTCAGGAATTCTTCGCGGTCTTTGACGTCCAAGAGATCTCAGGCCATTCCACTGCTGTTGTTTCTGGACTTCCCAGTCCATTCACAAGAATCTGACTGAATCAAAACTGCCAAGAGTGAGGATCCAAGAGATATTTCCTGTCAGTTGGGCGTGTGAAAGTGTTGAGGTAGAGCAGCTTTCCAACAAGCTCTTGGTCATTGTTTTCGTACTCCTCTTTGTCATATCCATTGCTTCGGCACCTTTGGTCGCAAATCGTATGCCGATGTGCTTGCTTATATATATATATATATCGATATATATATATTTTTTTTGGGTAGGTGCTTTCTCACATACTTGAAGTTTCGTGGTCAACTTGTGACTCAGGCAGTTGTTCGCGCATACCTCATCACCGATGAGGAGGGCTATCGAAATTTGTCCTGGGTTTGGCCATTGACGCGCGGCGACGATCTCCAGGACCAGTGAGCAGTCGACTTGTAAGGAGGTGCTTTCACATGAAACCGGCATACTGTACTGTTGCCCTTCAAACATAACGTTTTCCCTGGTTTTGGTGTGCTTAAAGTTTCATAGAAACCCGTGTTCAACTCCAGATATTGCAACTTCCAATGGTTGAACACCATTATAGAAGCACGGAAATTAAACACCTGGTCCAGACTGGTTCCAAGTGGATTGGCCACTTGAAGGACAATCCATACATGGCTATCCTGACCTTCCTGATCGGTTACAACAACTTGATTCCAATTAGCTTGTATATGACCACCGACTTGGTGCGGGCACTGCAAGCATTCATCATGGAATCGGACGAGAGCATGTATCACAAAGCCACAGAATCTGCGTGTAAAGTGCGGAGTTCTGGTCTATGTGAAGACTTGGGGCAGGTGGATTTTGTCCTTTCAGACAAGACTGGGACCCTCACACAAAATGAAATGTGTTTCAAAGCCTGCTACGTGGATGGGCAAACCTATGGCTACTGGTCAGAGACGGTGGACGACAGTCTGGAAGCAGATGATGATGCAAGCATGAGCTTGGGCTCTGGAATCATGGGTTATCCCAGCGACCGTGTTGAGAGACTTCCACCTCGGAGCGTGTGTTTGCCTCTAAGTGTCTCGGTCTTGAAGCTTGAGACACACAAAGGGTGCAACCCCGTGCGTTTCGGGGGTACCAGGTTTCCCCGTTGATGTTGACCAACTTGGCTGGGTTTGTGGCATCGGCTTTGTAGCAGTTTATCAAGAAAATGGCGGGGGTAATACTCGGGAAAGTCAGAAAAATGCAATTCCAAAATATATATTAATGTCGATCGATGTATGTAAACATTCGAGACTTTCTGTTTGTGGTAAAGGGACCTGCACAGGGGGATTCTAAAACCGAAATTTAGTGTAGCTCGGTGAAAAGAACCAATTGTACTGGGGGCAGTTGGTTAGACGAGCAAAAAGGAGAAGTAGCCTTATTTACAGTTTATGCTTTCCCTGGCAAGAAAGTCTAGTACTGCAATTGTGATTCCTACAATCCCTTCTTCTCACCTTCCCGCCCCGCTGCAAACATGTCATTCTTTCTCCTCCCCTCCTTAAGTTTCTATGAAAGCACTCTTCCTAACATTCGCTCCCATTCTCTGATGTCATTCATTAAAGTGTACGATTATTGTAATTCAGAAAATGTTCATCATAATCAATTTTATTACTACTTGTTGTCAACTTGTTGTTACTATTGTTTTTCATTATCATTATTATTATCATTATTTTTTATTACTATTTTTATGTTATTACTCTTATTCTTACTACTGCCATGTTATTTTTTATTGTTTCAATTATTATTATTTTTATGATGATCACGAAAGGTAGCCTAGGCTACCTGAGTTCTATGTACATTAGTACTAGTTCAGTACTGGGGGAGGTGGTTGGTCCATTCCTGGAAATTGACGGCTGGAAGTAAGGAATCTCCACATAAGGGCCCCCCCCACCCTTTGATTCCTCCCTGGTCCGGATTCAGCCACGCATATTGTTGGCTCCGCTGCTAGCCTCAAGTGATAAGTTTCCAGATACGGGCAAATGTATCGTCATTGCGGCTGCCAGTTGAAGCACAGTATGTTCTAGATGTGCAGTGCACAAGCAGAAAATCGCCTCGAACTCTCAGATAGCCTATTGCTTGGCCACTACTGTTGAGGGCTTCACCCAGGAGCGCCGACCCCATCTCAATGCGCAAGCATCAGCCCCTGCGAGCCCCAGTTCAAGCGTGCCCAGAGTGCTCTGAAGGTCTGCATGGGTTCAGGTTGCGCGTGCCCCGACTGAGTTGACGCGCGCGATCTTCTGCAACGACGTTCTGTCACTTTGACTAGCGCTTACTATCCGGATCGGTTGGTGCCCACACTGGCAGGCTGCGCGTTACAATCTCCTAGATATGGGTTACTGTATTGTCATTTCCTGGAAGGAAGGAAGGAAGGAAGGCAGGAAGAAAGGAAGAAAGGAAGAAAGGAAGGAAGAATGACTTGCGTGTGCAAAAGTTCTCCTATTTACTTCAACCTCTTCTGATACTCCTCAGCGCACGCGCATCCTGTTTCACCCAGCACACATGCGATTCCAATCCATGCACGTTGCGTTCTAGAGTCATCATGACAGAAGAAAGTCCATTGCAATGGCTGTTTGCACCTGCCTACTTTGATACTGTTGCCATGGCAATTTTTTTCTGCTCAATAAGAAGCAATTCGGTGCTCTACGCATATCACAGACACGCAGCTGAGCTCCATGCTCCAACTGGAATGCTTTACCACTCGATGTTCTTCACAGGTCATGGACAATGCTCATGTTAGATAAGAAAACAATAGCAGCATGTCCCTTCGCAGCGACACTTATCCCTGAGCCACAAGCCTTTTAATAGTTCCCGCGAAACAAGGGCGGTTTCGTCTCCTGCAATTCTTGATGTTGCTTTTGCTTCAGACATCCTCATGCACTTAGTCGCATGAAGGTTACATCCCTAAAGACTTATCTCTACAAGCAAAGTGCCTCAACCGAGCGTCCATCGGTTGAGGCACCTTGGCCCCTCTAATTCACGCAGTTGACCAACAAACTGACTAACATTATCTTGCTTGTGGTTCTTATTATTGACTATGGCACAGGGTGGGTGGAATTTAGATCTTGAGACAAGATGCATGCAAGAAGTTGTTGGTGCCGGGGAAGTTCGGATATTGCAACAACAAAAACGTAAGAAGTGGTGGAGAGGCCAATGGGGGAAGTCTACGTATGAAGCGAAATGGATGCAGGAAATTGAGAGGCACCTAGGGGGAACGGAAAGTTCGATATTGAAACAGGATGAGCGCAAAAAGTTGTTGAGAGATATGCCCCCACCTACCTTTCGTCCCCCCCTCTCAAGTTATGTTTATGGCTATTGTTATTGTTATTGCTACTATATATATATATGTGTGTGTGTGTAACATCTGGATAGATGTAAAACTTCCTTCTTTTTTCTTCCCTCTTCTCCCTTTTTAAATAATGCAGGGGGACACAGCATTTCACTGGGACTGTGTCCAACGAAGCTACCAGTGAAATGGGATATCCAGCTTGGCCAGCTGGACGTACCTGCATTTTTTCCGTTGCAATTTTGACTGACATGGCACGCGGCCAAGCCTAGAACCGCACAGCTGTATTTTCACTTCACGGTTGTCGCAATCTGGTACTCAATTTCTGTTATCAACATGGCGATCCTTATTTTTTGGATCTGCACGTTACAGGATTCAGTTCCTGCCGGATCATATAATGATCCATTCTTATCTAGTGTATGTAACGACGTTTAGTTAGGAAACTTCCGAGTTACGGACGCTTGTCATGGTTAGCATTCCCATCATCATGTCAACCACCCACTATCATGGGAAGTGTAACAGTTCGGACGCGTGTGAATTCACGGGTGAGAACAGTCTCGGGCGCGAAACCCTGTGTTTTTTGGGGTGGGGTCGCCAAAGTAGGATTAAAGATATAAAAAGCGTACAAAAAATCAGGGGATCGGCAGGGATCGGAGCACTTTTGGGAGATGAGGTTGGCAAAATGTGGACCAGACTGTAGCGAGAGCTCGATTTCACATAAAAATCGTAAACAAAATGGCATGCCCAGAGCACTTGGAAGATGAGGCCGTGTTGAGGCCGGGCTTCGCAAAAAAATCAAAAAACTGGCATGCTCGGAGCACTTTTGGAAGATGAAGTTGGCAAAATGCGAACGAGACTGTATGGCGAGAGTTCGGTTTCCACTTCAAATCCCAGAAAGCTGTTGGGATCTGGGAAGGGGTTTGCATAATTCATTGGTTTATTGGCTGTTTGGTTCATTGATGCAATGATTCATTGATTCCTTGATTCGTTCGTTCATCCATCCATTCATTCAGTCAGCCAGTCAGTCAGTCAGTCATTCATGTGGGTTGTTTCGTTGATTCATTGACCCAGTGGCGCACTGAATTGTTGAACCACTGGTTCATTGAATCATTGGTTCGTTGATTCATTATTTCATTGGCTCACTGAACCGTTGAACCGTTGATTCATTGCATTGCTTCATTGAATTGTTGAATCAGTGGTTCATTGGTTCATTGATTCTGTGATTCACTGATTCATTGATTTGCTGATAATTTGTGATATGATATATGCTGATTTCTTGTTTCATTGATCCACTGATTCCTGGATTAATTGAATCCTTGATTCATTCGTTCACTCGGTATCATTCAGTGAGCTGTGCATGGATTCTTTCATTTCATTGTCATCTCAACAACCACTTGCTCATTCGCTGATGCACCCCACAACTTCAACACTTCATTGCTTCTGGATCGCAAACAAAGCCTTTCCTATAGGCCATTGATTTCCTATAGCCACTTCCTATTTCGAAACTTCCGCCCCGGCACGTGCCGGGCGTTATTTGGTGTATGCATGCAATTGCATGCATGTATATATATATAATATGTTGATATACATATATATATATCTCTATCTATCTATCTATCTGTCTATCTGTCTATCTATCTATCTATCTATCTTTCCATCCCTGAAAGTCCAATGTTATAATGTTTACCTACGCATTTCACTAATGTCGAAGTTTACCTGCGCATTTGTGTAATTAATGTCGATGTTTACTCATCAATGTCGATGTTTACCCTTGAGACATGAGGTGCAAAAAAAATATCAACCTTTATTGTGCTGCTGCCAGATCTTTATCTTGGACATGCTTCATTAGTCAAATTCATGCGATATCACTTTGAATCACATTTGACACGGATTTTCCCAAAGGATTTTGTTTTGTTTTCACTCAGCGATACATATATGTTTGCATGAGAGCGGGTGTTCTGCCCTAGAGGTGCTTTAAACAAAGGCCAGTCAAGGAATTTGGATGCGGTTGGCATCCGGATGACCAGACTGGTTAAACAAACAAGAAAGAAACGCAAAAACACATTATATTCTAGGGATGGCATGGGGTTACTCTTTTCCTCGGGTAAACATCGCATTTCACCGGTGAACAGCGCATTTCACGCAAACTTCACGGGTACTTCACGCTGTTTCACGCTAAGGATTTTTGGGGGCTTCGGTGGCCAAACTGAGTTCCCGATTTCTTTGGGCATTAGTTCATATCAATCTGTGACATGAGCTTCTGGGAGGGGCAAATTTCCAAACCGTTTAAGGTCCCATGTTTTGTCCGTGAACTCTGACAGTAAAAATGCAAATAATTGCAAATATGGTTCCTTGATCTGTTTCCTGCCTGGAAATTCAATACTTGTAGGATCTTGTAGGTTTCAAATTCAGTTCCAAGCGCACCTACACGTTGGGAAATTGGAATGATGAATATATGTATGATGGTTTTACACTTCATTACGCTTCCAAGATCCATAGATTTCTTCACAGGGGTTAAATATCAACTTTGCAAATGTCGATGTGTAACCCACCCAAACATCAACATTGCCCACGTAGAAGGTAAACTTCAACATGACCGCCCAGGGTATATTATTATATAATGTATATATACATATTTTATATTATGTATATATATATATACTAAATATCTTTTTTTGTCTTATATATATACATTTGTATATTACCTATATTATTTACATAATATTTTATATATGTATATATATAATATTTTAAATATCATATATAGATATATACGTTAAGTAAATAATATATATATAATATGTTTTATTATATATTATATTTTATATATATTGTTTATATTGTATGTATTTTTTTTGTTTATATAATATATATATATAATATATAAAATATATTTTTTGTTTTTGATAGTTTATATATATCATATTATAAATTTTATTTATTATATATTTTAAATATTTTTGATATTAAAAATATTTTCAATATATTTTTTAATATGTAATATATACAGTATTATATATATTTTATATACTATGTATATTATATATATATTATATTTTTTTAACAAATTATATTTATATATTTTCTATGCTTTTTTAATTATATATATTCTATTTTATATATATATTATATTTATTTAAAATATATATATATGTATTATTATTTATTATATATTATATATTTTTATATGTTTTTATATGTATTATATATTATATATATTATATTATATATATATTATATATATTATATATTATATATATTTTATATATTATATATTGTATATTATATATTATATATATATTAAATATATTAAATATATATGTGTGTTTTATAATACATATGAAAATATTTTAAATATATAATATATATATTATATATTTTATTTTTAATATTATTTATAATATATATATATTAGATATGTTATATATATTATGTATTTTTATATTATATATTTAATATATATGTTTTTTTTTGATATATTATATTTTTTATATATCTTATACTTTATCTTTTTATATAAAATATATATTTGATTCAATATAATATGTATAATATTTATAATATATATACTTTATTTATATATTATATATATATATTATATATTATATATATATTAAATATATATTATATATATTATATATTTTATATACATATTATAATTATATATATATTATATATATTTTATATTTATATTTTATATATATATTATATATATTTGATTTATTATATATATATATTATATTTTATTTTATTTATATATTAGTGTATTATTCTATTTATTATATTTTGTGTATTTTCTATATTTTTTTTATGTATTAAATAATTTATATATATATATTATATTTTGAATATATTTGAAATGTTTTTTATTATATATATTTTGGTTATTTTTTAAATATTTTATATTTTATACATTATATAGTTTTTATTTTCACGGTATAATATATATATATATATATATTGTATATGTTTTATATTTTTTTATATTGCATATTATATTTGTTATCTAATTTATATATATGTATTATTTTAAATATATTAGATATATTTTTTATATATTATAATATATATATATTAGTTTGTATATATATATATATGATATTTTTATATATTATATATTTTTTGTTTTTTATACTGTATATTATGTATTTATATATTTTATTCTTATTAATAGTAATATTTTTTTTATATTACATATTATATATGTTATATAAATTATTCATATATATATATATATGATCTTTACTGTTTAAAGGCCATTTGTTATGACCTGACCTGGACGTCGATGGATGGCAACAACCCCGCCCTTCGGTCGCACGTTTCGCATTTCCAAGGTCAACAGCTCTGGACTGCGCCTGTGGACCCGGAGCCTGCAGAGAAAAGTTTGATTTTGCAGAATTTTTTCCTGTCCCTCGGCCAGGGTTTCAAGTCACATCCACAGTATTTGGAAATTTCGGCCAAAGATTTGGTCTCTTTAACTACTTTGACCTTTGACATCCTTTGACTATTTTTTGGCACCCCTTGAAACCACTGCCCGCCTGATCGGTTCTACGAAGTGCAGCGCTGCATGTGAGTTAAGTTGATTGGCTTCCCGATGACCAAAAAAAATGTGCACAGAACATTTTTCTGCAATAGTGTCTAGGAATGATTTTTTTGCGGAGACCAAAGCTGCAGCAACAAGGTGTTTGGCCACTTGTCACACAGCCATGCCAGAGAGACAAGGAGCTGTCACACCAACCAATACCAAGAGGAGCGTTGTGGGTGGCCGTTTTTTCATCAAAACGGTTTGAATTCACTCTAGTGTTGCGACAAGACTACCAACATGAAAACAAGAGTCGAATTCTGTATGTGTTTTATGCAGTGATCAAATCACGGAAGATCAAATTCGGACCGTTTTACTGTGAACTGAGCGGTCAGAATCGATCAGATTCATTTCTCGTTGCTGCAGGACTTCAAGGTCGTCTGAAGTTCCAGTGGTAATGCAAGATCCAGAAGCGGTGCCTCGAAGCATCATATCATATGTTTGAATTTGTTTGCTACTTTTGTCCAACAAAGTCTACCAGAATGTTCAGTTTAGATTACTCAACGAAGGACAGGCCAACCATGGCCAACCTAAATTCAAGCTGTTGAATGTCATAGCCAAAGAAAGATAAGAGAATTCCTGTGAAGTCCTTTGAAAATTGGACAAACCTTGGAGCAACCAGCCAGGTGCGTGCCAACGACCCTGGGATGCAAGACCTGCACCTCGAGTGCGACATCCAGCAGCGCATGGCATTGCTGGAAGAAGCTGAGAGCCACTGGGCATGTGGCGATGGCGAGATGGCCATGGATGCCATGGACCGGGGAATGTCAATTTGGATTTAGTTTCGACCACTGATTCAGCTGTTGATTTATGAGATGACAATATATGCGGAGGGAGATGTGATTTCTTAAATAGATTTCAAGTCGCTGGCCAATACCCCTAGTCAATCGGGGTTTATGAATGCGGGATTGACTACACTATCTCTAAGCAGCAATTATATATATATATGTGAAAATGAGATAAAATGGGAACTACATGGAACTACCAATCTTTCACATCTCTTGTGCTTACGGGAAAACCATTTGATCCTGTTGTGTGGGTGTTTTAGGACCTCGATATTGCATCCAATTGCTGGGAATACGCACCAGAGATCGTTCAACCGCCATCCAGTCATACGTCGTAATTGGACTGTGGGCTTTACATATAAGTCATTATTGACTATGAAAGGCGCACCCGGCAGCTTGAAGAACATTTGCTGAAAGCATGTTAAAGCAAAACACAATAAACACGAGTGCTGTCGGCATTCCACAAAGACTCTCCACTTTCACAAAGTTTCGCAAGCATCTCAAAGGTACTCAATTCCGAAGCCCATCTCCAGATGAGGAGCACGTTTTTGTTTCTCTGCACAAGCAGTGGAGCAGGATGACTTGTCTAGTCCCAACATGTGCTTCATTTTGCACAGGATATTACAGGATGACTCATGACCTCAGGAACATGTGCATCAAAGACACCGGTGTCGGGCCACATGGACAAAGCATGAAGACATGCTAGAAGCATTTTATCAAAATATGTCTAGCGATGCAAAGCATATGTGATCTCAAAATGCCTCATTGCTGTGATGTTATGTTGTGTTGAAGGTGCCATTTCTTTGTTCATGGACTTTGTTCACACAGCTATTCAGTTCCTCAGTGCGGATGAGAATGACACAGCAAGCATCCCGTACAACCACAAAGCTGTACATAGAACAAGGCTCACCTTCAGAAAACTAATGAAAAGTAATATCCACGCGCGCAAGCACCATAAGCACCCAGAACCCAGAAGCACAGTTTCAGCAATACTTTTGAGTTCCTTTGTTTCCAGGATTCTGCGCACCTATCATACCTGTTCCAAGAAGATCTCACCCCGTGAGATCAACATGCATGTGGTTGCAAGAATGATGCCCCTGCAACCCACAGACTTTGGACTTTGACCAAGCTAAAGAGGAGCCCCATTTTCTGGGGTGCCCAATTTTCACAAAGTCTTCTTGATCCACATCCCAAGTTTTTGCCCCTGACAAGGGCCTTCAGCGCTTGTCAACGGGTGTCAAGGGAGAAAGATTTTGCAACAGGAAGCCCTTCTGGCGATGGCAAGGGACTTCGGTTTCTTCTTTCAGAAAAGAGCCTTGGCAGTTCCAAACGGGAAAGCTTTCGGATGGCACCCAGCCTTCTCGTTTGCTTGAACTTTACTTTGGAATACTTTGGAACAGACCAGGCATAATTAGCTGTGGCAATCTCAGTAGAGATGTCGCATCAAGGACAGAGTGGCAAGATCACTATCAACATCCGCGGGCAACAGGCGGGCAGAACCTCCACAATTCTAGACATTATATGCCATATGCCATGGAGATACACGTATTGATATGATGATATACAGAATATAATACATCATACATATATATATATATAATATATACATATATACACACGTATATATATATATATATATGTGTGTGTGTGTGCGTATATATATATATATATCATATACATTCCGATACACGTAGTCCCTGTAGTCAAATTCATAAACGCAAGCCTTCACACCATGACTTTGGAAGACCAAAGGGGCCAACTGCTTTTGAATTCCATGCGACCGGTCAGGTCTACTACCAAGTGCTCATTTGCAACGAGCAGCGTGATTGCATTTGAGGTTTGCGCGTGTATACACTTCGCTTTCCCCCGTACTGCATATGCGGCGCTTAGAGTAGGTCATGAAATTTGAATATGCTGCATGCAACTCTATGGATCCTCCAATCAGAGCAAGGAAACATAAGGAAACCACCCAAAAGATTGGCAAGAGGACAACTCATAAAACTGGAGGGGTGCTGCCAGCTTTTCTGCATTGGTTTGCCAACTAAGTGCTCCAAGGTTCACTTCGGACAGGAAACGCATGTCAGCAACTTGCTGGCACTGGTGCAAGTTGAAAACCCAAAAGTCCCATAGTTGACCAATGTTGACCATGATGACCATGATGACCATGATGTTTCCGTTCTGAATTACCGTGTGGGCATACTAACTACTAACCCCATGACGAGACAACCCCAAGTCATCCCTTGAATTGGACTGCTTGCAACTGATGAATCAAGGAAAGGACATGAGCTGAGCGACTTATCATTCAGAGAGTTGATTAAGCAAAGAAAATCCAGGAACATCCAGGAACATAGAAGGGAAATACAAGTGTTGTGCCGGGCGCCACCGTAAACAGTGTGAGTAATTAGGTGTGTTTGGATGGATAGGATGATTGCTTTAGAAGCTGTTTAAAACAACGTATCAAACTTGGAAGATCCAGAGGTACAGATTATGATATAATATATATATATGTGTGTGTGTGGGTGTGTGTGTATGCGAGAACCTTCCGGACTTCGATGCGGAATGTGAGACACAGAGAAACTGAATTGTCATGGCACAATGCCAAAGCAAGCTCCAAGCAGCAGAAGTTCGTGCAATGTAACATATGTGTTCAAAGCCCCAGAGAATTGGGGCCCCAAATTTGGAGCCTGCGGTGTCTCCCGAAAAAGCGGGGGCCTGTTTTTTGGGAACAACAGACATTTTGGTTTGGCTTCATCTTCAGAGCCGCCTTGCACATAGTGCACCCAGATTTAGACGTGACAAGATAGAGGTAGAAAAAAAACGCCCAAAGACTCCGTTTGGAGGGTAGAATGCTAGCGAAGAAAGACACTTGACTTCTGGAATACTTCTGGTGTGTCTAGGCTGCCCTTGTGGTATAACATTGTAATTCCCAAACGTATGCGGGACCGCTCCTATAAAGCGGCCGGCGCGGCCTGTGGCCGCCACAGTTAAATCGGGGCCACAGCGGGGCCGCCGGGACCCATAGGAATTGAATGGGATTGATGGTTTATGGAACATGCACAAAACGCGTCCTAGAACCGTGTCCTCAAAAAGTTTCTTTCCAGCGCATCCTGCAAGAGTGTCTGACAAGATAGCTTGTCACTTAACTGCATCAGTGTCACTTTTGATCTTTTTTGATAGCACACTTGCACGTAGAGTGGGGCCATGAGGCTGCTTTGATGGGTGGCGGTACTGCGCACAGGAAGCGGTTGGATTTTGAGGGGCTGCGCAGTATGCACCGGTGGTGCAAAATAAGAGCAACGCGCCCCTGCTTTCAGCGCCAAAATCGGGTGTCTCTCTGGCATGGGAGACACGCAATGTATATTTATATCCATTTATGTCATGATATGATAACGATTCAAAAATATGATTCAAAAAAATGTATGCATGCCATAGAAATTTAAACAATGAACATGCGCACAAAACCTCTCAAACGTGACAAGGGTTTTTTTTTGCGCACAAAAATCTCAATCGTGACAAAAACATATTTATTCATATTGATATGATAATGACTCAAAATGTCAAAAAGTTTTTAAAAAAAATGTGTTGGTATCAACCCCAAGTGACCCGTGCCCGCCCTGTACCCTTCTCCGAGGTCCTGTTGCGGCGCTGCTCTGAAGAGACTGCCGCGGCCAACGTGGGCTCCACACAGGTGAATGGTTTGATATCTCCAGCGGGGCATCTTGGCGAAGCCGTTGCAAAGTATGGGTTAACAACAGTTACGGTATGTTACGGTTATGTATTGTAAGTATTGTGTATATTATATATAACATGTAAATATAATATATATATATACTATAATATAATAATATATATATATATGTGTGTGTGATTATATGATTATATGAGTTCATTGGTGGGGATAGTTACTGATGGAGTAGTGTTTGAAGCATCAAGCAGCACTTCGGTGATGAAGCATGTCATGGAACAATATGAGGATAGGTCAAAAGATTTTCCGATATGACTCTCGTGATGAACATCCATAGCACATAACAATCAGGTGTTTTGATGTGAACAGCACAGCACCAAGGGGGTTCATTCACATCATTCGCAACCATATATGCGCAACACGCGCTGGTCCACCTTTTTACTCGACAATTTCTGGAGCATCGCAAGTGTTGTTTTCCTGGTTTCCTTTACATTCAGCAAGTTCAGTCTTTATTCCAGAGCGCGATACTGAGAAAAAGTTAGCTCTTGGAAAAGAACAAATGTTTTTACATGTTGATTGATAAGACAGGGTTTTCCTAATTTGTCCAGTAGCATTCCTTCAAAAACTCGAGCATCCACTTGCCAAAGTATGAAAAGCGCAGCGCCGTGCATGAAATTAGCATTCCTTTCTGAGAGATGTTGGTATCAAACAAAAATTGACATACCTTGGTATCAAATGGTATCAAGAATAAAGTCGGATTCCTTATAAAATCGGATTTCTATGGATTTCTTGCACCCAAGGATCACCTCAGTGGAGAATCTGCCCACGGAGGGCTACCCATTCATCCTTTTTGTCACTTGGCATCCCTTGGCGATTTTCGAAGCAACAGAAGTGTTGCCCTTCAAAACTGTTTTGTTTTTGGCCAAATGAGGGCCACCTGGTTGTTTGTGCAAAGCTTGGGAGAAGTCTGAAATCTTAGCAACACTCAGAAACCTGCAATGAGTGGTGGCCTAAATGGCTTTGGACAGTAGATTCAGTAGATAGTTTTCCCCAAGCAATGGGGGGCCCCAAAGAACATCACTGATGGTCTAACCAGTAGGCCCATGATGGATTTCAGTTCGATTAATTAAAATCACTGTGATTAAATCAGGCTTCTTTGTGCTACCAGCTGCAAAGTGGGACACGTATGAAACGTGTTTGCTTGGAAGCCGCATTGATGCATTTGATATTGACATTGGTAATGTGGTGATACCACTTAAGGCCAAAGGTGCAGATAGCGTGATGATGGAGCGCATGAGGCAAATGGCTTGGGAAGGACTCGATATAGTGTACCGGCACCTGCATGGCCGCCTCTCAAACTGTCAAACTCCGATCCATACTCTGGACTCACAGGCGGTCCATAGCCCCCATCCATTCCCCGGATCCATACATCTCCACGGGATATGATCCATGCTCTTGATCCATACCCTTAAATCACAAGTTCAATGGTCCGGATCAAACCTCTTATGCGTACCTCACTCGTTCCATACGTCCGGATCACCGCAGAACGTTTCATACCCGGTTGAAGCCATATGTATGCATGAACGCAGAGATACACAGAGAGAGAGAGAGAGTGGAAGAGACAGGGAGAGCAAGATATTTGAGCCATTTCAGGAATTGAACAGCAAATCCTCTCACTTCTCACTTCTCATCTTGGTACAGCTTGGTGAGTTCAAGCATGTTCAAGCTTCAACTAGCTTCAACTTTGGAAGGCAATTTGACGAAGTCCCTGAGATGGAGCGGGCGCTGAAGAATGATTTGGATTTCGAGGCGAAGCCTGGGGAGTCTTGGTGAAAAAATTGGGCTTGCAGAGCTTCCTGTACTCGGGGAAACCTAACAGACTGATAATCATGGAAACATCATGGTAACCTCCCGAAACAACTCCGTTCTTGGCGAATTTGGATTAATTCAGAGGATTCCTAGGAGACGGACCTCTTTGAACTGAAGGAGGGTTCAAGTGCAACTTGCAAAAGAATCCTGGCAGATAAAGGTGATAAAGCTGCAATCACCATTATCAAAGGCAGACATGGGGTTGTTGCGCCGGTTCCCTCCAGCAAAGAGATCGTCGAGTGGGAGTTGAAAAGCCAGTTGTTCTAGCAGCCACTCAGTTGGTTTTCTTAAGGAGCAGTGCATTCATGAAGGCGAAGAAGGCAACTTTGCTGAGACTTTGGAGGGGATCAGTTGCATCAAGAAACTCCATGTTGATCATGTTGCAGGTGAGTTAGGTGAGTCAGTCGGAAGCATTGAATTTCATGGTCTTTCACAATAGCATTATGATCCACTTTTCTCACCCTTCAGGTTGGGGCTTCAGATCTTATGTTAGTGTTGCATCTCCTTTCCTTTTGTTCCTCCTCATCCTCATCCTGGCCCACACCTCTGAAACTCTTCAAGCAATGTGTTCAAAGGAAAAGATAGTAGCCAGCGTGCCAACATACTTGATATTTGAATTAGAGATGTAAAATGATATAAAAATATATAAAATTGTCCGGTTTGTTCCAAGCTTTCTTCCTGGTTCCATGTTTGGTCAACCCCAGTTACTCTGAGTCGCTCACAGCATCTCGGCACGAGGTGTTGAGGAAGCTCAGGCCGGGAGCTCGCAAATTCGGCAGATCGCCAATAGATGGTCCCCCAACGCTGATGTAAGATGACTTAAGCCTTAAGCATCTTAAATCTTAAGCACCCACATTATGATCATTATGGGGGAGTCCAGTCGAATTCTGGAACGGTTTGGGATGGTTTGGGAACCAAGAATTAAATGGTGATGTAAGCCCGAAACAAGTTGGGGATGAGGTCAAAACCTATGATTTTCCCACCTCAATCAGGGATGAACATGTAATTTCCAACTGTGTTCGTGCAAACGCTAGGATATCAGACCCATGCCGATACCATTATTCAAATAGACTCAAATAAAGGCAACACTTGCTAACAGGAACGTTCGGGAGTGAAGGACAACCGTTCTTGTGGAGGCAAGATATAGTTTCAGCTTGCTTGATGTGCTGCGCAGGTAGAAAAGTCAGACTCCGAAGCAGGGAGTTGTTTTGCAGGACGGGGTCGCATTCGGATCAGTCCTAGGATACTTCGTATGACTTGAGATGGATTTCATCAAGCATCCACGGGCAAGTCAAATCCTGCCCGGGTAACGCATTCGTTCATATACCTTTCAGTCCCTTCCCCCTAATAATGAAATGAAATAAAACCACCCAGAAACCTTGGTTTAGTACAGCTGTTCATTTTGGGATCCCATATGGGGGGGCTATCATTAAAATTAGCTGGATGTGATTTGATTTGTAGATTTTTGTGATCCCAGACACTTCCTGCAGGTCCTGGCGGCGGGCCTTCCGACAAACCACCAGTAGCACCAAAGGAGTTGCTTGGCATCACAAAGTGTTGAGCGACACAGGGATCAATACCAAAATATGGTGACCCCATGTGACCCCATTAGCAGTCTTTGCGCTGATACTCACGAAAAGAAAGTCCCAATGAGCTTACCTATAGTTCAAGTCATAAGTGAAGTCATGAGGCCTTGCTGTTTCTTTTTGGGGGGATTGCATTTTGATGCATTTTGCATCCTGTTGGAATGAGTTCAAAATCTCCAGATTACGAAAGCCAGCTAGCTGGATCGTTGCTGTCTGCGAACAAAGTGAGTATAAGGGGGTCTGGGGGGAGGGCTTGCCCAAGTGGGCCAAAATCTCGCTATTACTTGGGGGGAAGGGTGTGTTTTGGGAGCGTTTTTCCGGGTCATGTACCATGCGGCAAAAGGGTGACGGTAGGGTATCGATTCCCCCTAGGTCCGCATTTTGGGGAGCCTTTTGGGGTGCTTGGCAGAGGAGCCGATGTCTGCGAGAAGGGGGAAGGAGTGCTAGCACAGATAGGAAAGGTAAGGGTAAAGGCGCCTTTTGCCACTGCTGTCGATGTTGGTGGAGGAAGGACAAAAGTCGCCCGGCTCGAGGGTCTTTGTCGGGCACTGTGATGTCAGATGGGAAGGTGTTTGTGTGAAGGAGGAAGGAGGGCTAGCGCATAATGCGAGGTTTGAAGGCGTAGACATAGCAGCTGTCACAAAAATTAACCACCAAAAGTACCGTGGAGGAGGTACATAATGGCCTGTGAAGCAGAATGTAGAGCATTCCTGACAATTCAGGCCGGGTTCGCTTATATATATATATATATGTATATATATATATATATATATATTTTTTTTTACGAAAGCCGGCCGGGAAGCTGGCCAGTTGTTGTTTGCGAACGAAGTGAAAATAGGGGGTCTGGGGGGGGCTCTGGGTGAAAAGTATATGGGTGAAAAGTATATATGGGAAAAGTCTGTGGGTGAGAAGTATATGGTTGATCCGTCTTTGGGTGAGAAGTATATGGGTGAAAAGTATGTGCAAGAAGAGTTTCTGGGTGAAGAGTCCCTGGGTGAAAAGTCTGTGCAAGAAGATTTTCTGGGTGAAGAGTCTCTGGGTGAAAAGTTTCTGGGTGAAAGGTATATGGGGGAAAAGTCTGTGAGTGAGAAATATAAGTTTGATCCGTCTGTGGGTGAAAAGTATATGAGTGAAAAGTATGTGCAAGAAGAGTTTCTGGGTGAAGAGTCTCGGGGTGAAAAGTATATGGGTGAAAAGTATGTGCAAGAAGAGTTTCTGGGTGAAGAGTCTCTGGGTGAAAAGTATATGGGTGAAAAGTATGTCTCTGGGTGAAAATGTGCAAGAAGAGTTTCTGGGTGAAGAGTCTCTGGGTGAAAAGTATATGGGTGAAAAGTATGTGCAAGAAAGAGTTTCTGGGTGAAGAGTTTCTGGGTGAAGAGTATATGGGTGAAAAGTATGTGCAAGAAGAGTTTCTGGGTGAAGAGTCTCTGGGTGAAAAGTATATGGGTGAAAAGTATGTGCAAGAAGAGTTTCTGGGTGAAGAGTCTCTGGGTGAAAAGTATATGGGTGAAAAGTATGTGCAAGAAGAGTTTCTGGGTGAAGAGTCTCTGGGTGAAAAGTATGTGCAAGAAGAGTTTCTGGGTGAAGAGTCTCTGGGTGAAAAGTATATGGGTGAAAAGTCTGTGCAAGAAGAGTTTCTGGGTGAAGAGTCTCTGGGTGAAAAGTATATGGGTGAAAAGTATGTGCAAGAAGAGTTTCTGGGTGAAGAGTCTCTGGGTGAAAATGGGTGAAAAGTATGTGCAAGAAGAGTTTCTGGGTGAAGAGTCTCTGGGTGAAAAGTATATGGGTGAAAAGTATGTGCAAGAAGAGTTTCTGGGTGAAGAGTGTTTGGGTGAAAAGTATATGGGTGAAAAGTAGGTCCAAGAAGAGTTTCTGGGTGAACAGATTCTTGGTGAAAAGTCTGTGCAAGAAGAGTTTCTGGGTGAAGAGTCTCTGGGTGAAAAGTCTGTGCAAGAAGAGTTTCTGGGTGAAGAGTCCCTGGGTGAAAAGTATATGGGTGAAAAGTATCTGCAAGAAGAGTTTCTGGGTGAAGAGTCCTTGGGTGAAAAGTATGTGCAAGAAGAGTTTCTGGGTGAAAAGTATCTGCAAGAAGAGTTTTTGGGTGAAGAGTCTCTGGGTGAAAAGTCTGTGCAAGAAGATTTTCTGGATGAAGAGTCCCTGGGTGAAAAGTTTATGGGTGAAAGGCATATGGGGGAAAAGTCTGTGGGTGAGAAATATATGGTTGATCCGTCTGTGGGTGAAAAGTAAATGAGTGAAAAGTATGTGCAAGAAGATTTTCTGGGTGAAGAGTCTCTGGGTGAAAAGTATATGGGTAAAAAGTACGTGCAAGAAGAGTTTCTGGGGAAGAGTTTCTGGGTGAAGAGTGTATGGGTGAAAAGCCTGTGCAAGAAGAGTTTCTGGGTGAAGAGTCCCTGGGTGAAAAGTATGTGCAAGAAGAGTCTCTGGGTGAAGAGTCTCTGGGTGAAAGGTATATGGGTGACAAGTAGTGTGCAAGAAGAGTTTCTGGGTGAAGAGTCTCTGGGTGAAAAGTATATGGGTGAAAAGTATGTGCAAGAAGAGTTTCTGGGTGAAGAGTCTCTGGGTGAAAAGTATATGGGTGAAAAGTATGTGCAAGAAGAGTTTCTGGGTGAAGAGTCTCTGGGTGAAAAGTATATGGGTGAAAAGTATGTGCAAGAAGAGTTTCTGGGTGAAGAGTCTCTGGGTGAAAAGTATGTGCAAGAAGAGTTTCTGGGTGAAGAGTCCTGGGTGAAAAGTATATGGGTGAAAAGTATGTGCAAGAAGAGTTTCTGGGTGAAGAGTCTCTGGGTGAAAAGTATGTGCAAGAAGAGTTTCTGGGTGAAGAGTCTCTGGGTGAAAAGTATATTGGTGAAAGTATGTGCAAGAAGAGTTTCTGGGTGAAGAGTCTCTGGGTGAAAAGTATATAGGTGAAAAGTATGTGCAAGGAGAGTTTCTGGGTGAAGAGTCCCTGGGTGAAAAGTATATGGGCGAAAAGTCTGTGCAAGAAGGGTTTCTGGGTGAAGAGCCCCTGGGTGAAAAGTACGTGCAAGAAGAGTTTCTGGGGAAGAGTCTCTGGGTGAAAAGTATATCGGTGAAAAGTGTGAGCAAGAAGAGTTTCTGAATAAGAGTCTCTGGTTGAAAAGTCTGTGCAAGAAGAGTTTCTGGGTGAAGAGTCTCTGGGTGAAAAGTATGTGCAAGAAGAGTTTCTTGGTGAAGAGTTTCTGGGTGAAGAGTCTCTGGGTGAAAAGTATGTGCAAGAAGAGTTTCTGGGTGAAGAGTCTCTGGGTGAAAAGTATGTGGGGGAAAAGTCAGTGGGTGAAAAATCATTGGGGGAAAATAGGGGTAGATGGGATGCTGGCTTTCGTTCCCCCCTTCTCAGGTTTTTGCTTGGCAACCAGTAGCAACCAGCTCAGGCCAGCACCGCTACTGGAGCCTCCGGACATGGGGGGCGGGAACAAACACGTGAGCAGCAGCGTCAGTGCAAGTGTCTTGGCATTTACAGTCAGCCCAGTTCCATCCTGAGCAGATGCCAACTTTGTCCTTTGTCAGGAGAGGAGAATATTCCCAGATGCTAGTAGGATTACATAGAGTTTGCACCCAAGATGTTTGCAAGAATTGTGCCATGTCACATGAATCTGTTGAACGACCTGCCATGGGCTCAAGACAGTCGGAGATCATTCGGAGATCAAATCCGTGCATGGTGTTGGCAGCAAGAAGTCCAATGCAATCATGCCCAAAGTGTTTTTGTTGACAACATTGATACATATTGACACATTGCGATGATTCCGGATAATTATAAAAAGATATGAAAAGTAATTTCTTGAGCGCCGGCAGGTGAAGTCCCCTCAGATTGCACCATCCATCTACCTGGAGAGCCATGGGGCACTCTTCCTCGAAGAGCGCTGAAAGCGTGTGCCCCACAGACATCAGACATGCCAGCTCCGAGACTGAGGAATCTCGAGCCGACAAGTCCGACAAGTTGCATGTGGGTCACAAGTCCCAGATGAAACGCATCTGCCGGATCTTGCAGTCAAAACTTCAGGAGCTCTCAAGGTCTGGAGGATCGAGAGCAGAACTCCAAGAATGTGAAGATTTTGCCCGGCAGATGGAGGCACTGCTTGACTTACAGACCTCACGTGGACGTGGGGTTTCCAAGGAGCATGCTTTGCCCCAAGAAGTGAAGGAATGGCTGGTGAATCAGTGGACAGAGGGAAGTTTCCGCTTAGGCGAGGAACTCAGCCCCATTCGAGGCACGGCTACCCTCAGAGCTACCCAATCAGTTCCCTTCAACGACGAACTCAAAGATCTCTTAAACCTGGTGGGCACTCCGGATGTTGATGTTGTGGCTGTACAAAAGCAACCAGAGGTTGCCGGAAACGTCATCACTGTTCTTTTTGTGTATACTTTGAGCTATGGTGGTGTTTTCGACCAACTCCCTGTTGAGTGTCTGTCAGACTCCAGCACGGGGGAGATCTTCCAGGACCGTTTGGTGAAATTTGTCTCAGCCATTGAGGGAGCCTACCAGGACATGCCCTACCACAACAACATGCATGCAGCAGATGTCGCTATGATGATGCACTCATTCTGCCTTACTTCCAACATGTCGTGGATCTCGCCACTTGATCACTTGCTGAGCCTGATTACGGCAGTGATTCACGATGTCGGCCATGATGGCGTGAACAACATGTTCCATGTGAAGGCCCAGTCGCCTGTTGCCTTGCGCTACAATGACAGGAGTGTGCTTGAGAACATGCATTGCGCCTTGGCCTTTGAACTCATGAAGGAGAATGAGGAGACAAATTGGCTGTCGTTGATGAACACCAGTTTTGCCATGGATCCCAAGGAGAAACCAACTGACCTGCGCCAGTACTTGCGTAGAGCCGCAATTGAGATGGTCTTGGCGACCGACCCCACCAAACACAACGCTCTGATGGACGATTTGAAAGCACTGATTCAGGCAAAATCCATCCAAGCAGAGGGTGGGTTGAGTGATGCCAAGCAGAAGCAAGATGCCTTCAATGTCCTTTTGCATGCAGCAGATGTGTCCAATGCCACTCGAAAGCTGCCCATTGCGTTGTATTGGTCAAGGCAAGTCCTCCTTGAATTTTGGGCGCAGGGTGACCATGAAAGGTCCCTGGGCTTGGAGGTGTCACCTTTGTGTGACCGTGCCAGTGGAATGGCATCAGTGCCCCAAGGGCAGATCGGTTTCATCGGTTTCATCGTGCGACCTTTGTATCAACAACTCGGCCTTCTTTTGCCAGAAATACTTCAAGCAGTTGAGCAGTTGAAGAAGACCGAGGCCTATTGGCAGCAAAAGAAGGAGGACAATGCAAACTTTTTGGAGTCCTTTGCCATTTTGGATCAGTGAGATATCAATGAGATATCAGTGAAAGATCCCTGTAACAGTTTGTGACCACTCTTTTGTTGCTGGTGGCCGCGGCTGCGTTACTTTTCGTCTCACCGCCCTACAGTAATTTGATCGCATTCATGTCTGTGCCAAAAATAGAGTACTTAGTTCTTGATCTTCAGAAAGCGCCAAAAATAATCCAAAAATGATCAAAAATGATGATTTGCACATCAGACTTGGCAGTATAGGCAAGCATTTGATTTTTTTCTTCGGGGCTTGTGGCGCCGCATGCCCACAGGCACCGAACAAGACCCAGAAGGGCAACAGAACATCATAGAAAATGGTAAAACTTTACTTTCAGATCATCCAGTTGCAGGTATACAATATACAAATATACACATGGTTATATAACATAATTAATTAAACTTTATATACCTTACATATGTTTTCGCTTATCCCTAGCAACGCGAACGAATCTGGTGTCACCCTGGCTGAGGTGGGCTCTCAGGCATGTCGGAGAGATTGATGGGGCTTGGAGCTGCTGGCTTGACGAGTTGGAGCATCTTGGCACGGACAACATACCATTGGATCCATTGGAAAATATCAAAAATTGATGAAAATTGGAGAGAAAACGGATGAAAACCGGATTTCTGTACTGCAAGATGAAATTCTACATGACTAGACTTGGGGCAAAAAATGTTTGTCAGTTTTACAGTACTGAGTAGTTATTAATTAAGTGTCGAATCGCATCTAAACTCAACAATCCGTGGGAATCCGTGCAAATCCGTGCGACCATTCCTTGCGCCAGCATTTGTTGCAGCATGCTTCCCGCGTGGGAGTAAGCTGCCACTCCATATAGTATTTTCTCAAACCATATTCACCTGGTAGACCGAGATGTATTTACTGGTTGGCACCTGAGACAAACTTCATGCCCCAAACGACAGAGTTGCCAGCCCTATGATGAGACTGGCGGCTACAGACAAGAGATCAAGAGAATGTCCATGCTGCAGGTCAGGACATGTTTCCAGGGTGGTTTTGACCATTTGCAACGCTTCGCATCCAGTGCTTGTGGGCGAGTAAATTACGCTTTTCAATGTGACTCTTGACTGTAATTATTCTGCTTTCCAAGGTTCACGAGCCTTCCTGACTTCGCAGGAATCTGTCGTTGCTTGTGCCTGGGACTTTCTGACCCATGTTGGCACTAGATGCTTCCCTTGATTTCCCCCCCTTTATCAGCTCCGCATGCGCTGGACGTCGAATCCCAGGAGCAAGGTGGGCCTTTATGGTTTTGATTGGTTTTGGCATGTTTTGGCAAGACCCTTAATAGGATTTGCGCATCAAAAATGTGCAGGACATCAGGACATCCAGACATCACAAACCACTGCCAATCTTTTTTCCCACTGTTCGGGCACCGGTGGTCCCTCGCATTTTTCACCACCGTCCTTTCTTGAAGGGCACCCCGATAGCACCTACATTGAGCTGAACCATGTGCCCATGGCTAGCTGGTGGTTTCAGGGTTTCAGATAGGTTTGGGATGAGTTGAAATCAGAAACCGGATGATAATTCATGATAATTATATATTACACAAAAAAAATGTTTCATGGTTTCCTGATTCTGTGAAGTGGATTGTCAACGGCTACAGCGGCTACAAAGTTGGTGGAGTTGTTTTGCATTCTGGACAAGAGCAAACGATGATTCTTTGTTCATGTGTGGAACGCACTGGTCCCTCCATTTTTTTTGAGGTACAAAATGGGTCACTGCGTTCTTTGTCCTCAAAAAATTGCCCGTATTATTTGCTTAACGTTCTGTAGGACGTCCAATGCAGACGACCTTTTGCATCCTTTGGTCGCGTTGGTCGCTTTGGTCACCTTGATTCTGTTTGAGGTGAAGAAAGCAAACAGCAGAAGAAGTTGAGAGTTGCAAAGGCTGGATTGCAAAGCTCAGTGCTGTAGTGAAGCTAAGCCATCCTCTCAGATGGGAGCCAGGCACTCCATGTTAAACAACTATTTTATAAAATATTTTAAAGGTAAAATGTGCCTGTACAAAAATGCCAGCCTACTTGAAATTATGAGACACAGCAGAGCAAGATGAAACAAATTGAAACAATCTGGAGATTCTTGTGGCCTCCGGTTGCTTTGTTTCGTGGGTACCAGAGTGGGTTCTCTTTGCCAGGAGCAGCTTCGACGATTTTCCACTCACGGGCTGCGCACGTTGATTTGCGGCTGGCGGGTGCCACTTGGTCAACAACGAAGACTCGACATCTCTTTCGCTTGGGGGTACCATCGTTGGGGGATGCCTCCATTGTTGGATCTTCCCATGAAATCCATGAATATTATCGTATCCAAACTGCTTTGTGAATACAAATTTGGCTGCTAAACTTCTCCCTTGCAAAACGGAAGTCAGTTGCGGCACCATGGCTCTTGTGCGTCGAGGCCCTCAGAAACCCACCCTCGAGGTGTTGTATTATGTTTTATTATTATAGATATAATGTATTGCTGGTATGACTCAAGGCTGATGAACAAAATTGGCTAGGTGGCCAGCTAGACTGTCATGTTGGCGGGATTTAGAGCTGATGCTCTATTTGAAGCATGGATAAAAAGACATAAAAAGCCAAGTTTGACATCCCTGGGCAATTCTGGGGCAGTTCTTCTCTCTGTACCTTCTGTAGGCTTGCTGATGCAGATGCAGAAAGATTTATCCATGAGCATGCCGCGGCAACGCGCTCATGGTTTAAGCGTGGCTCGGCGAAGTCCGTTCGATTTGTGTCTGGACTGGGCCAACACCTGGGTTGTCGCAAAATTGAACATGTATATACACCTGTACATGCATGCCTTATGTGACATAATATATATATATATACGTATATACGTATATATATATATATCTCTCTCTCAGTAGTACCGCACAAGGCGGTGGCGGAAGTTTCAAGGATAGGACACTATAGGAGAGGTGAGTTGTTGTGATGCATGGATGGCAGAGCGAATCCACTGATGGACCGAAAGGTGTTGGAGTGTTTTTTTTTGAGTGGTTGCAATGGTTGCAATGGTTGCAGTGGTCACGTCACCCACAACTGCTGGATGTAGTGTGGTGTAGTGCAGTTGTAGTTGTAGTGTAGTGTAGTGGAGGTGTAGTTGTAGTGTAGTGCACTTAGTGTAGTGTAGCTGTAGTTGCAGTGCAGTTGTAGTTGTGGTATGGTTTAATTAGTGCAGTGCAATGTACTGTCGTGTAGTGTACTGTAGTGTTGTGTACTGTAGTGTCGTATAGTGAATAGTGTAGTGTCAGTGTAGTGTAGAGTAGTGTAGTGTCAAGTAATGTAGTTGTACTTGTAGCTGTAGTTGCAGGGTAATGTAGTGTAATTAATGTAACGTGAATCTCCTGAGATGGCGATGGGGAGAGAGAAATGTAATGTAGTTAATGTAGTTGTAGATGTAGTTGTGGCCGGTTGTGGTCGTGGTTGTAGCTGCAGATGTAGTATAGGGTAGCGTAATGTAATGTAGCTGAAGTTATAGTTGTAGTTGCAGCTGTAGTGTGATAGTGTATACAGTGTAATGTAGCGTGGTTGTAGTTGCAGACGTGGTTGTGTTGTATTTGCGTTTGTGGTTGTAGTTGTAGCTGTCTATCTATCTATCTATCTGTCTATTTGCAAGCTTGAAAACGAAGCTATCCTGCAAGACTTCCTCAATGTTTTAAATTGACAACGTCAAGAACGAAGCAATTGCGAGAGTTCTTCAATTTTTGAATTTGACAACATCAAAAACAAAGCAATTCTGCGAGACTTCCTTCAAAAATGGACAGTTGAGTGCAGATCAGAGCTGACGGCCTCGTACCAATGCGTTTTGCGATTTTTCCCTTCCATTTGTGTAAAAGTGCTGCGCCTGCCACGAAAAAGTGATGCCAGGTCATACGAAGTGCTGTCATGCCAAATCATCCTAGCAAACCTGAAAATCTGATGCTCCAAAACGCAACCCCTCTCAGGAAATCTGCATTCTGACCTCCCAACATCCCTGGTGAACATATGAAATGCATCTTTGCAGATCCTCTTCAAAAGTCCCACGCCTGCCAACGCTTTTGAAACTGCTACAAAACGCTCGCTTTTTGCTCACTTTTGACCAGGTGCGAAATCCCTTGCGCATGCCACGCAAAACAACATCTGAACGTCCAAAAGTGCTCCGAACCCGTCAGGTTTTTACACTTTTGACTTGGAAATGTGCTTCGCGCCACAACGGCGCGCACTTTTTCAACATGTCAACTTCCAAAAGTACTCCGAGAATGGCGTGCTTTGGACATTTTGACTTCGAAACCTAAAAGTGCTCCGAGCTGAGGTGCTTTGTATACATTTTGACTTCGAAACGTGCATCGCGCCACAACTGCATGCACTTTTTCGACATCTCAACTTCTAAAAGTGCTCCGAAGCTGAGGTGCTTTGTATATTTTGACTTCGAAATGTGCTTCGCGCCACAACAGCGTGCAATTTTTCATCTCTCATCTGGCCAGATGGCTCCGCACCCGCCGCTTTAGCGAGCGTACTTTTCGACCCTCCTGAGCCACAAATCATTGGAAAAACAGTGATTTGCGACTTTCTTTCTTCTGATTCTTTCTCTCCTCTGATCTTCTTGCTTCTTCTCTGCTCTTCTCTGACTCTTCCCACCTCTGCCCATATTGTCGGAAGTTTGACTTCTAAATTCTAAATTTCCTTCGATAATTGCCATGTATTTTTATCTATATATAGCTTTAAATTCTCCAATATCCTGTGGACGATTAGCTCTTTGGATTTTTTGGCTGGTCCTGAGACAACTTCAAAATTAAAGGAAGTAGAAGTACAACGAAGACTGGGTGGAAAGGGGGTTTCGCTTGAAGAAAGGCAATGAAAAGCGGATGAAACCTAGCATATCTCACCATGCAGATTTGGAGCGCAGCCGCCTGGGACCCAGGTGAAGAGAAGGTTGCAGAAGTTGCATGGTGGCAATTTAACCCAGGGTTGCTTCGTCCATGATAAGCCCATACCCAATAATTTTGCCCCAGGGAAAGGAGCAAACGCTGCTGCAAGTCGTGTTTGTGAGAGTAAGGATGAATAAGGTAACCAGGTAATACCTCTAACTCTAAAGGCCTATAAAGAATGCAGATATTGAGGTACTTGGCGTAAGCATTGGCTGTGATGTTGAAATCTATCGAATGATGTCAAATGCCTCTGCAGTCATTTTTCCGAAGTCGAAGCTCCCGGGATTGCATTGTTGATCGCATTTGTTGATATTTGTTGCAATGTCGGGCGTCCTTCTCTTGCTATGCAGCTTTGCTCTAGCCCATGCAGAGCCTAACCAGGTCAAGTCTCAGCCATTGTACTGCATTACATGTGCAGCGCAGGAGGTCACTTGCATTTCCACCGCTGTCAACCAATGTAAGGACAGGGGATGCCAGGGTTCCGAATGCTTGCATCCCTGCATCCCTCTATGAAATTGAAAGATATAAAGTCAGATATTTGGTCCCTTCAACTACAAGTTTGGTTTGTTTTGTGGTTTTGTCGTGAGGCCCCACTTGAAACCACTCAGACTCAGGAGCAGCATGCGTGCGATACCATCATGAGTGCAGCCTCATGCGTGACTTGCATCGGCACTGCAAACTGTGGTTCCGACCCAGCCTGCGCTGATTGCCCTACGAACCAGCTCGAAAGCATTGTGAAGGTTAAGAAGCTTGTTGCCGCAGGTTCAACCGAAGATAAGGAGGTGGATTTGAAGGAAGCTTTGACGGGCACTTTGCGCAGCGCTGGTTGCTATGAGAGTCAGTCTTTGATGAAAACCTGTGGCACCCAGTGCTATTCAAGCGGCGACCAGGCGTCTTGCTCAGCCAAGTGCCTCAAGGGTAAGGGAGTCCAGTCTTCCTGTGCAAGCTGCTTGGGCCGGAAGATCCAGTGCACCGTCAAGAATTGCTTAAACTTCTGTGCTGCAAATGCCAACAGCCCTACGTGCTCCTCCTGCGTGTCCCGCTCTTGTGGCTCTTGCAATTCAGAAAAGTCGCTGACACAGCCTGAGGAGGAATCTTTCGTGACCGCTCTAGTGGCGTTGTCACAGAAGGATGCACAGGACGCTGTGTTGCGCACCGCTGCTTGCCGTGAGAGTCAGTCTTTGATGAAAACCTGTGGCACCCAGTGCTATTCAAGCGGCGACCACGCGTCTTGCTCAGCCAAGTGCCTCAAGGGTAAGGGAGTCCGGTCTTCCTGTGCAAGCTGCTTGGGCCGGAAGATCCAGTGCACCGTCAAGAATTGCTTGAACTTCTGTGCTGCAGATGCCAACAGCCCTACCTGCTCCTCCTGCGTGTCCCGCTCTTGTGGCTCTTGCAATTCAGAAAAGTCGCTGACACAGCCTGAGGAGGAATCTTTCGTGACCGCTCTAGTGGCGTTGTCACAGAAGGATGCACAGGAAGCTGTGTTGCGCAGCGCTGGTTGCCGTGAGAGTCAGGCTTTGATGAAAACCTGTGGCAACCAGTGCTATTCAAGCGGCGACCAGGCGTCTTGCTCAGCCAAGTGCCTCAAGGGTAAGGGAGTCCAGTCTTCCTGTGCAAGCTGCTTGGGCCGGAAGATCCAGTGCACCGTCAAGAATTGCTTGAACTTCTGTGCTGCAGATGCCAACAGCCCTACGTGCTCCTCCTGCGTGTCCCGCTCTTGTGGCTCTTGCAATTCAGAAAAGTCGCTGACACAGCCTGAGGAGGAATCTTTCGTGACCGCTCTAGTGGCGTTGTCACAGAAGGATGCACAGGACGCTGTGTTGCGCAGCGCTGGTTGCCGTGAGAGTCAGTCTTTGATGAAAACCTGTGGCACCCAGTGCTATTCAAGCGGCGACCAGGCGTCTTGCTCAGCCAAGTGCCTCAAGGGTAAGGGAGTCCAGTCTTCCTGTGCAAGCTGCTTGGGCCGGAAGATCCAGTGCACCGTCAAGAATTGCTTGAACTTCTGTGCTGCAAATGCCAACAGCCCTACGTGCTCCTCCTGCGTGTCCCGCTCTTGTGGCTCTTGCAATTCAGAAAAGTCGCTGACACAGCCTGAGGAGGAATCTTTCGTGACCGCTCTAGTGGCGTTGTCACAGAAGGATGCACAGGACGCTGTGTTGCGCACCGCTGCTTGCCGTGAGAGTCAGTCTTTGATGAAAACCTGTGGCACCCAGTGCTATTCAAGCGGCGACCAGGCGTCTTGCTCAGCCAAGTGCCTCAAGGGTAAGGGAGCCCAGTCTTCCTGTGCAAGCTGCTTGGGCCGGAAGATCCAGTGCACCGTCAAGAATTGCTTGAACTTCTGTGCTGCAGATGCCAACAGCCCTACCTGCTCCTCCTGCGTGTCCCGCTCTTGTGGCTCTTGCAATTCAGAAAAGTCATTGACACAGCCTGAGGAGGAATCTTTCGTGACCGCTCTAGTGGCGTTGTCACAGAAGGATGCACAGGACGCTGTGTTGCGCACCGCTGCTTGCCGTGAGAGTCAGGCTTTGATGAAAACCTGTGGCGCCCAGTGCTATTCAAGCGGCGACCAGGCGTCTTGCTCAGCCAAGTGCCTCAAGGGTAAGGGAGCCCAGTCTTCCTGTGCAAGCTGCTTGGGCCGGAAGATCCAGTGCACCGTCAAGAATTGCTTGAACTTCTGTGCTGCAGATGCCAACAGCCCTACGTGCTCCTCCTGCGTGTCCCGCTCTTGTGGCTCTTGCAATTCAGAAAAGTCACTGACACAGCCTGAGGAGGAATCTTTTGTGACTGCTCTAGTGGCGTTGTCACAGAAGGATGCACAGCCAACAGTGTTTCCTTAACTTGAATGCAGGAGGTGCTTAGAACCCATAGTAGCCCTATCTTGGTTGCCTAATACCTTTTGAATCATTTTGAGGCTAAGGCATTCTGCTGGGGCCTTGTATAGGAGAAACTTCTTGTTTGTACTTCACACGCTGGACCATGGACATGGTTTCTAGAGTGTACTGTACTGTGGCATAAGCCCACTCATTCATTCCGTTTTTACTACAATTACTCCGGGTATATTCCCAATTCAGAACGCATAGAGATGTATGGAGCAAGTGTCCCAAAAGAAGCAAAAGAATTGCGGCAGGCTGTTGAAGCAACCGCAGAGACAGCTTTGCAAAAAATAGCAGCCATGTTGCCTCCACATTTGTTGTGAATGACATAGACTCTATAGACATCAGTTCCAGCTGAAAAGTTTGTAAGATGCCAGTGTGTTCAAAGGTCGTGAACCAGATGGAGAGAGACTTCGACTTGCTTGGCATCACAGCAGTGGAAGATAAGATCCAGATTGGCGTGCCAGAGACGGTGGGAACATTCAAATTCTTCAAATTCTGGTTATATAATTCATTTTGGAAGAATTGTCAAAGCATGTCAGCAATTATTTGTGGAATTTGGACCTGATGGCTTCTCATGGATGCAGTTTAAAAATCCCGCCACATTCTGGCGATGGGAAGCAGGACTAAACATGAAGTCAGCATACGAGTCATGCGAGTCATACGAGTCACATGTCAATACCTAAGGACCTAAGGATCAACAGCAAACAATTTACCCAAATTTACCCCCTTTCAGTCACCTTTGAAACCCTTTGAGACGATCAAATTGGGACAGGTGAAGATGCTTCTTGCAGGAGGAATTAGGGTGTGGATGCTCACTGGCCACTGGTCGGATCTAGTCTTTGCGTTCATCACTTGGAGAGAGCGAACATTCATGAAACTTCTCAGCAACGATTTCTATGCAATTTCTACACATCCAAAATCATCCAAAGTTGTTTGATGCGCAGTCTTCAGCTTCCCACCCTCCAGGCATCCAGCTATTTGTTTATCAGACCTATAGCCTATACAGAGAGAGAGAGAGAGAAAGAGAGATTGGGAGAGAAAGAATGAGAAAGATGTTTGGCTGACAGTGAAAATTACAAAGATCTGAAATCAAGGAACTTTTGAACAGGCTTCTTGTGGTAAGGCATTTAACACTTTCAAAAATAAAAAAGAATGAAAAATATGTTTCTGTCAACACTTCAGGTGATAGTGTTGACACCGCTGTGAACATTGCAACTATTTGCCGCCTTATCGACAAGCAGTGCAAGCTGTACTATTTGACCTGCGAGGACGCGTGTGTGGCTGGGGGCTGTGGGGCAATGTGTCAGCTACAATTGTGGTCCCAGAACAGTTTTGATTTCTTTTGACACCCCATTCATCATCATTGAACATATCGGAACTGATAGATGGCTCTAGTTTGCGGCATGGGTGGGGCAGTTACTACTATTTACTTCCTTGTTTATAACTGGCTGCGGGGCCCATCACCGTACCCCAAGCAAGAGGGCTGGAAAGCCGCCGCTCTCAGGAGACGACGGATCTGAAGACAGAGCTGGAGTCACAGCTGAGGACCTCTCCTTTTGGGCTGGTCTCGTTTCATGGGTCTAAAACGACGTTTGTGATATTGTCTCAAAATGGGGATGTCACAGAACTCTACAATGATCAAGAGTTGCTGCAGTTGGATTTTACATGATTTTACACTCTTACGAACCAAAAGCACTGGTGACACCCAGCACTTTTGTATATTCTGGTACTCGTTCGCTCGGGTTCCCAGCCAGCAAAAAAGGTGTTAGAGGTCAAGACTTTGGCAATTTCGTGGCTGTGGGCCTGTGGTGCTGCCGTGCTTTCATGACCACAAAACCTCTTCTTCCATGCATTGATGGATTACTTTATACTTTATATTGCTCATTTCGAACATATATTATAATCCTCTCACGCTAATACTAAACGCCCCCTCAAATAATACAACCTAGGGGATCCTAGGGGTAGTTTTGATTATTAGGGGGTATTTAATATTCGGGGGAGAAGCTGGCCCTCAATATTAAATTTAAAACCTTAATTGCAAAAACTAAAATGTTCGATTTCAAAATCGATCAAATTCCTTTTTCAAATCTAATTAAGATATTGCCAAAAATTGAATTTCGAAGCTTTCCCCATATTTAAAACTTTAATTTAAAAAAATGGAATGTTCGATTTCAAAAGACGGACCCTAATGATAAAACACCCCGGGGTGAACTAGCTTTTGGGGGTAGAACCTGCAAATTGGACCTTGGTTTTTAAACTGTTCTCTAAAGGGGATTAAACCTCAAATTGACCAATCTGAAATTAATTGCTCAAAACAAATAACTAATTTGGGTAGTTGTTTTTTTTTAGGGGAGGTTTAGCAATAGGGAGAAGGGATCATGTAATCAGGACGGCTTCCCAATGATGTTTTATTTGGAAGCACTACTTCGCGGATAGTTTCCAGAAAGCTACTCACCAACGCGTATTGTGGCGAAAAGTGTCGGAATCGTGTCCAGGTGTGAAGCAACGCGCTATTGTCACTGGTAGTTTCAAGCCCTGGTAGTTTTGAAGATGTAGTCAGTACTTCAAGGCAGCTATACACCAATATACAACCATACAGAACCGTACTATACATATATATAGTATATCGACTCTAAGACTCTAAGCCGGCGCTTCAACAAGTTGAAGCGAGAACCTCGCTTTTTTGGCGCAGGACAATTGTGCAGGAAATTGTGGAAAATGTCGAGAAGAGTGAGTCAAAGACCTTCAGCTTCAGCTGCCTGACCTGAAGTTTGGTAGGAATGTCCGATTATTTTCAGGCGATCATTCTTCTAGATCCTGGTTGTCCAATTGTCAAGTTTCTGGAATTGTTGTTCATCCAAACCTTTTTGAAGCTTTGGGCTGACAAATTGCCACGAGTATCAGGACTTCAATTTGCCTGCGCGACTTGCCAAGGCTTGGTGATCAATGGCACGGCGCTCTACGCCATTCTGGATGAAGCACGGCTTGCAAAGTCCTTCCACCCGACCAGACAAAACTGGGAAGGCTTGTGGATGGGAGTAAAGCTACAAGGCACAAGACAAAAAGATATGCGACCCACAGGCCCACAGGATTCTATAGGCATATCACAGGTATTGGATTTGGATCCTCTATGTTCTTTGAAGGTGCTCGCCTTTCATCGCCTTTCCCTGTGGGATCTGGGGAATTGGATTTTTTTTGCAGTTGGCCATGCAGCGCCTAATCCAAACTCCAGCACCTCCCAGGAAACGGAAGTAGCGCTGCAGCGTTTGTTTGTGACAGTGGCTTGCAACTCTGCGTCTGTGGCTGGCCTGCATGGGGTCAAGAATGGTCAAAACCAAGCTGGACACATTGGATCCGGTAGTTCACATCAAGACCATTGGTTGCTATAGATGTTCATCTCCTAAATTTAGCATTGTAATGGGATACTGGTCTTGACCAAGACATGTAATGATGAATTGTGGTTTGCATTCTCTTTCTGGCACTTGACCCCAAAATCCATCCAACCCCCCAATGACCGCAATAGTTCGTCGACGCAAATCCAACTGCAGTTCATCATGGATGGGTCTGGTTTGTGTGTGTGTGCACGTCATGTCTTGGGTGCTTTCACAAACTTCCCGCATCATTGTCCTATAGGATCTATAGGTGTCACTGGTTTGATGGTCGTGTGATTGTGAGGTTATAGCTTGTCGCTTGTCCCCGGCACAGAAAGCCGGGATTGTGGAGCTCATCCGGAAAGAGGTTCCAGGCAGGAACTGGGACCTAGAACTTCCATCAAGATGGCGTAGGGCCGTTTGTTGGTGCATTGAGACCAGCCGGAAGATCAGAATGACAGGCAGTTGGGAGAAGTTCTGATGAGTTGTGATGAGTTGCGATGTCAAATTATGTCAAATTAGCAATGCAAATGTGATGACCAGATGAATGGTTTGACCATGACCATGTTTGACAACTATAACTACGTCTTGTGGAGCATCCTGGAGAGGCAACCCCTTGACACTTGCAGTTGGAGATGGTGGTAACGACGTGAGCATGTCACTGTGGCATACTTTGGCATTGGTTCTCTGTGTGTTTGTTTGTAGATGTTTGTAGGATCATACGGGGTGGTTCAGTGTGTTGAGTGTGTGCTGCCTGTTCAAAGAAGGATGGTGAAGAACAGAAAACGTAGAACAACTTGAGCTGCCATGCCCAACTTTGAATCCAGCAATGTCTTGCCAACAAGAGCAGCCTTCGCTGTGCATCATGTCATGTTGGAGTTCGTTGAACTAGCTGTGACGACATATGAGTGCTCACATCAAGGATTCAAAAAGCCCATGTGGGCGTTGGAATCGCTGGTGCAGAAGGTCGCGAAGCTGTCAATGCCTCGGACTTTGCGATTGGTCAATTTCGGTTTCTTCGGCATCTTGGCATCGAATGGCATCGATGTTGATCCGAATCCTATGAGTTGAATGAAGTTGAAGACTTGGCACATCCTCATCCTGAAAGTGTGCCTCTGTGGTTGATCAAAGGAACATTCTCTCGGCTTAGGGAGGCGAGAATAGTTCAGGAATGGATGCACAGGATGATCAGTCTAAACATCTGGATTTTGGTTGGCATTGCCTTATCCTCATCCCAAAACCATCCAAAACCCGTTGAAGGACTAAGAGCAGTTTGTGGAGTCATTTCCTGTCATCTACTTCATAATTATCTACTCCAGCCCCAATGGTTTGTGCCATGTGCCTGTGGCAATGCAATACAATCCTACCTGAGATGATGATGCCAAACAAGCGATTCTACATGATTTCTACTTAGAGGATGGGGTGCAACCACCAGCCAGGCTCAGATGACACTGAGGTCTCTCCTTTTCCTTCATGGTCGAAGCAACATTCGCAGAATCGGCATGGTAATTGGCACTTTGGCTGAAAGAGCTGAACGAGCTGAATGTGGTGAGTCTTTGACAGTACTACGTAGTACTATCACGTCCTTCTGAAGGAGCTTAATCAAAGTTCACCATGACCTCTTCAGTACACAATTTGTTTCGATTGCACGACACTGAACAATCTTTTGCACATTTTTGCACAATAATAGATATAGAAGCCTAAACTCACAACTCGTCATGGTGTCGAGGCTATTCTTTCTACAAGAACTTTTTGCTGGTTCTTTGCATGGCTTGCTATGCCCCGTGGAACGGGTTGAGCGGCACAACCCTCTACGACTCCTACCTGATTATGATGTGACTTGGCAGCAAAATGCCCAACATGGATGATGGTGAGCTTTGCATTGACAATATTGACAATATTGACAGATTTTGTCAAAATTTTGTGAGGGCTTGTTAGGGTCTACTGCACTTGTGGACGGGGGGAGGCTTCCCTCAGACAAGGCTAGGGTAATGTGTCTATTTTAAAGGGCGGTCGCCACTTCAGTTTTTGCTGGCACGTTATTCGTTATATCTATTTGGCTGGCAATATTCCCACTTGGCTTGGTTATATCCTGAATCTTACTGTAATTGTTGATTATCATACAGCTGCAGTTGCAGTCTTGCCGTTTCTAATAAAATCCACAGTCTTCGCTACTCAAGTGAGAATGTGGATACAACATGATACAACTAAAAAATGAATCTAACAGGGATAAAAGGCTAACCCATAGCTGTTGTTCGTGTTGTTCCATCAGCGTAGGTACAACATGGTCTTCACAAGCTTTCCCATTTTCATCGTTGGCTCCCTTGATCTGGACGTCTACGCCCCGGCAGCCTTTGCCATGCCCAAGCTGTACTTCTTCGGAGTGAATAAGGCGCATATTATGAATTCAAACATATATTGAGAGTAAACTCCTACTGAAATAATATGAAATGAAATATGTATGAAATATATGAAATAGTGACAAAACCATTGCTGTTCTTGAATTAGTTGCGTTCCAATCCTTCTTGGGGATTTGTAATTCAAGAAAGAGAATGTGCATACTGCATACTGTATATTGTATAATGATGTATAGTGCTACAATATGATGGCTATATTATATGTATATAATCTAAGTGAGGGTGCGTCAGTAAAAGATGCATGCCTCTATATGCTTCTGACAATCGGACATGACCCCCATATCACACATGGCGGATATGCATAGGGAGTGCATGTGCCGCAAAGCGGCGAGCTTCAAGACAGCCGTAGAAGGAAAAGTCTATGCAGACTCTTCAACTACACGCAGTGCGGTGCAGGCCTACTTCAACTACAGGATGCTAGTTGCATGGCTCTTCCGTGGGGTTGTGCATGCACTGGTCAACTTCTTCGTGGCAGTTGTCTTTTTGGGCGGCTTGTGAGGGCCTTGGCCAGAAGCAAGCAGGCTTGATCTACTGTAACCCTATATATATATTATATATATATATATATGTATTGGATAATAGGCATGTAGGTTTACGGATGCTGGTGCTCGTTGTTTCTCTGGCTGCCTTTGTGTCAATACATGTTCAATAGCTGCAGGTCTGATGCATGCAAATATTAGACATAGAGCCACAGTGTGCTCTTCTTGTTGCATGCTGCTCCCTCCCGGGTGCAATGCCGCATGTCTAAGGGGCGGCAACAGCGGGCACTTTCCGGATTACCTGTCCCTGGGAACTTGGTCGTACTGGAGCTGTGTGCTCGTGGCAAACTCTACGTTGCTCCTTCATGCCCAGGCCAGGCAGTGTCTAGTTTCACACAACTCTTCGTAAACTTTAAACACCTTCAAACAATTTCAAACATCATAAACCCCCTTGCAACCCTGGCCCTAGTAGCCCTAGCATGTAGGCCCACAGAGCAGAGCTGTCAGTAGAGCACCTCACAGGGAAGTGGAGAGTACATTGTCGATTTTCAAAGGGCATAGGGGATGAAAATGGCGCAAGCGGAGCTGCCAAAGTTGTTCTTGTCAAGTGGGCCTTTAAAAGATCTAGTTGTTTGGCATGGTTTTGCAATTGTAATGCAAGGGAAATGATAGGAAACCACGCTGTTTACTGTCAATGATGTGATTCTCTAGCATTCTTAGGTGCATCTTTATCTGACACCTTCTGGCACCGAAGTCTTGAGACTTGTGAGATCTTGTGAGGGTGTGACGCTTTTACAGCTTGATCGCGTTTTGTGACCTAGCGGGCGCTTGCAGGTGTGGATGGACTGGCAACTCCTGATTTCGCTTCTCTCGGTCATGTTCTTCCCGCCAGCTGACAAAAAATACAAAAAAGCTTACAGTCCATTCGCAATTAGCACAGTATATATCAATATACATGTAAGATATCATATGTCGTCGGCTAATGGTGATTCTCTGATGACTCAGTTCTACATTTGCTCTAACCTGAGTTTGATCAGCAGGATGATTCCAACCATCACAGCTGGTTGATGACACCTCCAATGGATCCCTTGTCATTGGAAGATGTTAGACTGGAGACTGAACATAAATCACTGCCGTTGCGTGTGCCTGGGACATCCTGGGACGGCGTCAAGGCCTATCCTGTTCATCTACTCGACCCCATCCATGTCAAATGTCTTTAATCCATCTTTCCATGACGCCTGGTCCTCAGGATGCAAAGTTTCTTTTGGTTTGTTGATAGGGTTCAGTCAACAAACGACTCAACCGCACATGTATGTTGGATGTTTGACAACGCCAGGGAATCAGGTCCTTTTGTAGGGATCGTCTTTGATGTCAAAATGATCGATGCGCAGCAGTTTGTGCCGCCATGCAGTTGCTTGCCCCGCATTGTTTCCCAACACAGGACCTAAAAGTGTGATTTCGCCAAGAAAACATAAAAAGAAGTAGGACGTAGGATCAATATGGATCAATTAGCTAGGAGATGTAGGGGTAGGCCAATGCACAAATGGCAAACGTTTAGCTATCAGCGAAATCCTCCAGGAGTGTTACACTGCTCTATGCTTTGGAAAGCGTCAAATCGCAGGTGGCCAGCAATCTCTTTGCGTCACTCCCTGGGTGGCTGAGCCTTGTGCTCGTTTTTGCCCTTTCGGCGTCTTGGCATGTCTCCAAAGACTGCCCAGTGATGTGAAGCAGTCATCTCCAACTGCGCATCGTCAATTCGGTGGTAATGTTAACATGGTTTAACATGTTTCTTGTAAAAGCAACTTGCGAAGTATGCCCCCCGAATTTGCCGATATTGCATGATATTTTGAGGATACTTATTTAAATTGACCCTCTTAAAATCGCAATGGAAGTGGAAAGTGAATTTCCTCCTGGAAGCGAGTGATATTTTAGGTTTTAAGGATAGTTATTTGAAATTGACCCACTTGAAATGGCAATGGAAGTGGAAAGTGAATTTCAACAACTGGGACGCTGGGAAGTGAGTGACGTCCACTTCCATGATTGTTTCAAAAGTAGATTCATGAGAATCTACTGTCCAAGAGGCCACAGATGTTGCTTCTTATTTTGTTTGCGAAACTGGTCCAAGTTTCCAATTCTCGGGTACCCTAATCACGTGTCCAGTTTCTGCTCCGCAGAAAGACACTGCCCCAACATGTAAGTACATGAAGTACATGCGCATTGTCATAAAATTGCCGACCATCCCAGACTCATAAAGATATACGTAGATACAAAATGACATGTCAATGTGCTGTAATCAGTATTAACCAGTTTTCATCATTATTGACCACCACCATTAACCACTATTCACCATTCTTACATTAGCCATTGTTACCAGTTTACCATAGTTTACCCATTATTGGCTAACCAATTGGCTATAACATGCCATAACCATCCTATGGCTATTCCCAGCTCAACTGGAGGTTCTTGTTGAGTTGGCTCTGGACTCCTGGCGCCGGGTGAACCGGCCAGACTTGGTGACTCGAGTGCAGGCGCGTTTTCGGGGATTGAAGAAATCCAGTGTTTTTCCCTGGAAAATAGATGAAAAACATGGAAAATCCTAGTTTATTGGGAAAGGTATCAGGATTTTTGGATATTTATGTGGGTGAAGTGAATGGTGATAATGTATCTAATTTTTTGGGCATTGATTTTGTAACCAAGTCCCATTGAATAGATGAAGCTACGATGAGTCACGCTTCGGGCATCCAGGACTACCAGAGATCTAAGCCCAGCTTCCCCGAGGCTGAGGCATGTTGCTCCGAGATGCTGAGGGCAACAGCTAAAAAGATTAAAAAAGAGGTGGTCATCACATACGAGCAGACGAGAAACAAAAACAACAAAAAGCTGGGTTTTGTCAACCCTGTGTGTGAAACATGTGCCGTCCTTTGCATGAGGCATCCAGCAAACATTTCTGTACTGCATGTTGTTTTGTGGAAGAGAAATGTGTTTGGCAGTTCTTTTCTTGGTGCTTGGCTCCCAAACGATGCTGTGAACTAAGATCAGCAGCTGGATGCAGAGCATGTCCCAAAATTTCGTAAAGGATCGCTTGTCGAACCTGAGAAAACAATATATAGAGAATGATGCCAGATGGACACCCTGTATGGTTATATATATATATATACATATAATTATATATACGTATATATATATATAGGTCTACATATATACATATGTAATCATATGTATATCATTAGGTAGATAGATAGATTGATTGATTGGTTGATTGGTTGACTGATTCATTGATAGATTGATAGATTGATAGATAGATTAGAGACATTAGATAGATTAGATAGATTAGATGGATTAGATGGATTAGATGGATTAGATAGATTAGACAGATTCGATAGATGGATAGATTAGATTAGAATAGATTAAATTAGATCAGATCAGACTAGATAATATTAGATAGATAGATAGATAGATAGATAGATAGATAGATAAAGATAGATAGATAGATAGATAATGATAGATAGATAGATAGATAATGATAGATAATGATAGATAGATAGATAATGATAGATGGATAGATAGATAGATAGATAGATAGTGATAGATAGATAGTGATAGATAGATAATGATAGATAGATAATGATAGATAGATAATGATAGATAGATAATGATAGATAGATAATGATAGATAGATAATGATAGATAGATAATGATAGATAGATAATGATAGATAGATAATAATAGATAGATAATGATAGATAGATAATGATAGATAGATAATGATAGATAGATAATGATAGATAGATAGATGATAGATAGATAATGATAGATAGATAATGATAGATAGATAATGATTGATAGATAATGATAGATAGATAATGATAGATAGATAATGATAGATAGATAATGATAGATAGATAATGATAGATAGATAATGATAGATAGATAATGATAGATAGATAATGATAGATAGATAATGATAGGATAGATAGATAATGATAGATAGATAATGATAGATAGATAATGATAGATAGATAATGATAGATAGATAATGATAGATAATGATAGATAGATCATGATAGATAGAATGATAGATAGATAATGATAGACAGATAATGATAGATAGATTAGATGATAGATAGATATGATAGATAGATATGATAGATAGATAAGATAGATAGATGATAGATAGATAATGATAGATAGATAATGATAGATAGATAGATAGATAGATGATAGATAGATAATGATAGATAGATAATAGATAGATAGATAGATAGATAGATAGATAGATGATAGATAGATAATGATAGATAGATAGATAGATAGATAATGATAGATAGTTAATGATAGATAGATAATGATAGATAGATAATGATAGATAGATAATGATAGATAGATAATGATAGATAGATAATGATAGATAGATAATGATAGATAATGATAATGATAGATAGATAATGATAGATAGATAATGATAGATAGATAAAGGTAGATAGATAAAGATAGATAGATAGATAAATAAGGATAGATAGATAAGGATAGATAGATAAGGATAGATAGATAATGATAGATAGATAATGATAGATAGATAATGATCAAAGGAAGTTGGGAAGCAATTTCCGAGTTACGAATGACTTTTTACTTGGTGCAATTGACTATGATGAAGGGTGGTAGATCCTGTAACAATACATAATGTACCAATACATCACAAACCAATAAGAAGCAATGAAATTGACCTTGAGGAAGGGTGGTAGATCATATAATAGATCATATAACAATACATAATATAACAATACATAATGTACCAATACATAACAAAAGAATAAGAAGCTATGAAATTGACCTTGAGGAAGTGATGATGAAGGGGAGTGGTGACGAAGGGAAGTGGTGAGGAAGGGAAGTGGTGAAGAAGGGAAGTGGTGACGAAGGGAAGCGGGGAAGAAGGGAAGTGATGATGAAGGGGAGTGGTGACGAAGGGAAGTGGTGACGAAGGGAAGTGGTGACGATGGGAAGTGGTGACGAAGGGAAGTGGTGACGAAGGGAAGTGGTGACGAAGGGAAGTGGTGACGATGGGAAGTGGTGAGGAAGGGAAGTAGTGAGGAAGGGAAGCGGTGACGAAGGGAGGTGGTGACGATGGGAAGTGGTGACGATGGGAAGTGGTGAGGAAGGGGAGTGGTGAGTTGGGGAGGAAGCCGGAGCACGAAACCTTGTGTTTTTCCGTGTAAAGTGGCTGCAGCCGGCGATGAAAGGTACCTCGTGTGTGCGACGGGTGCGGCTGGGGTCGGTTGGTCGTTTTTTTTTTGCCGCAGTGTAACGGTGGCTTGAAGCTGCTTTGGGTGTGCTTGTGTGTGCGTAGTTATAGTGTGTTTTGGAATCTCCGGTTGCAGATCGCATTGGAATGGCTGCATGATGTTGCATGGGCTATGTTTTGGGGAGGAAGCCGGAGCACGAAACCTTGCGTTTTTCCGTGTAAAGTGGCTGCAGGCGACGATGAAAGGTACCTCGTGTGTGCGACGGGTGCGGCTGGGGTCGGTTGGTCGTTTTTTTTTTTGCCGCAGTGTAACGGTGGCTTGAAGCTGCTGTGGGTGTGCTTGTGTGTGCGTAGTTATAGTGTGTTTTGGAATCTCCGGTTGCAGATCGCATTGGAATGGCTGCATGATGTTGCATGGGCTATGTTTTGGGGAGGAAGCTGGAGCACGAAACCTTGTGTTTTTCCATGTAAAGTGGCTGCAGCCGGCGATGAAAGGTACATCGTCTGTGCGGCGGTTGCGGCTGCGGTCGGTTTGTCGTTTTTTTTGCCGCAGTGTAACGGTGGCTTGAAGCTGCTTTGGGTGTGGTTGTGTGTGCGTAGTTATAGGGTGTTTTGGAATCTCCGGTTGCAGATCGCATTGGAGTGGCTGCCTCAAGGTTGCTTGCCGCCTCGGCTGCATGCGTAATACTATTGTCTTTTGCAGCTGAAGATTTGTGAATCGTATTGGAGTGGCTGCACCCAGGTTCCGATAGTCATTTGTCAGCAGATTTTCGCAAATTTGGCGCTAGTAATTTTCCTTTTAAAATTCCTTGTAAAAAATGCGTCAAAATCGTCTTTTTTCTGCTTTGGCGTCGAGATCCGGTTTTGGAGTTGCGATTTCCGACGCCGTTGCGCTTAGTTCTATTGTGATTTGCAACTCAGTCTCTGCAGATCGCATTGGAGTGGCTGCCTCAAGGTTGCTTGCCGCCGCGGCTGCATGCATAATACTATTGTCTTTTGCAGCTGAAGATTGTAAATCGTATTGGAGTGGCTGCATCCAGGCTGCGATAGTCATTTGTCAGCAGATTTTCGCAAATTTGGCGCTAGTAATTTTCCTTTTAAAATTCCTTTTAAAAAATGCTTCAAAATCGTCTTTTTTTTGCTTTGGCGTCGAGATCCGGTTTTGGAGCTGCAATTTCCGACGCCGTTGCGCTTAGTTCTATTGTGATTTGCAACTCAGTCTCTGCAGATCGCATTGGGGTGGCTGCCTCAAGGTTGCTTGCCGCCGCGGCTGCATGCGTAATACTATTGTCTTTTGCAGCTGAAGATTGTAAATCGTATTGGAGTGGCGGCATCCAGGCTGCGATAGTCATTTGTCAGCAGATTTTCGCAAATTTGGCGCTAGTAATTTTCCTTTTACAATTCCTTTTACAATTCCTTTTCGCAAATTTGGCGCTAGTGTGAAGTGTGGAGTGTGAAGTGTGGATTGGGGAGAGTGCAGTGTGAAGTGAGAAGTGTGAAGTGTTGACTGCGAAGGGTGCAGTGTGAAGTGTGAAGACTGTCAAGTGTGAAGTGTGACGTGAGGCTTCAAGTGTGACATGTGAAACACGACACCAGTTTCGCAGAGTGCACGCACGCACGGGCTTGGCTGGCGCACGGCGCATGCAAGTTCTATAGATGAGAAATGTCTTATATATATCTTTAAGGCAACTTCCGCCCCGCCTCGTGCGGGTACTACTGGTAGATAGATAATGATAGATAGATAATGATAGATAGATCATGATAGATAGATAATGATAGTAGATCATGATAGATAGATAATGATAGATAGATAATGACAGATAGATAATGATAGATAGATCATGATAGATAGATAATGATAGATAGATAATGATAGATAGATATAATGATAGATAGATATAATGATAGATAGATAATGATAGATAGATAATGATAGATAGATAATGATAGATAGATAATGATAGATAGATAATGATAGATAGATAAGGATAGATAGATAATGATAGATAGATAATGATAGATAGATAATGATAGATAGATAATGATAGATAGATAATGATATAGATAATGATAGATAGATCATGATAGATAGATCATGATAGATAGATAATGATAGACAGATAATGATAGATAGATTATGATAGATAGATAATGATAGATAGATAATGATAGATAGATAATGATAGATAGATAAGGATAGATAGATAATGATAGATAGATAATGATAGATAGATAAGGATAGATAGATAAGGATAGATAGATAATGATAGATAGATAAGGATAGATAGATAAGGATAGATAGATAAGGATAGATAGATAAGGATAGATAGATAATGATAGATAGATCATGATAGATAGATAATGATAGATAGTTAATGATAGATAGATAATGATAGATAGATAATGATAGATAGATAATGATAGATAGATAATGATAGATAGATAATGATAGATAGATAATGATAGATAGATAATGATAGATAGATAAGGACAGATAGATAATGACAGATAGATAATGACAGATAGATCCTGATAGATAGATAGTGATAGATAGATAATGATAGATAGATAATGATAGATAGATAGTGATAGATAGATTATGATAGATAGATAATGATAGATAGATAAGGATAGATAGATAATGATAGATAGATAATGATAGATAGATAATGATAGATAGATAATGGTAGATAGATAAGGATAGATAGATAATGATAGATAGATCATGATAGATAGATAATGATAGATAGATAATGACAGATAGATAATGACAGATAGATAATGATAGATAGATAATGATAGATAGATAATGATAGATAGATAATGATAGATATATAATGATAGATAGATAAGGATAGATAGATAAGGATAGATAGATAATGATAGATAGATAAGGATAGATAGATAATGATAGATAGATCATGATAGATAGATAATGATAGATAGATAATGATAGACAGATAATGACAGATAGATAATGATAGATAGATAATGATAGATAGATAATGATAGATAGATAATGATAGATAGATAGATAGATAGATAGATAGATAGATAGATAGATAGATATACTGTAGATAGATATACTGTAGATAGATATACTGTAGATAGATATACTGTAGATAGATATACTGTAGATAGATATACTGTAGATAGATATACTGTAGATAGATATACTGTAAATTGTAAATAGATATACTGTAGATAGATAGGTTAGATAGGATAGACTAGATACATTTGAATAGAATAGAGAGATAAGACAGATAAGATAGAATAGAGTAGAATAGAATAGAATAGGATAGATAGATGGATATTATCAAATTATATATAATATATATATATATGTGTGTGTGTGTATTTATATCCTCACAAAAGAGTGTCATGTTTACACGGTTTGACCGGGAAAGTGAGGATCAACCTGCCAGGTGCATGTGCACCGCGGCGGGCCGACTTCCACGTCGCTGCCCTTGAACTCACCGAGTATGATACAAGTGGACACTGGCTTTCATACTAAGTGCGTAGGGACGGGAGGATTATGAGCATGCATGATTATTTATTACCTTGAATGGTGTAAAATGATAGCCACGTTAGTGGGCTTCCTTCCATGTTGGAAACCTTGAATGCTGTAAAATGATAGCCACGTTAGTGGTCTTCCTTCCATGTTGGAAACCTTGAATGCTGTAAAATGATAGCCACGTTAGTGGGCTTCCTTCCATGTTGGAAACCTTGAATGCTGTAAAATGATAGCCACGTTAGTGGGCTTCCTTCCATGTTGGAAACCTTGAGACACAAAATGATAGCCACGTTAGTTGGTTTTCCTTGGCCAGGGTCTCTGGGGAACATGCTGGTCTGGGAGACCCAAGTGATAGTCACGTTAGCACTGTAAAATTCGAAAACGCACGGTTACGTTAAATTACCGGAGTGTATGTTCTGTAAACGTATTGTAAAAAGTGACAGTGGCAGAGTGCTTCTGATGAGACACAACCAGCAGGGGTCTAACATGGTAGCCCCAAACGAAGGGTACCACCATGCTAGACCCCACGTCCCCAAATTTTCTGAGGTCTATTTTACTTTTGGAAAACATCTAGATCGCCATGGGGAACACCATTCTAGACCCAAATCTTGGGGTCTAAACCAAGGCCCCCAGGGGCCCAACCTAGTAGTTGAGAGGATTTATTTATTCATTTTTTGTGTTCACAACCATGTGCGCTCAAACAATATGCGAACCTCATGGAACCCCTACTTTGTGTGTTGGGCATTACTCAGTTGACTGAACTGAGAAAAACAAATCGCCCTGACTAATGAGCTGATGGGCCAGCAAACGAGTTCTTTTAATGTTTGTGTGGGTTACATGTACTGGCGCACAGCCCTCCTATGATTCTCCCATAATTACATTGCCTGTTTACTTCTTCAAGTTCCGATCCGTTTAAGTTCTTATCATTTTGGTATACTGTAGGAGATAGGTTTTTGTTGCTGGCACGTTTTCTTCTTGAATATCACGATTATATAATTATGCTAGATCAATGGGAATCGGCAGCATCAGCCTTCCTTGCTTGATTCATGAGCGAAGCCGAGGACAAGAGCTATGGGCATGGGAATATCCTCACTTGCCAAAACAGCCGTTCCTTCAATGAGACCAGATTCAGTTCCGTGCCTCCCAGGCCAACCGCATAGAGAGAAATCGCCGCAGGTCAAAATTAACACCATCCAAATCGGGGGTAGATGAATAAGATGTAATAAGATGAGATGTACCCAAACCACAACTCTTAGACTATCAGGCAAGAACAATGGAGATGTGAAGAACAATGGAGTAGGGGAAGGATAAAGATCCCAACATCGTGTTTTTGTTGACTAAGATGTTGACTGAACAGTGGGCCTCCACGGCCCCAGCCCCAAAAGGAATAGCGAAACCGGAGAGCCTGGAGGGTTCATGCAAGTCTTGAAAAGCACAGTGATTCCAAATTCAAGTTGTGGTTGGCCCTTGCAAGTGAGGCAATGTTCCATGAATTTGGCACTGCATTTTGTTTTCAAGCGGAAGCACAAGTATTTATGTTGTTGTGGCATGTTCTCCCAGAATTCACCCATTTTCCTGGCAGCTCCAGCTACCCTCTCATGTCTCTATATAGTGTCGAAGTTTTCAACATTAGCAGATTCATACATCTATTACATCTATTTGACTGGGGACTGCCCTCACTCAGTTTCTTCATGATTTTTCCTCTTTCCCAATTTCTCTTTGAGAACACAAAGAGCCCCGGGCTTGCCACGATTCTGGAGGTCCCCGTGCAGCGATCGTGATCATCTTGTTCGGGCCAACCAGCTGACCCAGACCAACCCGCTGACTCAGACACAAGCAGACTTGTCTCAAGGCAATTGGGTTTTGCATGGGTCATCAAGGGTCATTCAGCGTGGAACTGGAAGTTGTAAAATCCTGCAGATACTACTTGCAGCTGCTGCAGAACTTATATATGTCTGACCCAAGTCCTTTCCCAAGGAATACTGCGCCCTTGAAAAGCTAGGCGCTTTCAAAGTACTGCATCTAGAGAAGGATGCTAGTTTAAACAACTCTATATGTTTTACAACTACTATATTGCACATCATTACACTATTTTCCAGAAATGCATTACTCTTCCAAATGGAATATTGCAAAATGTGATGCTACACTTCTATGCTTCTTTCAGAAGACTGTTTCAAGAGAGTACTGCATCCATGCAAGGACATTTTTTGAAACTAAGGTCTTTTCGAAGTACTACTGCATCTATTAAGACATTATGACAAACAATGTTACGTTTTCTTGAAGGAGAGTGCCCCATCATGTTTAAGGAACGTGCCACTCTTGTCAATGGATCATTGCAAAAAGTAATGCTACACTATAACTCTTTTTCTAGATATATTCCTGTTCTAGAAGAATGCTGCATAGACAAAAAGAACGTTCTTGTTAAAGTAATGCAGTGTTTTTTTAAAGGGACCTCACATGTTTGTCATTTTCCAAGGATACTTCGCCCTTGAAAGAGTCTTGCAAAGTACCGCTGCATTTATTCAAGAATGCTAGTTTTAAACGCGGTTCATTTGATTTCTCAGACAAATATACACGATTTCCAGAAATGCGTCACTTTTCATAATGGAATGTTGCAAAAAGTGATGCTACGCTACTACATGTGTGTAAGAATACAACACTACTTCAAAAATCTTCAAAAGAGTGCTGCATCCACTCAAGGACTTCCGAAGGCAACATTTGTTCAAAGTACTACCGCATTATCTATTAGAAAGAAATTGTACAATCTTTTAATTAATACCGAATACCTCATAATTTTATGCAATATGTCCGGTACTCTTTCAAAGAGTACTGCATCAATTCAAGAAAATTTGACAGGTAAGACTCTTTCAAAGTACGACTACTGCATCTACTGACGCATTCTCTTACGAAGAAATAGTACCCTCTTTTACAAAATGCCCCCTAAATTTATCCATGTGTCCGATACTTTTCAAAAGAGTACTGCATCCATTCAAGGACGTTCTTTGAAACTAAGACTTTTCCTCAGTACTACTGCATCTATTGAAGCATTCTATCACAAAGCAATGTTACGTTCTCAAAGAAATACCCCACCATTCCCAAAAGTGTAAGTTTCTCAGTTTATAAATTCTTGGTCTATCCGGAAAGGTTTGTGGCAAAAGCAAAGATTTCCGAGGGATGCCTCACTGAATGGGTACACACTGGCTAAAAATAAACGTCTTCAATCCAGCCTGTCTGGATTTAAGATTCAAGATTCACTGCTGAAGCCCCCTTGGATTCAAGAAGTTTTTTCTGGGCTTTGAATCTTGAATCTTGAATCCGATGTAGTTAGGGGGGATGGGATGGCAACAAGTTTAAAGAAAATGCAACTTTTGACATCCAAAAAATGCCCTAAGTTTAAAAGGCAAAAATAAGCAAGAAAAAACACTGCAAATAACAGTTATTTTGCTAAACATGTACTGTAGGTCTTGGGGGGGTACCACACAGACACACACACACACTTTGGTAAACTCCATAATGGAGAGGGTGAAATGAGATGAAATGATAACCGTCATGTCGTGTTGTTACATTAGCATGTCATGTCATGTCATGTCATGGCATGTCGGCATGGGTGGTTTTTGGCTTGGCCACCTTGCCATTTCGGATGCAGGTACGTTTTCACGACGACATAGATGGGTCTTCGTTGGCCCGTGCCATCTATGCGTCCACGGGCCCCCTGCTTTTTCCCTTTGATTCAGGGTTTCTCACACACAGCAAGCCACTAGGGCACGATGTTTCCATTCCGCTGCTTGTTCTCTTAGATCCAAGGTTTCCACTTAGACGTATATCAAGCCGCTGGACACGATTTTTCCAAGAACAACTTCCCTCGGTGTGGTTGTTTTGGACTGAATGCGAAGAAAATGACCCCTCAGCGCTGTTGGTCTTGTGTCCCATATGTTGAAAACCAAATTACAAACAAACCAAACTTTTTTGGAGTTGAAACTGAACGGATAAGACTGGTGGTTTGAAGTGAATATATTAGGTATAAAATCAAGTCTCCTGCTTGACCAAAGAACTAATCAGCAAGTATGGCGAAGAAGCAATGTCGGTTTGTAGATCTGTGTCGTCTGCGTCGCCTGGTGGTGGATCTGTGCTTCTTGCGTGTGGTGCGAGATCGTGTACGGCTGTGCTTGTTGTGACTCAGTGGTGGAGTTGAAGCTGTAGTGGTTGGAAATTGCTGTGAAAATGGCGTGGCTGGTACTGGTTGTACTAGTGTTGTGCTTGTTGACTGTGGTGTAGACTGGTAAGTGACGAATGATCCATATTGTGGTGGTGAGAGCTGAAGATTGGGTATGGCTGCATTGTAATGTGGTGGTGGCTGAAGACATGGCATGGCTGTGCTGTGATGTTGTGTGTTGAAAGCATAGAGGTTGTGTAAACGCAGAGTTGGCAAATGGTGCTTGTGTTGGCTGTGGGACGGTGTGTCCCATAAGTCGTTGTGGTTGTTGTTGTGAAGTTGGAGCAAAAGGCTGTCTGAAAGCTGCAGTGGCACACTGTGGTTGCATTGAGTGTGGTATAGTGTGTCCGGCTGGATCATGTTGTTGTGGAGTCTGAGAGAATGTTGGTAGAAAGGTGCTGATGCTTGTGTGTTCTGTGATGCTTGTGTGTTGCACATAAGTCGTCGTCGAAGCTGAGCGTAGAGCCGGTGTCCGATTCCCAAATAAGTGGTGCGCAGTGCTTGTCGTAAGTGTGGTGTTGAGTGTTGTTTTGTGACTTGTCGTTGTAAGATAAACGGGTAGCTGAGTGGTGGACACCACTTTTGGATGATGTAGCTTTCCAGCGTTCGTGTTTGTAATGTTGTATTGGTGGGTAACAACGGCAATGCGACAAATTGATGATAGTTGTTTTGGCTGCAAAACCAATGGAGTGCCAACTTGCATGACACAGGTTGTGCTGGTTTTAATTGTCTGAGCTTGCGTTGTCTGGTGTTCTGACGGTCGTGTAGCGTGTGTATGGTACTGCCGATGTAGTGTTCTGTGCTGGAAAGACGAATGTTGAGTCCCGATATGACAACTGCATGAAGAAGTATATATACAGTGTTGGATTGACAGAACATTTGTTGCAACTGTACAAAAGTGCGAACAGACTTTAAACATGTTCTGTCAAATCTCCGATTCCATTTTCGACATGATTGTTGATGAACCTGATTGGTACACCAATGAAGAAAACAAAAACCAACTGCAACACGTAGGAATGTTCGATAAGCAACAGTGTCATAGAAATCGTCAGGTGGAAAATGTTGTAAGAATCCGAAAAACGCAACGCATGCCGCCGAAAACTGTACATGATCCGGATCGCCGCGGTCTAGTCACTCTAGTTGAGTGACCGCAAACAGCGGCAGCTTGTAGAGCTCCTCATTGCGCGCCTTTGCCGCCAGCGCCACCGGCAAACCAAGCGATGCTGCTTTGTCTGCAAACGTGCTTTGCTCGGCTTTTGGGATGTTCTTCATAAGTTGATGCAATGTGCTCAATGCCTCCTGAAGGGCTGCTTGGTGTTGTTTTGGAACTGGCTGTTTTTTAATCCAAGCGTCCACTGTTTTGGTGACGAGTGTGTGCGGTGCGGCTGTGGTGAAAGGACGTGTGGTGTTTGTGCCTGGTAGATTTTGGATGCTATCCTGTAGGTCGGTGATTGTAGTTTGTCGAGGAGCATCACTTACACTGCGAGGAGTGGTGGTGTGTGCTGAGGTAGTAGTGTTTTCCGCACCGCTTGCTTTGATGCCCATGTCCATCCAATTGGACCATCCCATGTATGCCAATTGACGTAGGTGGATACTTTCGATGGGTTCGGCCTGCAAGTTGGTACCTTTGGCTCCAAGCTGTGGATGTGATTTGGCGTGGAAACGTCAAGCCATACTGGTGTTTGGTGTCAAAGTGTTCATTGTCTGGCTGGAAACTGCTCGGTAAGTTGCGGTCGTACCGCTTTGTGCCTTGTGGGCTCGGTGGTTCGTTCCAATGCTGGTGTTGTGTGTGTGCTTGAAATGCTCTTGGTGGTGTGTTGACTTGGTATTGTTTCGAATGCCAAGAATCATACGGTCTCATGCTGCCGCGCCACGAGGTCATGGTTGCACTCAAACAACGAAAAAAACGTGAAGGTGTCTTGATGATTGCGATAATATTTACTTTTGAGCACGGAGATTGCTATCAGAAACAAAGTTCGAAACAGAGATTGCTATCAGAGACAACATCCGAAACAAAATTGGAACAATGGATGAAATTAGGCAATTAGGACTTGATAACATCAACAATGTTAACACGTGTGACGCTTAGAATTACAATGGGTGACGACATGTTGGCAAGACTCTTCAAAACAGTTCCAAACGGCTTGGTGGAAGTACACTGTACATCGGCTCTTTTTGTTGGTTCCGCTGGTATGTTCTATGCCACGTGTCACCAGGAAGATTTCACAAGGGATATTATTTATATCACAAGGACACATTATATTTATAGGAAGGTGGAGATTCTTGAAAATTAATAAATTCGATAAAAATGGCATATCATATTGTAATATAAACGGAGGTGAAACTGGCGTATCAGCAGCCTCTCATTTGCACGTCTGTCGGCAGCAGCTGCGGCTCGCCAAACTCATCTTCATGCTCAAGCATGTGCTGTACTGGTGTGGAGAAGTTTGGATCAGGCTTAAGGATCCAAATGCTGGAGATGTGTGCCAGTGTTGAGTGAATGCACCAGCGGCGATCCCGTGGTCTGTGGACTATGCCGTGAGTGTCCACTTCTTCTTGTTCGGCCCATCCAGATTCGTTTGTGACATGTGCCCAGTGGTAGTAGGCGTTGCCTGCTTGTGATAGTGATGTTGTGGTGTTGCGTGGCATGTTTTGTAAGTGTAGTTGCCACATTCTGAATTGTTGGTGCTGGTGAAATGTGATGTGGGTAAGTGTGTTGTTGATAGGCATGCCGGTTGTGACGATGTACTTTGCTAACGTTGTGGTGATGTCTTCTTGTGGTAGGTCGATGCCTGCTGGAAATCGTGTTTCCAACCAAGCTGTCATGTCACGTACACTTTTGTCCCGATCTGATAAGAATCGGAAGTATACTGACGGTGCTGTGAGCTCACGGGCTTGGAGTGTTGCTGAGTGAAGGCGTGTTGCTCTAACTCTTGGTACTTGAATATCTGGTAGCTGTCACGCGTGGGAGGTTTCCACGGAATGAGGACTGACGGATCCTGTTGTATTTGTCGTTCGATGGCTTCTTGAAGGTGATCAATTGCTTGTGTTGGCTGTGGTTCGTTTGTAGTGTTGGTGGTGTCAAGTGGTGTTGGTGGTGTGTATTGCTGGCGAGGTGTGAGGTGGACTTGTCCCGCTGTGACAGTCTTTGATGTTGTGGTGTTGTAAATGTTCTTGGACTTGGCGATGGACCTGATTTGGTCAGCCAGGCTAGTCGGTGGTGGTACTTTGGGAGGAAGCAAAGGAGGCGGCGGAGGTGGTTGTTGATGAGGAGTGGGAGAGGTGGAGAACAGGTGTTTACCTGTGTGTTCTGATGGTAACGGTGGTGGTGGAAGAGATGGTAGTTGTGTTGTTGGTGGTGGTGGTAGTGGTGAAGTGTGGTGATGTGGTGACGTGTGTTGCTGAGAAGATGCTGCTGGTTTGTGTCCGGTGTGTGATCGATGGTTGGATTTGGATCTGTCAGTGTTTGAGGGATGTTGCCTGCGATGTGAACGATGCTGGCGTCGACGTTGTGATTGGTGTTGTGATTTTGGTGTCGTGAGTGATGTCGTTTCGTAGATTTGCGTCGGCTGTGTCGCCTGGTAGTGGATCTGTGCTTCTTGCATGTGGTGAGAGATCGCGTACGGCTGTGCTTGTTGTGACTCCGTGGTGGGGTTGAAGCTGTAGTGATTGGAGATTGCTGTGAAACTGGTGTGGCTGGTAGTGGTTGTACTAGTGTCGTGCTTGTTGAGTGTGGTGTAGGCTGGTAAGTGAGGAATGATCCATATTGTGATGGTGAGAGCTGAGGATTGGGTATGGCTGCGTTGTAATGTGGTGGTGGCTGAAGACCTGGCATGGCTGTGCTGTGATGTGGTGTGTTGAAAGTGTGACAAGATGGAGGTTGTGTAAACGCAGAGTTGGCAAATGGTGCTTGTGTTGGCTGTGGGACGGTGTGTCCCAGAAGTTGTGGTTGTTGTTGTTGTTGTTGTTGTTGTTGTTGTTGTTGTGGAGTTGGAGCAAAAGGCTGTGTGAAAGCTGCTGTGGTACACTGTGGCTGCATTGATTGTGGTAAAGTGTGTCCGGCTCGATAATGTTGTTGTGGAGTCTGAGAGAATGTTGATAGAAAAGGTGCTGATGCTTGTGTGTTGTGTGATGCTGAACTCATCCACTGGGCAAACAAATCAGCTGCCGTCATCGCGGGCTGCATGGTCGGAATCACGAAGCTGCAAGCGCTGCACATGTCAATCTTCAATGTGGCCATGATGTCAAATCGAAAGTTATCTAACTCATGTTATTACTCAACATGGCATGATGATTCACATTCATGGCTTTCAAAGGTGATTGGAGTGAGTGGAACTGGATCGAATATGGCGTTGCATGTCAAATGAGCGTTGGCTTTGCTCAGCAAGAATGTGGAGGTGAACCCAAGCTGTGGTGTGCTTGGAAAGATTGTGGTTGTAAAATTGGAAAACTTGTTGATATCTGTGCTTCTTGCGTGTGGTGCGAGATCGTGTACGGTTGTGCTTGTTGTGACTCAGTGGTGGAGTTGAAGCTGTAGTGGTTGGAAATTGCTGTGAAACTGGTGTACTAGTGTCGTGCTTGTTGAGTGTGGTGTAGGCTGGTAATTGAGGAGTGATCCATATTGTGGTGGTGAGAGCTGAGGATTGGGTATGGCTGCGTTGTGATGCGGTGGTGGCTGAAAACCTGGCATGGCTGTGCTGTGATGTGGTGTGTTGAAAGTGTGCAAAGATGGAGATTGTGTAAACGCAGAGGTGGCAAATCGTGCTTGTGTTGGCTGTGGGACGGTGTGTCCCAGAAGTTGTGGTTGTTGTTGTTGTTGTGGAATTGGAGCAAAAGGCTGTGTAAAATCTGCTGTGGTACACTGTGGTTGCATTGATTGTGGTAAGGTGTGTCCGGCTGGATAATGTTGTTGTGGAGTTTGAGAGAATGTTGATAGAAAAGGTGCTGATGCTTGTGCGTTGTGTGATGCTGAACTCATCCACTGGGCAAACAAATCAGCTGCCGTCATCGCGGGCTGCATGGTCGGAATCACGAAGCTGCAAGCGCTGCACATGTCAGTCTTCAATGTGGCCATGATGTCAAACCGAAAGTTATCTAACTCATGTTATTAGTCATCATGGCATGATGATTCATGTTCATGGCTTTCATGTTGCGCCATGTGAACTACGCGATGATTCATGTACAGGGTTTTCATGTTGCACCATGTAAACTACGCGAAAACTAACCAAATTGGTCTCAGTGAGGCTATCGAGTCATGTCTGTAAAAAGCCGCGAGCAGTCATGCATGGGATCCGTGTTGCAATCATACTACTGGTTCATGTGTAGAGGCCAAGGTTAAGAGTGAAAAACGGTCGTGTTAGTTAAACATGTAGAACCGCATGGGATGACACGGGGTTATTCTGAGGGATGAAAATTTCACTCTGGATTTATTCTGGCATGGACTCTGGATTTATTCTGGCATGGACTCGGGATTTATTCTGAAAAGCATTCAATCCCCTGATGGAGTCTTCTGGATGCTTGTGCGAACTCTGGATGCTTGTGCGGAACTGGCTTCTGGCAACATTATGTCTGGATTTATTCTTGTAACCTGGTATCCCCGGCGGACGCACCACCAAGCTTCCCCGGCACTTTGTCAGAGATCCGGGCGCATGAAAGACACACTTTGGTAAACTCCATAATGGAGAGGGTGAAATGAGATGAAATGATAACCGTCATGTCGTGTTGTTACATTAGCATGTCATGTCATGTCATGTCATGGCATGTCGGCATGGGTGGTTTTTGGCTTGGCCACCTTGCCATTTCGGATGCAGGTACGTTTTCACGACGACATAGATGGGTCTTCGTTGGCCCGTGCCATCTATGCGTCCATGGGCCCCCTGCTTTTCCCTTTGATTCAGGGTTTCTCACACACACACACACACGCATGTGTATATATATATAATTATATGTTTATGCGTGTGTGATATGCGTATAGGCACACAGACAACCAGAGAGGTGCCCATACTGTGCCAGATCCAGGAGTTTCGAAATATGAGAAGCTCTTCCCAGCCTCCTTGGTCAGTTCTGTTCCCTGGAGTCTCTCGGCAAATGCGCAGAGCCTAAGTAATCCGATGCGATTTGTTTCCTGCTAGATCGGGCCCGAACGGACTGAAGCACAGATTTTACTTTATGCATTTGCGCAATCTGAGGTTGGATGGGAAAAGCTGCCTGTTTTATAAGATGTGTGGCAGGAAAAAACCTGTGTTGCATCGTTTAGCACCTATGAGCGGAATGTGAGACAATAACCAAGTCAGGAACACTACCAAACCCTGTACTGTACCAATCCCTGTGCCCCATGGGTTCAACTGAGATGATCTGAGTCACCTGAGGTTACAAGCGAAGTTCCATGGCCGAATAGCTTTGTTGGATGGGAGGTGATGGCATCCTGAACAAGAATCTGATATATCAGAAAAATCCGATGTTTGTCTTCACTTGCAGCTTCCAGATGCATCGGCTATCATTGCCTGCAAGCTTGTTTGCTGTAGATTGTAACACTTCCCGATCAATTTTGGTCATCCAGCACATTAATTCTTAGCAAGTGGAGCGAAAGAAATCGGAATCCTCAAACCCAAGGTGCTTCACGCCTTTGAGAGAATAAAAGACTCTAGAATACATCTACCTTTTCATTGGCAGCATCTCTGTTGAATTATTCTTGAATCTTGAGAACATGTTTCCCACTTCCCACTGCACAACGGACTCTGGACTGAGGCAACTGCAACTCTGGCAACTTTCGAGTTGAAGAGGCAGAGCTGAAGGAGCAACCGCTTCACAACCAGTACAACCTCTCCAATGGGCGGGTATGGGTCAAGCATTAGAGACATCCGACCAACAGATATCAACAGATCTTGGTCAGTTTTTGTATTTGTCATTTCAACAGTATCGAATCCGAAATGCATTGAACCCAAATCTGCCCACCAAGGCTGCTGGAATCAGCTTAGGGTTGGAATGGTTACCGGATGGTTACCGGATGGTTACCGGATGGTTCAGTGTCTCACGGTGTGAGGAGTACTGCCGCTTTGCCAAGCATCCGCTGCCGAAACAGCCAGGCCCGAGGGGCTGAGGGGTCAGGGTCAGATCATTCTGCAAGGATCTGCAAGGTTTATCCTGGGGGAGTGGTCCTCACATGTCCTCAATGAGTTGTCATGTCCATCAAACATCCTGCAAAGCCATGCAAAGCCTTATATATGGTGTATTATGGTGTTGTGAAAATTTGTGAACTCATGAGTATGTGTTGGGTCCAAAGTCTGTGGCTCCAAGACTCGAAACTTCGAAACTGATGCACCGCCTCAACCGGACCATGCAAAAGGCTAACATGTTGAAGTCAGTGGTTTCTTGGTGACATGTCGTGACATGTCGTGACATGTCGTGACATGTCGTGACCATCATCGACCATCCCAATGTGACCGGTGCATACCGGTGTCAGAGATTTCACCCATCTCCATCTAGGCTTGAGATTGCTCCTGGATTTTGCGTGGAAAGATCGGAACAAAGACAAGGCTGGTGAGTATCGATCAGCCAATTGAAATCAGTTCATGCAGAACTGGCGTTTCGAAGCATGCAGACACGTCTATTTTAGTCTATTTATTTTGTTCGTTCGTTCGTTCGTTTGTTTCTGTGTTTGTTTGTTCATTTATATATATATATTTATTTATTTATTATATGGTCGAACATGTTTCCAATATGTTTCTATACCCGTGGGATCCCACGGCCCATTTGTTCAAATTCTTTGAGCACTTGACTCACTTGACACTTGCCATGATCATCATATGATCATCAGAATCAACAGATCTCCAGAAATGCTGCCTGCAGGGGCCAGACAACTGGGCACAGAGGCTTGGAGTTGGCATGGCGATGGATTCTTGGCATCGAGCAGCATGTCTTGTTTGCAAGACTTGATTCAGATGCTCAATTTAATGATATTTAATGAAACCATCACGTAATATTTTTTGGGGTTGAGGGACAGGTAGGACAGGTAGGTGCTAGCTAAAGACTTTGGAACCCCACTGGATTCTTCATGATTCTCAGGAGTGGCGCGCTCGCCTGAATCATTTGCAATGGTGTGAGATCAGCCTGTTGCTTGGCACATTTTGGCATTTGCAGCCACAGGCTAGTTCAACATCAACACAGGCTAGTCGAATCTTATACTCACTTCATACAGCATGGTTTAGTGCTTGAGCAACAGCTCTTATATGGAGAAGCTTCAGGGAAGATGCAATGCTTTCTCATGAATATGGAATGCATTACAAGCTTCACAGATAACTGTTCGCCAGCAAATCTAACAACAGGGTTCATTAAGGAGCATGTATTTTGGAATAAACTTGAATCAATTTGATTCTGAATTTGGGACTTGACATCACTTGCTTGATCTGGCTCGATCTTGCTTGACTGCTTGACTGCTTGACTGCTTGACAAGGATGTCAGAGGTTCTTGGTGGTGGAGGGCACGGAGAGGCCATTAACTACGAGGGCGTGGCAGATCGGCTCTCCAAGAGTGCAGGCCACAGCCGTATGCAGCCGTGTAGCGTTGCCAATGCCATGAGGGTCAAAACTTGGGCTACCAATCGGCCAAATAAAAAATTGTGATGTGTGTGATGTGATGTGTGTGTGTTTGTTTTTAATAAAACTAACATAGTTCATTACAAAACCTGTTTAAAGGGGTGCTAATGTTGACCCATGCACCTTGCCCAACATGTCAGGGATGCAGCGTGAGCTGCTTCATTTGGAACAATTGGAAGAGCGGTCAGCGGCCGTGGTCCTGTCTGACAAAAATGCGGCTGTTTTGCCAGTGGACTACAGGCGTTTCTGCTTTCTTTTCTGGTCCTGGATGGTTTTGATAGTCGATCATCATGGAAAATCTCCTTGTGAGGGTCATTTTGCCGGTCAAGATGGCGGGTTTGATGTCGGGTTTTCTGCAACGCAGCTGTGCAATTGATGCCACCGGTAGATTGAACTGATCTTGGCTGAGCGGGTAGCATACGCTGGTAGCTGGTAGAGTATAGCTTCCTCAATATCTCCGGCCTGTAACCCCTCATATAAGCCCAGCACCGCTAGGCAGTCTCGCTTCAACAAGAGTTATACCACGGAGCGCCTTGGCACATCTTGGCACATCAGAGTGACTGGTTGAGTTTCAAAGCCATGGTTGGGGTCTAGTGTTGTCGTACTTCAGTTGCCATGCGTTCATACGCATTGACCAGTTCACTTTGTCGGCCCAAGGTTTGTCTACAATATCTTCACCTTGAAGTTTCGCTCGAAATTCCATGAGCAGGCTGCAACTGGGGCAGGGAGGCAAGATAGTAGATAATGCTTCCACAAGATCAGCTGAAACAAAACATGTGCACTAGGATTCGGGGATCTTAGTAAGTTGTGTCATCCAGAAATGATCAATGATCAACCGCTACCCCCATGTTCCACCATTGTTCCACCAGAAATGGGTATAAACATTGTATAAACTGTATGAACCATCCCCAGGTGGCAGTTTACTGCTTGTTGGTTTACCCCATGATTTGGGCAGGGGCAAAGTGGTCTTTGATGGTCGTTGATGGTCGTTGATTCGACTCTGTCAAGGCATTCTGCCAGACATTTGATGAAAACAGCGGCAACCAGTTCTTTGTCTCTGCCACTTGGCTGATCTTCGCCTTTATTGCACGTTGACACGGGAGGACATGAGTATGGGTCAAGAACGGGAGAGGGCAAGAATGATCAAAAATGAATGTTTGAATGGTGAAAATATGCGAAAATCATGATAAACCATGAGGATTCATGAGGTTGCGGTTCCGAAACTTTGAGACAACTTTTTTTCCTTGGAAATTGCGGCAGTGGGGTGCTTTTTGCAAACCGGCAAACCGCTTGGGAAACCAAGGTGCGTGTGTTGACGTGGGTGGTCATCGTGGGATTCCAACTGGTGAAAGTTATCGCTGTGCTTGTGGCCCCTCCACAGGTGCCATCTCTCGGTTGTTTGACTGTCTGACATATCAATCGGGTATAATATGGGTTACTTTTTAGTCGTAACCATCAGATATTGTGGTACTTCAATTTCTACAATGTCTTGCAGTAGTTTGCAGTAATTACATGACTAGGTGTTCCACTGCGCGACGAGTTTTTTGTAGGTCCTTCTTAGGGTCTTGCTTCAATAATGAGCTCAGCAATGATCTTCGACGTCATGAATTGGCTTGCTGCAGTTACCCTAGTATAGGAGTCACCAGTATGATTCATTTGCAGCAAGTGCATGCAGCAGATGCGATTCATGCAGACATGTGAAAATTATACGACAGCATGTGTCCGCAAGGGAATCAAAGACCCACTAAACCCCACCAAGACTGTGTCTCTCAACCCTCGCAACCTTCGATCTTGCAAGGGTGATAATTCCTCAGACATTTTGACTTCTTTGCTGGTCATCATGGGCGCGATAGCTTTTTGCGCAACTCGACCTAAATCAAAAATTAGCTGTCGCTTTTTCTTAGTTTCATATATTGATCTTGATTCTGTACGGTGGATGGTTTGAACATGGTTTCACGTGCCTTGTTGATGCGACATCGCTTTAATGGGACCTGACGCGGCATTTTTCTCTTTGCACTAAATTTGAGATGCATGATGCTTATGCTGCAAACTTGCAGGGCTACACAGCCGCAGGTGCGACATTTTCCAAGACATTCTAACCTTTAGATTCTAAACATTGTCAAAATGCGCCAGCCCTCAGCCTCAGGAAGTCTTGCTTTTCCCACTGCGCTTCAAGCACTTCAGGACTTGGCAAGCCAGCCTCTTGCCATGAAGCAGATGGGATTGCGAAAATAGATCCAGATTTGGGGTTGCAATAAACCTGCCCTATTGTCTCATGTCTCTTTAATTTTTTTAAACATATGTAAACTATCACGGCAGAAATTCATGACACTCTCATCGGCATATCCTGGCATACGTTGCACACCTGCCACCCTCAAACATCCTAGTCTGCCAATCTCAAACCGACTTGGCGATCTGGACACCAAGCTTAGCACGTTTTGCTCCTCACCATTTGCCTCTAGCTCCCAGGGTGGTACCAGACATAAGCTTAGATTAGGATGATTAGGGAGGGTAAAAGATGGTAAAAGTATGTAAAGGTATGGCCACCCACATGCAAGGCCTTATTTAACGGTTCTCAGCACCGATGTTGCCAAACACTTGCTGCCAAGCAAGTACCCGTGGCACTGCCTCCTGGGAGTTCTGAGACCGGATTGTTGTTACTGATGCATACTTGACATCAATTGACGGTGATTGCGGGAGGTGACAGCATGTGACTCAGCATGTGATGGCGCTTCAAGGTGACGAGATTTAAATGGAACATCTCATGAACATCTCACTGAACACGACTCGTTTCCTTGAAGAATGTGCAGGAAAGTGGGGTGAACAACAGAAAGGTGAGGAAATGGATGGAAATGGTATGAAATGGTACTGTAGATCCAGGAGTCAGTGACGATCCCTGATCTCTAGGTGCACAGCTCACACAAAACTTGATACCTAAGGCTATGTCGCCATTACTTGTTGTTTGCTCACCATTTCGAAGCATGCTTACGAGGCAGGGCCTAGTAGACACGTGATGGGACCCCTATGCCGCTAGGTTTGAAGGGCTTCTGAGGCGCATCATGAAGCATAGCCACAGGAGCTGGTAGAGATATGCAAACTCATCGATGACCCTTGATGTTCAACTGTTTGTTGTGAAGGAGGTGTTGTTTGAGATCCACTTACTTTCTAAATCTTTCTAAGACAAAAATGTTCACTGCTGGGCCAGAGGCGCTCACAGAGCTGCAAGCTTGTGCTCTTAGGTCTTCTGATGACACCAGAGTATACCTGTACCATCATGAAATCGTAGAAATGCACAGAATTTCCAATGTGTGTTGATTCTGGGAGTGATGTTGGCCCAATTTGGCCCGTCACCTGTCATGATATGTCAACAAACTCGTGTGGGCAGTGCAGATCTCAGATGCCAAAGCATGCGCATGTTAATGCCAATCGTACAAGTGTGTAGAATCATGTAGGATTCACTGCAGTGCGCCTCTCACACTTTCAGCACGATGTGTTCACCAGCTTGCGCATCATTTGTGCCAGATCATTGCAGAAGAGCCTGGCTATGTCACGGATCCTGGGTTGAAGGTACTGGTCGTATTTGGTCATAATTGAAATATGTTGAAATGCAATTGACGACACCGCTCCAAGCTGGGCGTTCTTTTATGTTCTTTTTTAGGGTCGGACTGCTGTGTGATTTCCTTGTTGGATGTATTTGTCTACAAAGCTCTGGGATTTGTGGTTTGTCATTGTGGAAAGCATTTGTGGGGCAAGGTGGGTTGTGTGAGTGTTCTGGCATGTCAATGTCATGCTGGGGTCAAGTCATTGGTTTACCTACTCAGTTTCGTAAGATGAACGTGCTTTGCCTGTGCATTCTATTGGCAAAGTATTCAAATGAATTCAAATGATCAAAAAGAATCAAAAAGAACTGTTGTTCAAGGATGCCATCATGCCTTTGTTCTTCTGCGCGGGTGTGCGGATGAGATTCCCAGTGGCTTGCTCCGTCTTATTCTTGCACATGGCCGCTTGGCACTTGGTGACAGTCCTGTAAATGCTTGTGCACAAGCCAACAGGGGATGCAGTGGTTCCCGATGGTCGCTTTTTTGATTCTTTTTGCATTTTCCTACAGTGGTTTCTGATGGTTTCTGATGGTTTCCTGATGGTTTCTGATGGTTTCTGCTGGTTTCTGATGACTGTTTGGGAGGATGATTTCTAAGACTGTTCTGAGGGAGTTGGTGTTTTACTCTACGCGATGCACAGACTGCTGCACACCCAAGGTTCTTTTGGCCGTACACCATTACTACCTGCTGACTGAGACGACTTGCGCCATGGCTTCGTGGAAATCACCTTGGATGCTCCATGGAAGTCTCGGGGTCCCCAAAAACAACCAAAAACAATCTCCATGACTGTTACATCTGTTGCATGACTGTTCCATGGTTGTTCCATGGTTGTTCCTTTGTTTTGCATCGCCTCAGCGTGGATTAGGCACTGTCGGGAGTGGCAACACACAAGTCTTCGTGTGTGACGAGCATTTCATCCTGAGGGTGACTTGGAGATGTGAAATGATATGGACCTGACACCATCTAACACCCAATTGGATCCCATGGGACCATCCGAATGGGGACATTTCTATCAGCAATCTCCATGTGACCAACATGCCAGGTGATTCATAGCCATATGGGCACTCATCGCGATGGGCACCTTTTTTTCGTTGCAAAATCGGTGTTCCATTGGGGAAAGTCTCCAAAAGCCTGTGTTGACTCATCATGTGTGAAGGCTTGTTATATCATGAAATTAATTACCCAAACAATCCCAAACATGCAGGGAACGCCGACGGTACCAACCCACACTATCATTTTTGAAAAATTATATATATATATATAGATATAGTATGTCAGTATGTACCAGGCACATTATCGAAATTGCTGCTGCCGTTTGTTCAAGGGTACCCCAATTCATTTTCGATACAGAAAGCAGTTCTTTGCAAAGCGCGATCCTGCAATATAAAGTAGGTTTGCTGACTTGTTCTTTCGAGTCACCGTGAGCAAATGCCAGTTCCAAAGCTCGCGCTTGCTTTTTAGATAACATGCAACATTGCGTGTCTTAGAGGCTTAGTCATGGATCTCATGGCGTGCTGTGCCATTGGGAATTTCTGGCCAGGACCCTTTTGCAGTGACTTTCGCTTCTGGTTGTAGAATGATAGATGGGAGGTGCAGCCCTAGATGAAGCAACGTCAATGCCCTAGGCCCTAAGCAAAGAGGGCACTAGGAGGTCTGCGCTTGGTACTTATAGTCGAAGGTTCAAGGCCCAAAATAACGAGGCCAATGCCTTGCAGTTTTTGTTGAAACTGCGTAGCCTTTACGGCAGCAGTCAGCAGTTTTATGAATCTTGCCACTTGCCACTTTACAAGCCCACCCGCGTTCCCTGAACGGATGGCTAGTTGTCGAATTTGGGTGCGCCCAATTTGTTCAGCCATGTGCCAACTCAGGGGGAGTACTCTGTGGTTCAGTTCGGCCTGGTGCTGCTAGTGGGTGCATACGTCTATGTCTCGGAGCGCTTTGCGCGCCACAACTTCGCTTGGGACGTTCGCATTAGCTCCGCGCGGGGGGCAGATCGAGACATTCTTAAAGGGAGACTTGGCATTGAGTTATATTGAGTTATATTATGTGATATTGAAATGTATTGAATGCATTGCCTGAAGACCCCAGCTGCTATTAAACAAACTCTTCCAGAAATGCAACGTATCCCAAAGTATGTATGTAAATGTATGTATGTATGTATGTATGTATGTAATGTAATGTAATGTAATGTAATATAATGTAATGTATGTATGTATGTATGTATGTATGTATGATATTGTATGATTATATAGATTGCATTGGGGAAGATATGGGGAACATTATGTAAGATTATGAGCTTGACAATGGGATTTCAGGGCTTCTCATTTTCAGACACACCCTAATTTCCTTGATTAGCACACTCTCGGGCGGAACATCATAGGACACATAGGGCAGATCCCAACATCTTCCAGTTTGCAATGGGGAGGGATGCAAACTGTTGCAAATGCGTCAGGTGTTCTGCTACCTGTCAGGGTGAAGACTGTCGCAGAATGCAGAAAATCAACTCCTGAACCATCCTAGATCCAGATAGATCCAGGGTAAAGTCAAACTGGATCAGGCTGGATCCATCTTTTTTTTGCTTTGCATGTCAAGGGCCATCCTCAGGATCTCACTCAATAGCTCGAAGACATGACTTGCATCGTCCATGCTGCATTTGAATTAGGAGGTCACGTGCAGTAGCTTTGTAATGCATTGTCATGCATTGTCATGCATTGTCCGTTTTGTCATGCTTTGTCATGTGCGATGTTTCTTCTTGTCCGCTGAATCCCAGACTCATGCTTCAGCATCCTATGAATCATTGGTTTTCAACTAGTTGTCTTCAATTCTTGGACCCGTCAAATCTATCAAGTGTGTGCATGTATTGTGCGGTTGCGCGTTTCCTAGTTGCCCACCGCAAGGATGTACCCGGAGGATGTCGTTGAGGCGGTTTTTACGAGCTTCCGCAACAATCAGAACGACAAGATGGACCGTTCTGTTTCCTCTACTGAGACCATTTTCCAGGATCGTGGGCTTGTGAACCCTGGCTGCAGCTGTCGGTCAGCAGATTCTCCCCACATCTCCCCACGAAGGCATGTTGCGTAAGTCATCCGTCGTGCAGTGTCAGTGAGTCAGTGTTTCTGAAAGACTGTGGAATGCTCATCCACTGCTCCAGCTTTGGTCCAGCGCTGCCAAGGACAATAGTATTTATTGACATCTACGACTTTGGACGAGTGGTTGCCGGGTTGCATCCTGTCGATTTGGTGTTGATGCTGGACAGAGTGTTCACCCAAATGGACCTGGTGTGCCAGGACGGGATTTTGGGAGCAGGGCTTGAGATTGTAAGATATTGAGTGGTTCTTTTGGGTGTTTTGAAGATTTGGGAAAACTCAGAAAAAAACAAATGTTGGACTTTGTTGCAATGGACATGCACCATTTCCTGTAGCAATTGCGCGTTAAATGGCCACAGACATCCACAGATCCGAGGGATACCAGAGGAAGTAGCAGGCAAAACTGCACATGAAGTCATGCAAGTACTGCAAGAATGCCGCGGTTTCCCTGTGTGGGTTGACGTGTTTTGGGGTGCCTTAGTGGACAACCCACAGATCTGCTTCTCCTCTGGCATCGCCGTGTCTATGGGGAAAGCTGCAAAACCTCGTGCTTTGGTGCAAGCTTTGTAGTACACAGTAGTACTGGGAACGACTTTATTTGTGCAAGCTTTGTAGTACACAGTAGTACTGGGAACGACTTTATTTGTGCAAGCTTTGTAGTACACAGTAGTACTGGGAACGACTTTATTTGTGCAAGCTTTGTAGTACACAGTAGTACTGGGAACGACTTTATTTGTGCAAGCTTTGTAGTACACAGTAGTACTGGGAACGACTTTATTTGTGCAAGCTTTGTAGTACACAGTAGTACTGGGAACGACTTTATTTGTGCAAGCTTTGTAGTACACAGTAGTACTGGGAACGACTTTATTTGTGCAAGCTTTGTAGTACACAGTAGTACTGGGAAGTGCTTTGGTGCAAGCTTTGTAGTACACAGTACTACTGGGAACGACTTTGTCCAAGCTTTGTAGTACACAGTAGTACTGGGAAGTGCTTTGTGCAAGCTTTGTAGTACACAGTAGTACTGCGAAGTGCCTTGTGCAAGCTTTGTAGTACAAAGTAGTACTGGGAAGTGCTTTGTGCAAGCTGTGTAGTACAAAGTAGTACTGGGAAGTAGTTTGTGCAAGCTTTGTAGTACACAGTAGTACTGGGAAGTGCTTTGTTCAAGCTTTGTAGTACAGAGTAGTACTGGGAAGTGCTGTGTGCAAGCTTTGTAGTACAAGGTAGTACTGGAACGTGCTTTGTGCAAGCTTTGTATTACAAAGTAGTAATGGTAAGTGCTTTGTGCAAGCTTTGTGGTACAAAGAAGTACTGGGAAGTGCTTTATGCAAGCTTTGTAGTACAAGTAGTAGTACTGGAACGTGCCTTGTGCAAGCTTTGTAGTACAAAGTAGTACTGGGAAGTGCTCTGCGCAAGCTTTGTAGTACAAGTAGTACTGGGAAGTGCTTTGTTCAAGCTTTGTAGTACAGAGTAGTACTGGGAAGTGCTGTGTGCAAGCTTTGTAGTACAAAGTAGTACTGGTAAGTGCTTTGTGCAAGCTTTGTGGTACAAAGAAGTACTGGGAAGTGCTTTATGCAAGCTTTGTAGTACAAGTAGTAGTACTGGAACGTGCCTTGTGCAAGCTTTGTAGTACAAAGTAGTACTGGGAAGTGCTCTGCGCAAGCTTTGTAGTACAAGTAGTAGTACTGGAACGTGCCTTGTGCAAGCTTTGTAGTACAAAGTAGTACTGGGAAGTGCTCTGCGCAAGCTTTGTAGTACAAGTAGTAGTACTGGAACGTGCCTTGTGCAAGCTTTGTAGTACAAAGTAGTACTGGGAAGTGCTCTGCGCAAGCTTTGTAGTACAGAGTAGTACTGGGAAGTGCTTTGTGCAAGCTTTGTAGTACAAAGTAGTACTGGGAAGTGCTTTGCGCAAGCTTTGTCGTACAACGTAGTACTTGGAACGACTTTGTGCAAGCTTTGTAGTACACAGTAGTACTGGTAAGTAGTTTGTGCAAACTTTGTGTAAAGTAAGGAGTGCACAGTGTAAAGTGTGGAGTGGGGAGTGTAGAGTGTTTAAAGTGTACAGTGTGGAGTGTGGAGTGTAAAGTGTAGAGTGTAAAGTGTACAGTGTGGAGTGTAAAGTGTAGAGTGTGGAGTGTGAAGTGGAAAGTGTAGTAGAGTGTGGAGTGCAGAGTGCGGAGTGCGGAGTGTAAAGTAAGGATTGTGGAGTGTAAAGTGTGGCGTGTGGAGTGTAAAGTGTGGAGTGTGGAGTGAGGAGTGTGGTGTGTGTAGAGTGGTCAAGTGTGGAGTGTGCAGTGGGTAGGTAGAGTGTGGAGTGTGGAGTGTAAAGTGTGGAGTGGGGAGTGGGGAGTGTAAAGTGGAAAGTGTAAAGTGTGGAGTGTAGAGTGTCAAGTGTAGAGTGTAAAGTGTTGAGTGTGGAGTGAGGAGTGTAACCTGTAAAGTGTTGAGTGTCAAGTGTGGAGTGTGGAGTGTAAAGTGCAAAGTGTAAACTTTGGAGTGTAAAGTGTAGAGTGTGGAGTGAGGAGTGTAAAGTGTGGAGTGTGGAGTGTAAAGTGTGGAGTGTGGAGTGTGGAGTGGAAAGTGTCGAGTGTGCAGTGTAGAGTGTAAAGTGTAGAGATGTGTAGAGAGTAAAGTGTAAAGTGTAGAGTGTGGAGTTTTGAGTGTAAAGTGTACATTGTGGAGTGTGGAGTGTGCAGTGGGTCAAGTGTGGAGCTGGTGATGTTGTTGTGCTGGTGATGCTGTTGTGCTGGTGATTTCGTTGTGCTGGTGATTTTGTTGCGCTGGTGATTTCGTTGTGCTGGTGATTTCGTTGTGATTTCATTGCGCTGGTGGTGTTGTTGTGTTGGTTGTGATTTCGTTGTGCTGGTGGTGATGTTGTTGTGCTGGTTAGTTGTCTCTTTGTGAACTGTTGCTCAGGTGCATTCGAAAAGACGATATGAGCGCACGATGCATGCAAAAAAAAGGTTCATTTTCCTATTGCAGAAGTTTGCACTCGTAGTCCAAGAATGTGAATACATTCGGGTTCGTGGCTTCCATCTTGTTTGTTCTCTCGCCAGGAGCATGGCATTACCAAGATCGAGACAGTTGGAAAGACATTTATGGCTGCAGGGATCCTCGTCAGCAACGTGCAGTGAAGTCCCAGGTATCCCAGTGGATCCTGAATCCCCAGCGGGTCCCAGCGGATCTCAGCAGATGCATGGAGTGGCAAGTATGATATATATATATATATATCTGATGGTGCAAGCAGATGCAAGCAGCCAGAGTCACTGAGGTTGGGTGATCCCGCCAAATCCAATGAGAAGAACTACTTGGCATCGCAAAAAAGCGGAGGTCGAGCTGTGAAGTGCAACTCGGCCCTGGTGGTGTCATGTTGCATCAAGGATCATCAAGGCATATCAGCACGGAATTTGCTTCGCCGTCGCCATACTTCCTCACTTCTTGGGGCAACAATCAGATTGATGCGGCATCCATCAAAATCCTCCGGTTAATGGTTAATGGTCTCTTTTTGATTCTTTTGGTAGGACAGCTGATGATGGTCAGCTTTGATGTTCTTCATGCGTTGTATATACAGGGACATCTTTAGACCAGTTTGACGAGCTGAGGTTTGGAGGTGGCTGTGGCAATCCTCAGGCAGTTTACCAAATGTGTCACTGGCACCTTGGCCGCAGAACTTGGATTTTGGGGGAAGCATCATCTGAAATTAGCCCAGGTGGTACGTGGCCCCCCTGATTGGTCTACTACTGGCATCTTTTGTTGCGGGAATCTAGCGGCATTCTTTGGAGACCCTTAAGATCCTGTAAGCACAAACCATCAAAACTCCTATAGAGAACTGACATTCCTGTCATTCCCTTGCTATTTTTGTCCTGACATAGCGCAAGAGGAGGTATTCCTGTGGTTCCACATTGTTCCACGAAGGTATGGATGGCATGGAGAAGCTGTCTCTGAAGATTGGCCTCAACACAGGAAATGTCGGGAGACCAAGACCTTCAGCAGGTGCCCAATTGACCCCAGACTGTTGTGCTCAATGAAGTGTTTCATGGGTACGCATCCAATGTCCCAATAATGGATATAACATCATTATTTATAAGATTTTTTAATATATTATAACCGCCCTTCCCAAAAATGAGCAAATGCAATACTGCTGTTTGAATCATCCACTGGCTTCACCCATATGTAACGAATACTGAGAGAGGCGCCTTTTAGCTGTGAATTCTTTCAACAGAACTATATTGTTATTGAGATGTCCCGCCTACAGGGCACATGGGTGGGAGAAATGAAGCAGCTTGTTGATACCCTTGGCTGCTGACACTCCTGTCTACCCTGGTGGCGCGGCTGTTTTCACTCGCCCTTAGCTCAGCTGAACTCTTCGAGAAGGCGATGGAGAAATACTAAACCATGGGTTCTGAAGCGCTGTAACGCTGTATCTTAGGAGGGTAGTGAGAATCCAATATGGGAACCCTGTTGAACCCTGTCAACCACCATAACAACCACCAGTACCCACCAACGAGTTTGGGGATAGCAAGTGTTGGGCACTGCTCAGCTGATGTTGGAGCATGCCTATCTCATGCTATCTCCAGGGATCTCCAAGCTGACCAGTGTATGACAAGATGGTTTAGTATGGTTTAGATATGGTTTAGTGATGTTCAACCTTTTATCGAATCGCATCTAGAATCTAGGATTTCCCAAAAATTATTGTAGTTTCATTCATGTGGAAACCAATGTAAACCAACCAGGTACGCAAATCCATGCAGATCCAGTAGCTTTGGGTAAGTTGGGTCAACTAGGCACTGATCTGAGGTGATCAGTGGAGTGGTCGGCTCCCAAAAGCCGCAGTTCGCTCTCTTTGGTGACACAGTGAACACCGCAAGTCGCATGATGAGCACCGGCGAGGCGGTCATGGGATGGTGCAGGATCCCGGAACTGGAGAAGCAAAAATTGCCTGGTCATTTTGGGGGAATAAGCCCATTCAAAATCAATCAAAATCATTCAGATCTAGTCATCTTCAAGTTATTTAATGTCGATTCCATATACATATACATATATATATATATTTATATTTATATTTATACGTAATAGATTACAATAGGAATTTCAAGTTTTGAGGTGCCAAATTTTGACCTACGGCCCATATTGTTTTGGAAGGTTGGATTGCGCCGGTGGATCAGGTGAACCATATCCATGTGTCTGCGGAAACACATGCGGCTTGGCCAGTGGTTTCCCAAGGACTTGGGGTCGGGTAGTCTATACTTTCACGTAAAATGGTGCTGTAGGGCGTGGTTATTCAATCAACCGCCTGCAGCTTCCTTTGGTCTTTGCATTCAAAAGAACGCACTTCAACATTTGTTTTATATATATATATAAGTTTGATTAATTTTGTGGGTAGCGGCTATAATATTCCATACAGCAACACATTGCACTTGCAACGGGGTTGTTGGGCTGAGGAATTCTTGCGCCAAGACGATCGCTTCAAGTGGCATCAGCAGCAGATTTGGGCAAAAGGCCGTGCAGGGTATTGCAGGGTGAGTGTAGGAATAGGATGAGATAGGCCTATCCATTGAAGCAAGTTCAAGGTCAAGGTTCGTTTCATTATCCTTAACTTATACCATTTTGGCTGCGACTCGGGCAAAGTAAGTTGCGAAGTTTTGTTGACATTGTGTTATGCAGTTTCAAGTTGTTATTTGTTTCAGTGTTGGTGCTTTGCCTCTGTCCATGTCAATGCAATACCATGTCCATCTACATTTGGGTTTTGTTTTGCATGAAGCTTGCCCATGGACTTGTCTTGCAACAGGTTGCGTCTTCAATGGAAACAGGCTCAACACAGTAAAGCTTGAGTTGAATGTCGCATGGCTGTCGAGGCAAAGGATATATGGACACTTATCTCCTTGAGAACGACCCTCTGATCAGATTACTCCGGCTCGATGATGGGAACTGGATGCCAGTGGGATCTGAGTAGAATCAACATGAATCAAATACTGTAGATGCATCATGATCTGTTTGTGGCCTATATGGAATTCCTTGTCGAAATTACTTTGGGTTCTTTTGCCCCGCTGCCGCTGTACCGGGCTGTACCTGGTGTTTTCTCCCTTGAAAAAGAAACACATGGCGCAGCAATTTTGGGTGGAAAAACGATCAACATCCAGGTCCAACCTCTTCTGCTGAAACTTCACATGAGGTAATTTGATGTTCAAAGCTATTTTGAGCAACTTGAACAGCCATTCCCACCCAGCGAAATTTCTGCAAAGTAAACATCAAAATAAAATAAATCTTTTTAAGATGGTCCAGCCAAAATTGGTCTTGACGAAGGAGTCAGTCATGACGAAATCAGGAGTCATTCAGCTGTTTTGCGACAAGTTGCTGCGGGTACAACATGACTGACACCATTAGTGATCCCCTAACCCGCGTCTACAGTGCGGATTAGTGGGACATGATTCTCCCAACCTTCAGCTGCTTCTATTTTAGCAGAATGGACCCTGCCAGTGCAAGTCAGTTCTCTAGTTTCTTGTCTGTTTAGATTAGTTTTGTTGGAGGAGTGAAAAGTAGACAGTTCTTTGATTGCTCCAGCTTGAGCCAGTTCCTGAACATGTCGCTGAATGAGGAGAAACGTGGTCAAGAGGTGAATGTCTTCTCAATGCATCGGCACAATTCCCGAGAGGGCAGCATGCTCGAAATCGCATCCTCAGATGATCCTTGGCTGAAGCACGGGAGGATTTGGATTGGGTTCTTTAATGCTCTTTGTCCATCTTTGTGCCTGATTGATTGCCAGCCTTACCAGTAGTACCGCACAAGGCGGTGGCGGAAGTTTCAAAAATAGGAAACCTATGGGAGAGGTTGGTTGTTGTGAATCAGGGAGCGAAGCCGCTGATGGACTGAAAGGTGCTTGATCTCTCTCTCTCTCTCTTTTTCTCTCTCTTTCTCTCTTTTTCTCTCTGTTTCTCTATCTTTCTCTGATTACCTACCTACCTACCTACTGATCTATCTGTCTATCTATCTATCTATCTATCTATGTATCTATGTATTGTCTTCCTTTGTAGTGTAGTGTAATTTAGTGTGGTGGAGTGTAGTGGAGATAGTGGAGTGTAGTTGTGTAGTTGTAGTGGTGTGTTGTGTAATGAGTGTGGGTAGTGGAGGTAGTAGTGTAGTGTGAGTGTAATGTAGTGTAGCGTAGTGAAGCGAAGCGACATCTGAACCTCCAAAAGTGGTCCGAACCCTAGTGTTTTAACATTTTGACTTGGAAATGTGCTTCGCGCCACAACGGCGTGCACTTTTTCGATATCTCAACTTCCAAAAGTGGTCCGACCCTGGTGTGTTTTGTACATTTTGACTTCGAAATGTGCTTCGCGCCACAACGGCGTGCACTTTTTCGACATCTCAACTTCCAAAAGTGGTCCGACCCTGGTGTGGTTTGTACATTTTGACTTCGAGATGTGCTTCGCGTCACAACGGCGTGCACTTTTTCGACATCGCAACTTCCAAAAGTGTTTTGCACATTTTGACTTCGAAATGTGCTTCGCGCCACAACGGCGTGCAATTTTTCATCTCATCTGGCCAGCTAGCTCCGCACCCGCCGCTTCAGCGAGCCTACTTTTCGACCCTCCGGAGCCCCACATCATTGGAAAAACACAGTGTTTCGCGACTTTCCTACCTTTTCGCGCATCTGCATCTTCTTTCTTCTTACTCTTTCTCTTTTACTCTTCTTTCTTCTAATCTTTCTCTTCTCTCTGCCTCTTCCCTGCTCTGCTTTTCATCTGTCCATATTGTCGGAAGTTTGACTTCTAAACTTCCTTCGATTATCTTTATTTTTTTACTTGCCAGTTTAGCTGTCACATCCAAGGTGCCCGTGAACGAGGGTCTGATTGAGGGAGACTGGAAGCTGAAGTTAGTGACAACCCTGCAGAAAGTGCGGAATCTCCCCCAGGCGAGCGGGTTAGAGCTGATTCTGATCGATTTTTTGCTACGACTTGCTACAAATTACAGTACTGTACATCAAATTACTACACTATCACTGTCCGACCGAAGACCCTGAGCAGTGCCAGTTTGTGGAAATGTTTTTCATCCCATAAGATCCCAAAAGTTTGAGAGAGGAACTGTTTTTTTGCACATTTTGCACAGGTGTTTCGAGATACTTGGACTTTTTGCGGCAAAGTCTTTGAATTAGACGCTCGGTAGCTGAATTTGTTGTACGTGAAATAACTCGCATGGGATAGGTCAGAGAAGATTCAAAGAATACCTTTACACCGAAAGATATTTGGCAAACTTCAGGGTTTGACCCTTCCTTACTAATAGAAAAGTGCTGGCTAGAAGATCTCACTAATATTGGTGGTTGATATTTTAGTATGTTTAGACCCAAATTCCTGCCAGCCATGAAGAAGAATGCTGGAAGGTTGGTCAGTGGAGCCGAGCCCAGCCAATGCTGCCTCCCGAATCTAAGGATTCCAACAAAGCGTCGCTGGAAAAGTCATTGTTCGTCTCCTGGCTGACAGAAAATGCATGGAAATCATGGAATATATTTTACCTATTATATAGTCTGTCAGTACACAAATGACAGTTTTGCCCTGACAGTTTTGACCCACTTAACAGTGTTAGAATATGTTTTATATATATATAATGGTTTAGATGACTGTAAAAGGTTGCACCTGTGTTTATCTCCACTGTGGTCATGCCTGACTTTATCCCCACAATTCCTCAACATCGCCCGTGATGTTGCAATAATATGTATGAACAGTAGTCGTAATTGACGAGCCCGTGTCCCAGATAGAATAGATATATAGATAGATCCCAGGATGCTGTTTGTTTTGCGACCACCCAAGTTACAAGCCGATATTCAAGTACAACACAAAGTACATGAGTATCATACAGTCTATATATAGTATCATTTTATTGCCAATATTGCCCTGATGTTTGGTGATTTAGATACCGGTCCAAGTTGTAGCCTGTGTTTCTGCAACGGATCCTGAGAGCAATCATCCCATGAGGTCTCCTTGCTGCTCTTCTGGACTTGCTTCTGTATGGAGCCGTCACCTTAGTCACAGCTCTGCCTGTCCAGGCCTATCTCATTCTTGCTAATACTATTCCAGCTGTTTTTGCCCCTTATTAGCGACTTTAGCAAACCCACACATGATACGGATGAACCAGGACGAAGTTAAAGTTGCCGGATGCGACTTGATGCATGTTGGGGCATGCTTCAGGTTTGGATTTATCATCATCGGAGAGACTGGCGAGGGGGCGTACAGTTCAGAACTGAGTTCGATACAGGAATGATACTGCCCTCATTTATGCCTTCAGGATAAAAGCAACACGGGTTTGATGATGGTGGTGGTGGTGGTGGTGGTGGTGATGCTGGTGATGCTGGTGATGCTGGTGATATCAATGACGATGACGATGACGATGACAATGACGGTGGGGGGTGGTGACGGTGGTGGCGGTGGTGGTGGTCAGACTGAGATTTGGACCTCTTCATCCAGCTTCGTGGCAGCTTTGCCATTTTCTTTGGGATCTTCCTCCTCATCGGGGGGGCAACTTTGGCTGGTTATGCTGGTCTTCAATGCCTCACAGAAACCAAGGACGTTTTGAACAGGGCCAAGGGTGGCAGATGCTTGTTAATGGTTAATGCTTTCTTTCATTCTGGTGAGAATGGCAAGGGCCTTCATGGAAATCATATGAAATCATGCTTGATCAAAATGCATGCCGAGGTTTACGGTACATTCTACATGGAAGCACTATTCATCGATATTCGTTCCTGGTTTTCCCTCAGAGCGTTCTCAAGATATAAGAATGTACCAGTAGGGTTGCTGCACTGCACCAGGTGCAATTATATAGGCTCAAAGAATGGAGCCCGTTGAGGTTTGGATGTTCAGGAATTTTTAGCAGGGTGCCAGCAGAGACTACCTTTTCCTAAGCATGCAAGTCCTTTTGGCACGTAGCCTCTCTTTGTGTTTCCCCTCAGATGACAAGACTAGATTTCACAGGAAATTGCGAGGGTACGGCTCAAACATTGATGACCAGCCTGATATCCATTGGTTCAATAGGTTGAGAGTTTTGAAGACATTTTTGAGCCATGTGCATTACTGTGCATGTGTTGATGGTCTCATATGGTCTCTATGCTGTTGGTGTCCCGTGCCCCCTTGTTTTGCCAGAACCCAAGGTTGTTTTAGGTTTTCGATCCTTTTTCCCAGGAGAAGAGCTCCACACAGGACTCGTTGGATCCGCCATTTGGCATTGGAAGCTGAAGCCATCAACTATCAACCAAGGCAACAAGGCAACTGTAACTGTAACACATTGTAACATACTGTAACATACTGGAACTACTGGAACTACTGATCTTTACCCCTTAGACGTGGGATTCCGGGACACCCATTGGTGTCTACCCGCACTGTTTTAGAATTTGGTTGCGTCAGTCTGTTTTTGCTCTCACCCCATGCAGGGCAATGAATGTAGTATAGTATAGTATAGTATAATATAGCATAGCATAGCATTGTATAGTATAGTATAGTATAGTAGAGTAGTATAGTTGACAACGCCACTTACTGCGAAGTGGCCACGGTGTACCTGCAGCAGTTTCCAACAGATTTGTAAAAATCAGTTGCTGGTGGAGATGTTCAGACCCGAAAAGTGCTAGCTTTCTTTGTTCCACATGCTCGAACCTTTGGAAACCCATCCATAGTTTTTCCCTATATACAAGGGTAGCAGCCAAGGGTAGCACACCCAAGAGTGATTCTTTGAATCATAAGCCTTGATCCACTGACGCCCAAGAATTCCCAAGAAACTATTCCACTTCCATAATCAACCCAGGGACAACGATTTTGCGGCGGAGAGGCTGCCGTCTGGAACTGGGGCTGTCATGGGCAAAAAGGACCAAAAAGAACCAAAAGAGGGAAGAAAGTGTAGAAGAAAGTCTGATCAGTTTCAGATCAAGCCGCTTGCTATCGTTTTACAGAAGTCCTTTTCGGGACCGTTTGAAATGGTACTGCGAGCATCATTCAGCCAGCTTTGGCTGTAGAGAGTCAGGCTGAATTGCACAAATATGTCTCATGTTGCACAGAAGACGACTATAAGTATTTTGATGAAGCAACTTGGTTCAGGCCTAGCAATGATTCTATCCTTGTGATAGACTGGGATCAGTCAAGAACTCTGGTTTTGCCTCGTCAATGTGGGCATGAACATGAATTCAGCTGCTATTATTTTGGTGCGAGCAGTGCATCAGGGTTTTTGATCCAAAATATTCCAAAACCGTATTCCCTCATAATATTCAATAATATTCCCATCATATCCCATAATTATGTTCCCTTGATTTCCCTTGGGCTTTCCAACTTTCCATCACACAGTCATCGCTGTGAGGCTGGAAAGAAACGCCTCGGAGGTCTCGGGTGGGAGCCATGGCTGCATTTCAATACAAGTCGTTCACTGTGGTGTTGGAGGGGCTCGGAGGGGCGGTGAATGATCAAAATTCCTTGATGCGGGGAGTGTTTGGAATGTTGAACCATGTTGACCCATGTTGACCCATGCCGACCCATAAAGTCCAATTAGGCCAGCTTTGCAACCCAACAGCAGGTTCTGAGGTTCCAGGGTTCCAGCAGTGCGGTTCCGTTCCAGTGTTCAGGTTCGACGGAAAACGATGCACTACTCCCAGACCCAGAGATTAAAACCCAACAGTTACTGCTGTTGGGAATTACTGTACGAGAGATACCCTTTGGTCAATTGGCATAGACCTGAAAACAGATCATTTTTAGTGGAAAGTAGTCAGTCTTCCAACCCCCTGTTTGGAAGGGTCTATGTGAAGTTAGGGAAGGGTGCAATCTAGCCAACTATAGAAAACCGCCAATAATTTGATCAAATTTGTGGGCCACGACACAGAAAGTTTGGTAGCCAGGTGTTGCCCCCTCTCTTTGCAGCTGTACAGCTGTTCAGGAACGAGGACAATGTAGATGGTTCAGACGCAGCAAAGAAGGACAGCCCTCAGCGCAAGAAGCTTGGCCAGACTGGAGAGGTTGAATTTTGGGGCCTTTGTCAAGTGGCCAACACGAAAGAAAAGCCTCTTTGTTCTTGGAGTTCACCAACAATAAAGAAGCGCCCATAGAAGAACACTGGATGAGCAGAAGCTAGGAGAGGACCAAGGAAGCTACATAATTAAGCCCACAACAAAAAAAAACATACCATGCCCCAAGATACCTGGTTTTGCATTGAATTGGTTTATTTGGGGTTCCTACAGGGGGTTACGATTTGGGCTAGGGGGTGAAGGGGGGTGAGACCATAATATATAATAATATGTATATATAAACTAGTTTCTTTATTTCGTCTAGCAGTTTAGCTCTTCAGCTGTTTTTTTGGACCAAGGAAAGCGATGCACATGTGCCTCGGCATTGCATCAATCTGCATGAAATAGCTCGCACCGCCGTTGAAGCCTGACACTATGCGGCAACACCACACACGAGTGTGGGAAGAAAATAAGTTTAAAAGACACATGCAGTCTTCCAAACACATTTACCTTTGAATTTGCATCCTTAAGCCTCGAAACCCTCAGACGTTGATGGCTACGTTTTAAGTTTCAGATTGGAGGACACAGGCTGATGAGTACAGCTATACTGGCAAGGGGCAGTTGGCGGACAAGCCATGTCGTGTGAAGTGAAGTGAAGGGATGTGAAGGGATGTGAAGGGTGACCCGGACGGGACAGCGCTGCCTGCAGGTTGTTTTTGCTCGTCCACATTTGCATCCCAGTCTTCTTGATAGCAGCCGGCTATTTCACAGCAATCGCTTCCGCAATCTATGGCATCTCAAACCAGAACATTGAGGCTGGTCCTGCAAGTGCTGAGCGTTTTAGTGTGTCATTCTGTTCCATTCCAGCTCCGAACAGGAAGTCGCGCATTGGATCTACTACGAGTCACTCTTCTACATCAGTGCTATGATGCACTTGTACCTTGGTAGAGTGATGAGGCTATCGTTATCCTTTGCGTCAAGAGTAAGAGACCATGCATTCAAATCACTTAAACTCAAATGGTCCCCTTGTTGGTGGATGCAGGGTTTCGCATGGTTTTGCTACTGTACTCAGTTGCTCAATTAATCACAATTACACATCTTCCATCGTGAGTTTGTTTCTTTCAGCGAGGCGTGCTCACACTAGTGAGCATGGCCCATACGATTGATTTCTTTTGCCATGGCTGCCATGGTTCGTGTGTAATGAGGAATCTGTTGAGAGTCTCCGTAACTGCATTCCTTTGTGGTGCGCTGATGGTCTTGCCAGCAACGGGAACTGGAGTCCTGGCAGACTGGCCGGCGGGTGCAATCTACCCCGTCACAGTGTTGCTCGACTGCAGTGAGTTGAGAACAGGCACAATTTGTCAGACCCTGAGCCTTATGACAATTTTGTTGGCAAAATTACATATGTGTTATATATACTATGTGTTTAGTGATTCGAGTTGGCTAGCACAAGTGAAACGTTTGAATGTCTTTGCTTGGCATTGCCAATCTTTGCGACTAGCTCCTGACTTGGGATTCTGATTTAACAAGTCAGGTTTATTCTGCAGATGAAAGTGGTGTATGATTTGAAGTGGTACCAGCTCAAAAGTGTGGAAGACTTAAAGATTGTGGAAAAGGACTGCTCAGATGTTTGTGGCCATTTTTGCCTGCTTTTTGAATCTTTTTGACCTGCAGCTCTCCAGTGATGGTGTTAGCCAACAAAAGCCACAATTCAGTTGCTGCTTGATACAGGTGTTAGTTTGGATATGCATTGCGAGACTAGTTTTGCTGATGCAGTGGAGAGCATAGCATGTTGTGCTATTGGGTTTGCAACTGAATTTTATGCTGCAGAGTGCCGAAGGAGCACAAAGAGTGCGATACATTGCTGTGGCTCAGCTTGAAATGTGGCGGACGGGCCATGATGGGCCAATGCCTCTAGATTATTCTAGATTAGCATCCGTTTGCTATTTAAATTATATACTTTGGTGTTCACCAGGTTCCAACGGTTCCAATATGTTCCAATGTTTCGTTTGACCCATTGTATACCGTATGCACAGGCCCAATTATTTGGTGAGTTGATGTTCATTTCTTGCTCATTTGCTCGGTATCCGCTATCCAACAAGATGAAAGGGTCGCACCATGAAGAAGGCTGAAGAAGCAGATAGGCACATTCAAACACCCCAGAGTATAGTGATGCCGCCGCCTGATCAACAACACCCCAGTTTATTGATTTGGAGTGGGCAATTTCTCACTAGTAATTCCATATTTTCCGGAGACAGACCCCAGGGGCCCCAGGGGCCCCATCAACTGATGCTGAGCCTTGGCTCCAAGGAACAGTTTGTTGCCAAAAGAGGTGCTTCACAGCATGCAGACCAACAATTTGGAGCTTGCGCACCTTGCCGGAGCTGGAAAAATCAGCTTGTAGATCTTGTAGATCTTGTAGATCCGGCAAACAGCGGGGTTAGCCACCAAGTTGAACTGGATTATGTACCTATGGCATCCTGTACCTACATTACGCAGAGGTCACGCCTTTTTTGGCATGCAGAAGCGCAAATTCAGCCAAAATTGTTGGGAGATATTGGCACTACCCACCAAAACTGTTGGCTACACATGCTTGAAATTTGAAACTAGACCATCAACTTGTGGATTTGGTCTGACCTACCAAAACACTGACCAATTCCACCCAATTCCCACAAAACCTATGTTAGATGTTTCCACTCCAAGACTTACAATTTCAACTGTGTTGACCTGTGGTTTGCTCGTGTTCATGTGCTGTTTATTCTCGGCTATTGAAGAAGTGTTCTTCCACCTTCAACAGCTGCTTGAGTCCACGCTGGCGCCAGGTATACTTATCAAGTCATTGCCTCAGTTCCACTATGCTCACCTTGCTTCGGAGATGTTCCGAGCTACACTGACTCAGAAAGAGCCATACTGAGTCACAACACGTCCTAGCGAGTCATGTCCCCCGGCTCCTGCTCTCACCTGACTTCTTACTTAGTCCATCCTAGTCCATCTATATATGCATTATATGATAAATTATATGCCTATATGCTTGACGTTCCTCGGCCTTGATTTCACCTGTGTCCCTACGGCCGAGGACATGTCTCTGCTTTTTGCAGACATCGTGGGCTTCACCGGGTGCGCAGAAGCAAAAATAAGCAAGGGACCGGTAGACCGGTAGACATGTATAGCAGCACTTGTCTTCGTGAGAGATACTAAGTTACTAAATGATACAGGTGCTGGACATGCTTGAACAAACGCCAATTTGTTATTCAATTATTCATGTTATTCCCATTCTTCTCTGTTTTGCCTTAACTTATTCATTTGGACCTGAGTCTGAGTGGTTTGGACTCTGGCGTGCACTGCCATACACATGGAAGTGAGTGTGTTCGCATGGTGGCGCAAGGTACTGTACTAAGCACAAGAGCAACCCAAGCACCGCGGTGAGGCCTAAAGTTGAAGCATGTTGAAGTAAAAATGCAAATATTGCAAATGATGGGTTCGGCATGCTGTGCAGATGCCGACTATTAGCACTTGAAGCTAGCAGCTGTGATGTTGGGAGGCATGTCCTGTCATCATTGATAAGCAAAGCACGTTTCTCAAACATGCTCCAAGAAAAAAACTGATTGCCGAATTCATGCAGGTTGGTCACACACCTTTTCGCTCGGTGGCAGCCTGAGCAAGCTAGGAGATTTGAGAGCTGGCCTGTCGATTGAACATGTTACCGTTCATCCAAGTCTCTCGATGTGTTGGACTAAGCGAATTGGTCAGCCTAGCTACGTTGCTTTTGATGTTTCTTGATACGTAATGGGCTGGGCCTTTTCTCCGAGGGAGAAACTGCAACAGGATACTATGTAGATTTGTGCGGAAGTTGACTATTCAGAACTCATAGTTAGATATGATTGGCTTGTATTGGTTGCGACATGTTGCGACATGTTGCGACATTGCGACCATGCATTCTTTCCTTACAGCTTTGTGATTCTTCCGCTTCGAAGACAGTTCAACCAGCTCCAAGGTTTGACGACTGCTGCAAGCTCTTGGGAGCGTGACAATGGCTTGATTAGAATCTTAGATCTTGGAAGCCCTTTCCTAGACTGACTTTGCTATGGAAGATTGGGTTTGAAGTGATGGAGAGCAGTAGTTTTTGTTTGCAGATTCTTTTTCTGCAGAAACAGTGCACGTTTGGCAATTTCTTGCAGCAACAGTTCTAGAGCTCACCATCCATGCCATCCAGGTGCTGCAAGATTCTTCCGTTCATTGTTTGTGAGGTCACATAGTGCCAGCTTACTTCTATAAGTTATAGTACTGTAATTACGTACTATCAAGATCTATCAAGATTGATTGCTAAGTATATAATCGTATATGTGTCATATTTTATTTGAAAATGGTTTTGGGCACCTCATTATGCCTCATTGCTTCAACCAGACTGGAGAAGCTAAGGGTACACATCCATCCCGTGCTGCAGACAGTCATCAAACCGAGGTATAAGGTGTGCACCATTGGCGATGCCTACCTCGCTGTGAACGAACCCAAAACGCAGCATGACGATCGGGCACCTTTGATGCAACGCCAGCCATGGTGTTTCGTGTGGATCGTGGCCCTGAAAATGACAACTTGGAACTGGGGTGGGAGACGATGGACTGCAGGATGCAGGTGCAATCCAGTGACGGGGTGCAGACTTGACCAAGGGTACCAGTTCTCTCTTCAAACATCATACCATGTTCATTTTTGTGTCGGCTTGTCGGATACGGTTGTCTTTCATCTTTGTCATCAGTTCCCTATTGTTTTTTGCATATTTTGGCGATGTTGTGACAGGTCACTAATCGGACACCAGTTCCTATCAGTGCCATCAGTCAGGCTCAACCAGAGTTTGCCACATAGATATCCCAGAGTCCCATGGTTCAGCATTTTCCCCATTTAAAAAAAAAAACTGAACAAATCCACTAGATCTTGGGCGCCGTCCCGAGACCATTGGCGCATTGGTGCTGCTCCATTTGGCAATGGCCATGCTGAGAATCATCGTCCAGGTGAAGGGCTATAGCGGCTGTAGACCACGGTGCTGCTCTCTTTGGGAATCCGACCTGGCAATGGCAAGAGAGAATGTGTATCCATAAGCCATGGGAACATATAGGAAAATCATCCGTGTTACTTAATTAAAAGAGAAGTGGGGATGAGAAATAAGATGATGCGAAATCTTGAAACAGAACATGGATTGAGCTCTGTGTATCGCTAGTTCAGCAAAGCAGATTTGAATAGATTGAGCATTTTTGTGTTACTTCAGGAAAGAAAGCTTTGTCCCAGCTGAATGCCAGCTTGTGATGTTGAAAGGTGCTTGATTTCCTAGACCAAGGTCTAGATATGTCTACATTCTGCGTTGGGGTAGGTGACACTGGGATCTATCGACTATATCTGTCCTGAAACGTTCCGTTGTCGATTCAGCATCGCACCCTCATGCAGGTTCGAGATGAGGTGGATCATCAAGGACAGTTTTCATTTTGCATTGGGTGGCCATACCAGTACCAGGCATCAAGCAGGGCAAGATGACTTTTTTTGGCCTCTTTTTCAGATCTGCAGCCTATTAACATATTAACTGCACCTTGAATCCTAAGCCAGAGGGTTTCGACTTTTGGACAGGCCTTTCAGAAATCCTGTGGAGGCTTCATTCAGGTCCAAGGAATCAGACATATCCATAGCCGGGCCCGAACTTGGAATCAGAGCTAGCAGCTAGATCATGAAATGGTTTCTTGATGCTCCTGTGTGACGCAGTCAAGGATGCGTGCTTTCCAGAAACGCACATTTGTGATCTGGCATGCCATTTGGCCACACTGGCGTCCTTCAGGACTCAACATGCGAATTGGCCTCCATCATGGACAATTCGTTGCTGGAGTCATTGGTAGCAACCAGCTCCGCTTTGACATTTGGGGTGAGGACTGCTTGATGTCAGTGAAACAAAGAGCCCTTTCCTGAGTTTAGAAGATAGTCTTAGCATAGTTGAGGACATGCAAGGATAAAATCTTTGCTGGACTGTAACGCTATGGGCAATACTCTGGCTCTTGGAGAGGCAGTGCCCACTATTTTGTGTGTGTGTTGAATGTTTGGAACACCCCATGGCCGCCAGTGAAATCAACGCTTATTTCAATGGTAGAAACCGAAACCCCTGTTTGCCCCTGCTCCCACGTTTGGACACCCACACGGCCAAGTATGGCCTTGTTCACGTTCACTCGGAAAGATCAACAAATGAACTGAAGGCGAAAACCCATGGATTTATAGATTATGACTATGACTGGAGAATATCATTAGGATTGGTGAAAGTGCAACACCATTTCCGCTGAAATTGGTTCGCTGCCTTCCTACAGGATGTCTTGATTGGCAACCAAATGGAATCGAGCGGACTCTTGATCTGAACTTGCTGCGTTGTCAATTGCATCGGTTGGCTCTCAATGCACCGGCCTGTTTGACCTCAAAAAAAACCATGCCACGATTGCTGATTGCAGCAGAGCTCACAAACTTTCGCAACCTCTTAGAGTTGCAAAAAGCATAAGTAATATTAGTATTATATTATATAGTAATATATTAGCATAAGATAGTATAAGATAGTATAAGGCGACCTTTCTGAGAGCTTCCCAGCAGAAATCAGCAAATTCCATCCTGCACCGAGGTGAGCCAGGACGGATTTGTTGCAGCGAAACCTTTGTGCAAGTCTTGAAGGACTTCAAACAGTGTCCTCCTCAGTTTGTAGTTATGACATGTTATGACATGTTATGACTCATGACTCAGTTATGACAGATACTCACAGAATTTCACAGATTAAGGTTGGCAGGGGTCAGATATCGATAGATATCGAATACCTATGTAATCCTATGAAAGCATCTTTGGGAGATAAACATCCAGAGCTACCAGCTGTGAGGGCTTCACCAGGTCCCAGGCACTAGACCCATGCCTTGATGACCACCGGATACCACAGGTGTGTCAAGCGAAAAGAACTCAAGCATGAGCAAGGCCATGCAAGGCCAAAGACCCAAAGAGCAATGGCAAAAGAATAGGGAAAGCCAAACATGTTTCTTAAGTTAAACTGTTCATATCTTTTCATGCGTGCCCCAAACGATTCTCCAATGGGATTTGCTCCAACTATTCCTTTACTTTGCTGTTCTGGTTTGGAGGAAGCTCATGGGAAAGCAGGTGGCCATGAAAGTGTTTGCTTTCCGGCTGCTACTCCGGATCCTATCGCAAGATTTGCAATGCCAGAAGTGCGCTCTTCATCCTTTGGTATCAAATTGCAGGCCCTACCTAAAGAAAGAAAGCACTAAGTGATTACAAAATTTACAAAGCGCAATGATTTGCTTCTTCTAGCTTCGCATTTGTTCCAGCCATCCTGTAGCAGAATCGCTAAAACATGGATTAACTACATTGCTACATTCGCAGCGACGCTTAGAAATCAAGATGTGTACCTGAAAAGTTGTATGCAGAGCAAGGCTGGCCATTATGGACAGATTACTATGACTCTTGACACTAAAAGTGCATCTCTTTTTTCGTGGTTCTCCTTTTGCATTTGGCTTCTCATGCGCACAGCGTTGACTGAAAGCATTTGCAAGCTGCGCTGAGGTTCAGCTTCACAGAGAGGGAGCTGGTAAAGTGTGCAGGGTCAACGAGAATGTTGCAGAGCTATCTCTTGGATCCTCCTCACGGTGCCTTGGTCTGGCAGCAAATTTGCAGATATCGCATGCGTGGACGATTCATGACAATGTTACAGACCTGTTAGAATTGCAAGTCTACATCTCTTTGTTGGGGCAAGGTCTTGCCATGTGTTTTTCAAGGTTTTATCAGGCAATGTCTAGCCCAGACTTTCAAAGATCATTGGGAAACCTGGCCAAGGCATAGGAACGGGTTTCGTGGAGACCCGGCCTTTGCAAAATGCTCGGAGAAGTGGGAAGACTGCTAGGCACCTGACTGCGAAGAAAACCAAGGGACAAAAAGCCAAATCCGAAGCTTGCAACATCTCGTGAAGGACAAAGCTGTTGGACAAAGGACAAAATGTGAGAAAATGTTAAACCATGGTGTCATAACAACTCTGAAAAAAGAAAGCCGCTTGTACCATGAGTGGTTTGGTGGCAAGCATCGCAACAGAATCAGCAACGTGATTGAAAGATAATCAGACATGCCTTGCGGTAATGTGGTAACGTCGGTTGTCCTTCTGCGGGAGCGGCGAGTTCAAATCCATGCCAAAGAGCGAAAACGCATGGTTGCCTGGCATGATTTTGGCCAGCTCGGATTCCTTTCGGCTTGAGAGCTGCCAGAAGAAATGCTCACGCATACTGTATTATATTATATTATATATATATTATATTATATTATATTATAGATTATATATATATACAACTCCATGCGTCAAACACAGTTCGACAGTGAAAACTCATTCCAGGATCCCTGATCTTTCATCGTGACCTTGGTAGAGCCATGGTAGCCAAGGCTTGTCATATATGTTCAAATATCTACATACTGTATATATACATATATTTATGATTATTTATGTATTTATTTATCTATTTTTGTATGTGTCCTGTTTCAAAGGTTTTCACGCATATCTAACAAACTTGTATGAAAATGTCATAACTGTGGTGGTGAGGGTGTCTAGATTCTAGGTTCGGGTTGCATAATGTCCTTTCAGTTTGAGTTGATTTATGAAGCTTGTGTTTGGACAATACTTCCGTCTACTGTATGTGAAACTGCTGAGTGAAATAGGCTCTGCAAGTGTGTTTGGTTCAAGCCATGACCAAGGATCATGTAAATGTATACGTCGTGTGTAAACTGGTTGCATCAACCCTGGGAGGGCTTCACCCGGACCTGGTAAACTCGTGCTTAAAACCGCTCAGTTGCAGCGTGCCAACTATCATCCAAGCCAGCAAAACAACCTCCAAGCTTGAAGGAAGGGTGCAGCATGGTACAGCCTGATCAAAAAACAGGTACGCCCTCAAGCGATGTCATTTCCAGGAGGATGTGCAAGAAGCACATCAGGAATTGACAGCAGTCGCCCGGTATGGTTTTCAAAAGGGCCCCGAAGGGGTGCCCACAATCATCAGGGTGACCTATTTCACGATTGAAAAGCCGAGGACAGTTGAAAACCAAGAAAACACCAGAAGAATGGTAGGCACTTGTCAAGCGGATGTTTGATGCCCATGTGCTTGGTGGTCTTGGATGTACCAGGTATAGATATGTATAGAATTGTATAGATATGGATGTAGTCATAGGTATAGAGAGTTATTACGTACTTTTTGTCGTTTCATATTCATACTGATTCATACCTGTTTCGTTTGTTAGGGGGAAGATGGGGAATGCATGTTTTTTCAAGATCTTTGGTTAACTGTCCCTCCTGCTCGTTTTGACACTGAGATGTTGCTTAGATTATGTCAGATCAGAACAGCGTGGTGGACATGTACGGAGCTGGCAATGCAAATTGACATCAAGACACACCCAGGAATTCGTTGCATGCCTTCGGCTTTTTCATTAAGTAGGTACTTGTCCATGAAAAGACACCCAAAGAATCGCATGTGGTTTGCCACCAGTCAGGAGCCAAAGGATGCTCCTAAAATACGACCAAGAATGACGTGGTCAAATTATCTACCATATGTCCATATTTTCTATGTCAAGTTTATTTGATGGGAATCCCAAGCCAAGCCGAGATTTTTGTCCAAGATTTACCTGAATCCTGTCATGTGATGGGGATTCCAGAAGGATCATGAGGATTTTCACAAAATATCGCAAGGTTTGACCAAGTGCTCCGACGCGAAGCCTTTCTGCTTGGTAAGACCGGGCACACGCGCACGATCGCGCACGTGTGGTGCGAAAGACCTGGATACCGGGGAAAAGAGCCGCGTGGCACAACTACAGGAAAGAGGATTTCCAGAGGAATGATAAGAAAAATCATGTTTCGCACAATATGCTCTCATTCAGAATACGTTTGGAATGCATTGTGTTAATTGAACAATACTGAGAAATGCAGTTCGTGTCATAGGGGAGCATGTTCAGAGTAGGCCCGCCGCTGCCTGGATGTCTAACTTTTCGCAAAAGTCTTGAACAATCCTGAATGTATTAAAGCAGTGAGTGGAAAAAGGATGAAAAACATTGAAAGACCAGTGTGTTCAGATAAAGGCCCCCTCCGCGCAGAGCAAACACACTACAACAATTAGAAACCTTGCCCAAAACAGCGGCCAATCTCAAACTAAAAGAAACCAAACACCCTGCAAGTGCACAGAATCCGTATGATGCATAGTTGACATATGTTGAAATAAGCATATATGCCGGCAGGTTAAAAAAAAAATGATCCAAAATTCAGGATCTCTTGGTGGATTTTAGCCAGGACAAGCACACAAAACCTTGAAGCAATATGAAAGGCAGAGATCTAGCGCCTTTCCATGCAATCCAGTCGCTGGCATCGTTGGCGTATATATAAAAAAAAATCTATAACTTCTGAGATGCGTTGAGGCACTCCCAAGTTGTTTCCATCAAGGGGTACAACCATTACCATTCCCAGGAGCCCTCTCTTTGGTGCTGCTTTACTAACTATATCCAGTTTGAAGTGACTGTCTACCCAATTTGTTTGATAAAAGCTCCGTTTGGGGTTGGTCAAGACCCGTAAATAAGGTCGAATGTTTATATAAATCCCAATTTTCTTGATGTTGAATGTCCGGCTCTTGAAGGTCAAGACTTAAAGCCCAATCTGTTCTGGTAATATATATTGAATATGTTCAAGTTTTAACCCATATGCATACATATATATATATATACATACAGATATATGTGCATATGCATATATATATATATGCGTGTGTGTGTGTGTGCGTATGTGTGCGTGGATGAAAAGACAGATGGATTGAGGTCGCAGACCTGGGTCTTCGAAGGCAGTTGATTTGCACCTCTTGGTGCCAGACTACCCCAAAACTGCTATTTCAATGGGGGACATGATGGTAAACAACAGGATACTGCGGTAACGGGCGGCCCTGTTCTTGGACTAATCCTTATGTAGGTTGATTGGGTGTTCAATGGGTGTGTATGGATAAATGATTTCAGGAGCTTAAAGTGTGGGTGTATTTCCATAGGCTTCATGCGTCTTGAGAGTTGCAAAATGTGTAGAGAGACTACCTGTTGAATAAGGTTTGCTGACAGGCCTCAAGGTTCAGCAGCATCTGCAACATGCCACGACACTATACGACACTGTCCTTTTGCAAGTAGGTCGTGAATCCCAGAAAAGGGGAATCTCAAAAATGGACATGGACATCATCATCCTCAATCACTCTCCCATTTATGGTTGAAATCATTTGAAATCACCAGACAGACAGGAACTTTATAGCAGCCAAAGGTCGATTTCCTCTTTTGCGGGTAGCCTGGTGGCAGCTCAGGCAGGCCTAAGGAAATTCCCGCCGGGTAAATTTCCAGAGGGTAGCTGGTCCTGGAAGGGCTAGTTTCAACATGGCAGAATCGCGATGCAAATGGCAACAGAGATATCGCGATGCAAATGGCAACAGAGATCAAGTGAGTCAAGGGAGTCATGAGAATTATTGATCCGGAATTCTGAAGTTTCTTTTGCTACCTTTGTTTGCTGGGGCGTTTCTCCTATCTTGCAGAGCCGGCTCTAGCTTCAACCTGCTTTGTGGAACTCACAAAGTGCCAGGTCGCTGGCGTGTCCTTAACCCAGGCGAGGCAGTTTTTCATTTGAAGCCATTTTGTAGGCAGGGAGGAAGGCATGGCCATTCTGTTGGTGGTGAGTTTTAACTTTTGGGGAGCCGCTTTATCCCGTTTTTATGGACTGGGTAAGGGCCAACACAAGGACCAGAACATAGGACATAAGACAACATAAACACTAACATACCAGCATAGTACAACTAAATCAGAAGAATATTATTTGTAATGACAGCGTTGACAGCTTTGAAAGCGGTTCAATGCTTGGATGATGCCCAGGTGGGGGTTGCAGCTCCTGTGCTCTTCAGGTGCGGGGTGGGGTCATGCCATGCTGCATGCTGAGTCCATCTGAGTCCTTCCTCCATTGGGCGCACTCAAGACCACACGGTTCAGGACTCAGACAGTTCCATGCGATGGGGCCACGGCCACCATGGCAGCAAACAGAGGCGCAGGATTTTCTAAAAACGGAAGCATCCTGAGCAATGTTTTTTGGCAGTATAGCGCTATACGTAATGTTTTTCATTCTTGATCAATGTGCTGCAAGCTTGCCACCACTTTTACTGGGTTATGTCACTCGAGAATATTAAGATCGAAGCATCTCACGCTGTCCACTCCTGAAAGGAAGCTGAAGGGAAGCAAATGATGGCAAAATGGGCATGTCCTATGTTCAATCCCAGAAACCTATCGTTTCGATGCCTATACGATCGCACCGAAACAAAGAATCCATGGGTCTTGGAGTAAGGATTTTCATTGGGGACCCTTCTGCACTCTTCGACATACCTATGTTTCAAATTGTTTCAATATGTTTCAATGATTTTCAGTGAGTCTGTGTAACGTTCAAGGAGCCGCTCACCTCACTGGAAGGCACTGGCGAGGGCTCCTCTTCGAGTCCCTCGAGTGTTCGGATCCACCAGATCTATCATGTTGACCGCAGGAGCCAGTGAGTGTAGTGAGTGTAATCAAAGTTCCCCAGCTGAAACACAGCAACTCCATGAGGACTGGTTCTAGCGGCTGATTTCATATAACTAATTTCATTGTTGATATGAATTCATATGAAATCATATATTTTGCATGGATCCATCGCCCTTCGATGTTTTTGCGGATGATTTGGGGCAAGTGTTTCGTGACACTCATTTGAGGATAAAATTCTGGATCCGGGTTCCCATAGCTGCGACCTGCAGGATGCAGAGTGGAAGTCCAAAGGCCAACCTCGGGATTTTGTCGGGCCTTTGCTGCTTTGCTGTTTGCTTTGGCACCCGGAGCATCCGGCATAGATCGATCAAGTGGTTCTATCATGTTCTATCCCTATTTGGAAGATGATCATTTTCTACTCCCTGCATGTGCTTATAGCAGGCCAGGGTGTATCACAGAAGGGGAGTATGGGAAGAAAATAAAAATCGCAAACATTGTTTTGGACTGTTCAGGAACCCGTTGCACTTCCATGCACAACCTGTCCTATTGAATTCAAAATTGTGACTTCTCAAGAAGTAGCTTTGTATGGCCTGCTGGATGTCGCACGTCCAGATTACAGATTCAATATTTGCCTGGAAGCAAAGAAACACGGTTGGGAAATTCTTGTCATGGAGGAATGCCACTTTTTTTTGCACATAGGTTTGTTTTAGCCTTTTGCCTCATCTTTTGTGCTCTTAGATTTGGACTTTGAACCCTTGATTTGCTGGTGGACGGTGAGAGAGCAAGATAGAGCAAGCTCAGGTTTGGAGGGGAAATTGATGCAACCCGCCGCAGCCATATTCGCTTCGAAAGTGTTGACATAAAGCTAATACGTGTTTCCGCATTTGTTGAAGTCATGCATTTCAGCTTGCTGCCAAGTCATGGAAATCCTGACTACCAACAGATGCCTCTACCCTCACCTACCTACCTTTGGATTCCAACAGATGTCCTGCAGAAGTTATTTTTAAGTGCAAGCATCTCTGGTTCATTGGCAGCTGGATCTTGGCCCACCATGGAGTCCATGGAGGAGGAGGAGGAGGAAGGCGTAGAGGCGCCTCATCCTTCACACCTCCCCAGCGATTTGTGGCCTTCTTGGCCACGAGGTGTGGACAAATGTTGGATGCACTTTCGGTGACAGTGACATGAGTTTCAACAGTTCTTAACACAAGTCCCAAACATGTAAGGGCGAAGGGTAAGCAAAGCCTGTCTCATGTTTGCTGAATTTCCGAGCTCTCAAGGCCGCTCCCTGTGAGGTGTGCAAAATCTTTCAGAAGCTCATGAAGAAGAGCAAATGATTGCAGCGGCTCCGCCCAAGAAGTCCTGTCAGGATGACCAGAGTGACGTGGATAGATCTTACGAAAAGCTTCACACTTCATTACGAAGGTGCCATAAAGAGCTCCTGGCAAGACTGGACAGCCAGGATGCAATTCTCAGGCCTGGACTCTTTTGTCCCAGTCCCAACATGCAAAAGATAGCAAACAAAATGGCTTCAGTTGGGTGCAACTGGCGGAACCATGGTTTGGCCGTGCACATCCGTGCATGCCTCTATTGTAATTTGGGCCGCAGCATAGATCCTGCACGGTCCTGCAGGCAAATTCAGGGCAGCATGTTGGAAGAACTGCTGACCACCTCCCGCGATGAGCTCATTCTGCATGGACCCCGGGGAAACTTGGCAAAGCGTGAAAGGCTAGGGAGGACCAGGGAGACTTCAGATGGATGAGACCGGCAGACCAGAAATGTGTTTCAAGTGTCTCAGAATGCTGAGTGACAGGGAAGCCTATTTTAAACTGCCTGTCAGACAGACACCAGACCCCCACATCCACCAGCCAGTTTAGCTGCGAGGTTCAGCTTGCCTCCCTTGCTCCAAGGAGAATCCAAGACTCTCTCAGGGGAATTTGCAGAGCAAGCAGAGCTATCTTTCAGCCCTGAGGCAGGAAAAGATGGAGAGTCCTCGGGTGGATCACACGCACATGGAACGGAACCTAAATGACCCCTACTGATCCCCCTTGACATTTCCCATATAGAATGGTAGGCCTTGGGCCCCCTATAAATCAGTTTTTATGGAAATTTGGGTGCCGTCGGGGCACTCCATTTTGTAGAAAAAGACTTGTTTATAAACACCCAACATAACTTTATATGAGAACAAGATCATATGCCAGTGTCAGGCACCTCCATTTTGTAGAAGATGTGGAATACCATTTTGTAGATGGGTAAGGGGAGTTGATAAATACATCCACAAATGTAAATATATTTGAACACAAAAAAATATCAACCGCTTTTGGTTGGCTCAGCAGTGCCGGCCGCTTCCCCCAAGCCTTCGAACTAGCTGATTGTCAGTGGCCATGCTGCGCTTTCACATGGCGTTCCTGCTGATCGTGGGATTGGTTGGGGAAGGCGTCAAGGTGGCTGACGACACAGCCACACAGACGCCAGAGGAATGGCATCTTGTCTTCGAACGTGACTGATTGGGACAGTTGCCAGGAATAGGACAACTCCAAGAAAGACACTTCAAGAATTGGGCGCAGTTTTCAAAAAAAACAAGGAAACTTTTTTGTTTTTACCAATTCCATTTGGAGCTACAAAATGGTAGGCCATTTCCATTGGCAGCTACAAAATGGTGGGATACAGAAATAGTTAGACCATGTAGTCTATGAATGGGGACCATCCATTTTGTAGACTGGTATGGGCTAGCTGGCCAGAGTTTGCAATGGGTTACCCAATGTTCTTTTACTAAGGTGGTTCAAACCAGAACAACCCAAAGAGACGCTTCTGGATTGGATGTCCTGGTTGTCTTGCCGGGTGCAGAAGCGGTACCACGTGCTAGACCTTAACTATTTCTGTATCCCACCATTTTGTAGCTGCCAATGGAAATGGCCTACCATTTTGTAGCTCCAAATGGAATTGGTAAAAACAAACAAGTTTCCTTGTTTTTTTGAAAACTGCGCCCAATTCTTGAAGTGTCTTTCTTGGAGTTGTCCTATTCCTGGCAACTGTCCCAATCAGTCACGTTCGAAGACAAGATGCCATTCCTCTGGCGTCTGTGTGGCTGTGTCGTCGGCCACCTTGACGCCTTCCCCAACCAATCCCACGATCAGCAGGAACGCCATGTGAAAGCGCAGCATGGCCACTGACAATCAGCTAGTTCGAGGGCTTGGGGGCAGCGGCCGGCACTGCTGAGCCAACCAAAAGCGGTTAGACCAGGGTGCGACCACAGGGTTGCTTTGTGTCTTACAAAATGGTTCTCCCATTTTTCACAGTTTTTTGGACACTATGTTAACCCAAAATACTTGATGTTGGTGGGCAAGTGGGGTACCCTGGTGCCACCATTTTGTAGGCAGCAACCCCCATGGGCGCTACCATTTTGTAGGTGTCCCCATACCATTTTGTAGGGAGGTAGGCTGGGCACCCTACACTTTGGTAGGCCCAACCTCTCGGGGCGAATTTCAAGGGGGATGAAAGCTAGATGTTTTTTTAAAATGACTTTCAAGGGCCCTCCAGAACCATCCAGAACAAACAATCTGTCTACAAAATGGAAGGGCGCCATCACATCCACAAGCATGATCCCCGTTGACATTTCCCATTTAAAATGGTAGGCCTTGGGCCCCCTATAAATCAGACTTTATGGTTTTTTTTTGTGCCGTCGCGGCACTCCATTTTGTAGAAAGAGACCTGCTTATACACACCCAACATCACTTTATATGAGAACAAGATCATATGCCAGTGTCAGGCACCTCCATTTTGTAGAAGATTTGGAATACCATTTTGTAGATGGGTAAGGGGAGTTGACAAATACATCCACAAATGTAAATATATTTGAACACAAAAAAATATCAACCGCTTTTGGTTAACAGAGAACCAGTGCTGAATGAAGCAGGAAACCTATGGAAGCCTAAGTATGTCTCCCACCTGCCCATCAACTTCAAGTATTTTGGGTTAACATAATGTCCAAAAAATGTGAAAGCTAGATGTTTTTTTTTTATGACTTTCAATGGCCCTCCAGAACCATCCAGAACAAACAACCTGTCTACAAAATGGAAGGGCGCCATCACATCCACAAGCATGTTCATGATACTCTGGCACTACCATTTTGTAGCTGGCTCATGCTGGTTCAAGACATATTTTGTAAGAATCTCGAGTGCCAAGCTACATGGGTTTGTTGGAGGGGATTGTGGTGGCTGCCTTTGCAATAGGCTTGGCGATGGGGATCCTACTTAGAAAGTGTGTCTGCCGACCATGTGGATTTTGTGGTGGAGATGATCGCAAAGTTTTCAAAGCCTCCAAAATTTTGAAAGCAGCCCCGGTCCAGAAAAAAAACGCGATGACCACTACTTCGGTCCAGTCTATCTGACTACTTCTGTTGGACGATACTTTATGAAACCCGATTGCCAGATGCACAAAATGCAAAAATGTGAGATATGCAAGGATTGCTTGAGAGATTTTAAGAAGAAATTTCATTCAAGGTAAACTGTCTACAAATTGGTCGCCCAAAAAAGACTAGGGTGCGACCACAGGGTTGCTTTGTGTCTTACAAAATGGTTCTCCCATTTTTCACAGTTTTTTGGACACTATGTTAACCCAAAATACTTGATGTTGGTGGGCAGGTGGGGTACCCTGGCGCCACCATTTTGTAGGCAGCAACCCCCATGGGCGCTACCATTTTGTAGGTGTCCCCATACCATTTTGTAGGGGGATAGGCTGGGCACCCTACAAAATGGAGCTCTCATCGTCTCAGGGCTAATGTGAAGGGGGATCCCTACTGTAGTTTGGATGGGAAAGCGCCCCCAATTTTATTGGTCAAGACCCTCCAAAAAAGGGTTATTATAGTATTTGGTCTTCCAGGTATGGAGATGTTGCCATGCACTTGGTTGGGCTCGAAGCTCACCTCTGAAAGGATCATAAACGACCTCTGTCAAGCAGCCCAGCACTACCTGTACAGTAGTCGTGAAGTCTGGTGTTGATGCAAATGTTCACTTGCATTATCTTGCATTCACTTGCAACACAAATTTTAGAGGTTGCTCATGTCGAACCCATTTCATATTATATCATACCATATTTCATTCATACTTCCATTCCTTTGCCTAACCCTTTGAGGCTGCTGGTTTTCCAAAAATTGTTCTTGGGAGTGTTGGCCTCGGCAGGTCTTCCATACCTTCACTGAAGCTGACCTGGCACTGCGGCAAAGAGCTGCCGACGTGGAAGGGAGCCTCAACCGGCAGCTCTTCGCGGGAAACTCTGAGGAGTCCAGAGCATGCCATGAGTTTCTATAGATTTGTGATTTGAGATGATGTAGCTGTGGCTCAAACATGGGCTAGTGCAATATCTAATTACTGGAATATTTACTCGTACCAACAGTATCCAAGTGTAAACAAACAAACTTTGTGGCCATTTGATTCCATTTGTGTGTCTTCTCATTTGTTATCCCCCCTGGAGTTGATCTTGAAGTTCGATCTTGTGTTTTCACGAAGTGGCGTCATGCTAGTCATGCTGGCCGAACAAAATCCAAGGCTATATAATTGCGCACACTTGGTTGTAGTCACGCGTGGTGTGCTGAAGCCTGTCACAAGGACATGTATGTATTGCATGAGATTGCATGCATGTGATATCATGTGATATCATGTGATATCATGTGAGCTTGTGTTGAGATATGTTGAGATATGTTGAGATATGTTGAGATGTTTTACTTTTGCATCACACTTGCAGGGATCGGCGAGCAAGAAGCTGAGCCTCTGGGATCGCTGCCATCGTCGGATGCGCAAACTAGTCAGCAGCCATTCATTCGACATGTTCTTTGCCCTGGTGGTAGTCTCCAATTCTTTATTTATGGGCATCGAAGTCGTGACTTGGAAGGTTGCAGCACCCAGTTGTTCTCCCTGGGAGGGGCCACATTTAGGAATCACCACTTACGTGAGGGTGCAGAGTTTGCATTTGCCAAAGATGCTGGGCCACTTGGGAAGAAAACAATAGTTAACAAGAAGGACAAGCAAAGCACAAGTGCCAAAGGTATCAAAAGTCTGGCGTAGTCTCAATTTCCTCCATTTGCAGATGCAGGTGTGCGTCCAAAGGTTGATCATGGGGTTTGTGTTCAACCTTGTTCTTCCTTTCTGCCAGGGGAAAAATGCTCTGTAAAATCTGTAAAGCACTTTGGAGCATTGGTCCTAAAAAGATTTAAAGGCAATGCCCTGTATATATATATATTTAGATATAACTTTACATAATGATTTAAATGACTATGTAGATTGGTTAGCAGCTTAGCGCTAAGCTACGCGCTCTTTGGCTTTCATTGGCTTGCTCATCCAAGGAGTTTGCCATCCAAAGTCCTGAACATTTACCAATTGGACTTGAAATCGCCCAGTACCTATACGCAGCCGCTGGGATTGCATGGAAAGAGTCTCGTTTTTTTTGCCTGTCGCCTCTCCAATCTTGAAGGTACGTTGTCCTGCTTGGATTTGCGGTGAGCTTGCTGCAAGCATCATTTGCTTGCTGCAAGAATCTTTGAATGACGCTGTTGAATCCGCAAGAGATATGTACATGGAACAGAAAGGTGAGATATGTGCCCAAGATTGCCAAAGTATGACAGGATTTCCGAGGCTCCCAAAAGCCACTGGATCCCAATGTTCATCAATTTTCCGGGTTTTTCTCGAACAAGGTTCTCTTCACCATCGAGCTCATATGTCGCGTTGGAGCGTTTGGATTTGGAGCCTCGGAATGATGGGGCCTCCAGTCTGGTGAGGGGAATCCAAATTTCATTTTCCCAGCGTTGCTAGAGATTTAACTGCCAGGGCTTCAATCCAATGTGTTATGTGTATATATATAATTAATATATATATATATATATGTTGCATCTTTATTTGGCAGGTCGCTTCACAGAATGGTGTCATGTTCATCTTTGAACTGGTCAAAAATGTTCGCTTCAAAAGATTTCAAGAGTTCAAGAGTCCCACTTCAAATGTCAGCTGAAGCCACAGACAGTGTCACAGAATGTCACAGAGGTTTCTTCTGTGGTTCAGACTGGGTTTGGGCCTGGCTGGATTTGGGCATCGTCCTCATTTCTTTTGCGGAGATTGCCGGGGACATTGTCACCAAGGCTTCAAAGAGTTGGTTAGATGACTCGTGGTGGGCGAATGACTTTGCAAGCTTTAGCTGGTACATGATGGTATACGGCTCTTTGGTTGATGTGCGATAGTTTAGGGTTCTTTCTTTTCCAATTTGGTATTACAGTGTATTAATTACAGAATATCGCAGTGATTACAGTGAATATATAGGCATGAAACCGCCCAGCGAGTCTGAAGCCAAGACTTTGGAGGTCAATAGCGCGGGAGGTGCTGAGCCTTCGTCCGTCGGAAGCTTTACCGGTTTCAAAGCATTCCGACTCATACGGATCACACGCCTCTCAGCAGAATTGGGATCCGGACAAGGAATGACAAGGAATCATTTCAGGATTCCTTCTGAAGTCTTTCCATTTCATGCTAATTATATAGGTCTCAGGCTGCTTTTGCATGCAGCCTTGTGGATTTGGCTTTGGATTAAAGCAACATGTTCAGACCAAGATAGACCAAGCCAAAAATGCGAAGTGTTTGAGTCGGTCTGAGAACCATATCAAAAGTTCATGACTTAACCAGTACAGTGCTACACCATCAGCGGTCTGCAATGATGCCTCCAAAAATGCTGTGTAGGCCTCCTCAAGACTTTGCGAATGGTGCGAATCTTCCGTTTCATCATGGCGCTTCGAACCCTGGTTACCTCCATTGTTTTTACACTGCGCTCACTATTCTGGGCTCTGACCTTGCTGGTGCTGATTGTTCCTCGGCTATTTCAAGAGAGATGATCTACAGGAATCTTAATGAATTTTGGTTTCACCCATGCAATGTGGCAATTGATCATGCTGACTGCCATGTTATTTGCTGCTTAAAAGGGTTTCGTCCAATGCCAAGAGCATGCCAAAGCAGCTCGCCAGGTCTATGTTTTTTCGATTCTGCTCGCTCAAGCTGTCCACAACCACATGCTTGACGCCAAGCATCTTCCACGCACTTACAGCAATTCAGCAGTAACACTGGTTGGTTGGTTGATTTGGGTTGATAACTCCTATGAAGCGGAGATCTCAGAGTTGTCCCTATTTTCAATGAAAGTGAAAGTAGTCTCCAGCCAAGTAGGGCTGTTCTTTCATGTTTTTTCAATGGTATTTCATGGTATTTCTATCATGGTTTTGGCCATTTCTCAAGTTTTAACGTTCAAATTTGTTCATGCTGTGCCCACCGTCAGCCGAGTGCTAAGACCTTGGTTTCTGTGCCAAGGAACCCACCTTTGCCAGAGGAGGCCATGAAATATTTCAGCTCGTTGAGCCAAACGATGCTGAGTCTTTTCATGAGCATCTCTGGTGGTGTCAGCTGGGAAGAGCTTGTCTTTCCCTTGCAGGACTGGTTACACATCACATGATCTTTGCACATAAGTCTTGACATAAGTTTGTTATTTGACTTTGGGGTCAGCTTTGAATTTCTTCCTCCTTTCACTCCTTGTGTATACAAAGTGTTTGCCAGCAAGCCCCGTGAACTTCACCATTGGCATGTCTTTGATCCGCAAAACAACAATAGAACTTCAATTGGGCCACCAGGCCCATAACAGTACACTGGATGAACGCCGATGATGATGCCTTCAGGCCCTTCTGATTCAACCCTGGCTGGACCTGTGTGAGCTGTCTTTGTAGAGCTCATGATGTTCACACCGGAACAAATCTATCTACTTCATCATTGTCCAATATTGGCCCTCGTTGAGTTGTTGAGGTATCTCATGGTATCTTAATGTATCTTATATATAATGTTTGTCATCCTATGCGCAGAGGAAGCCAACATAAAAGTTCCAGGCTTAGCCTTTCACATGCTACATGCTAAACTAGTTGGGTCCCTTTGCCGCGAATTTAAATTCACAGTTCTCACGAGTGGTCCCAGCCCCAACCAACTTTGCCTCAGCCCAGAGGCCATGCAGGCAAATCAAATCTAAAATTTTGGCGTGATAAAAGAGGGCGCTTAAAAGCAAGGAAGTTCCACAGCCCAAAAAAGAAAGTCTAGTAAAGTCTAGGTCCTATTGTACGATTGCGTGTTTGCCCTGTTGGATTCAACTCAGACATTGCGCTACCGCAGGAAATCTCGAGTGTTTGGGTTATGGTCTTGCTCTTCTATGCCTCTTGGCATGGAGAAAAGACCTGAAAGGCTCATGGAGCATGCAGAGAGCTCTACTGTACCTAAGAGGTCCTAGGGCTGAAGATGTCGCAAACCATGGAAACGATATGGTGAACTACTTAAAGCGATAACGTGATTTGATGGTGTAGTTGAAAGGTGTTGTTACTGTTTTTCGCAGCCGTTTGGGATTGTATTGTGACCCGGTATGCGTTGTTCTAGTATCCGTCAGATGTGAATCCAGGCGCCCAAAGGCCTAGAGTACGCACTTTGGACCAGGTCACTTGCTGCCAAAACCTGTTACGACACAAGCTCTGGAAAGCAGAGCCTGTGCTTTAGAAACAATATTTCAAAATAATAAGAATAGTGATAACCCTAGCGATACCGTAGTGATACCAGACGATACCCAAAAATTGCCAAAAGTGGGCGCGGGCTGACAGAGACCCAATCCGTCCCCGGAATGACGCACGTCAATCTTGCGTCAAGTCTTGAAACATCTAACTGGCGTGGTCCATCCTGGCCTTGAAACTTACCATTGAATTACATCTTTGATCCAATGCTCCGAAGAGCTGAACAGTGCAAAAACCAAGCCGTTCTGAGGGAAAATACTTCCGCACTTTGAAGGAAAGCAGTGGACAGCAGACTGCTGACCATGAAATGCCCCTATTGTCTCTAAATCCACACACATTGTTTGACATTTTGCAGAACCATGTAAAGCGATCTAACGCACTACCTAAAACGATAACTTTTGCCCATGAACACCTTTGTGACCCTTAGTTCGTTTGTGGACGGTGCGCACGGTGCACAGGAGCCTGCCCGGCTCCAAAAGAGTCCATCAAAGTATATAATCAAATTCAATCGTGTTGTCGAACCCGTTTGAGAGTAGATCTTGTGCGACTGCCCCTTCTTGCAGTTACCCCCGCAATGCGCGGACAGGTGCCCTGAACATTTTCTGACGCACCAAATGTGCTTCCGAACGCAAGCATTCACGCATCCGGGTCCTGTTAAGAGCTGCGATATGGCGCCCAGAAAACCTGTGCTGCCTTGAAGATTTCATTTGGATGGGCAAACTGGAACCCCACTAAGCAAGTGCATTAGGTACATGCCGTTCCTATACAAATATGACTTGATAATACTTGATATGGCTTGTATGCTCATGAGGAAGAACACCGCAACGCGATGGATTGTTCTCTTGGTTTGTATGTGCACGTGTAAACATTACATCTATACTTAAATATATTACATTTGTCCTTATTGAATTTGATTGTTTTATTAAATAATACATTAGATTATATTTATTACGTCATGTTACATGTTAAATTATATTGCATTATAGTGTATCATATTATATCATAAAGTATTTTGTTTATTTTTTAAACTATAACATTATATTTGTATTGTATTTTTTGACTAGGACATGTTTATTTCGTTAGAATGTCCAATTTTAAATCATATCATGGCTTATTTATGTAATTATTTATTCAATGTTTATAGTTTATGCGAATATATTGTTTCTTTTTTTTATGTTTTGTGTTATTGTATTGCATATTACATGTGTTCTTCTATTATTTCTATTTTTCATCTTGTATTATTTTATACCAGTAGTACCGCACAAGGCTGTGGCGGAAGCTTCAAAAATAGAAAACCTATTAGGGGAGGTTGGTTGTTGTGAATCACGGATGGCAGAGCAAAGCCACTGATGGATCGAAAGGTGATTCATGTCTCCTCTCTTTCTCTCTCTTTTCTCTCTTTCTCTGATTACCTACCTACCTACCTACCTACCTACCGATCTATCTATCTATCCATCTGTCTATCTATCTATCCATCTTTCTTTCTTTCTATCTATCTATCTACCTCTCTCTCTCTCTCTCTCATTTGTCTACCCAACTATCTATCTATCCATCTATCTATCTATCTAGCTATCTATCTATCCATCTTTCTTTCTTTCTATCTATCTATCTACCTCTCTCTCTCTCTCTCTCTGTTTGTCTGCCTGCTTGTCTATCTATCTCTCTCTATCTATCTATCCATCCATCCATCTATCTATCGATCTATCTATCTATCCATCTATCTATCTATCTATCTATCTATCTTATTATCTATCTATCTATCTATCTATCTTTCTATCTATCTATCCATCTATCTATCTATATATATATATATACATCTGTGTGCGTCATCCCTGGCACAGTGCATCTTGAGTTGCCAAGTGCCGTACACTTCATCTTTGACATGCCACTTGGGTGGTGTGACGAGTACGCACTCATCGTTTTCAAGACGATCATCATCATCATCATCATCACCATCATCATCTTCATCTGCAACTGGGGTGGTGCACGTTTCTTTTCCTGACATCAACTTCTTCTTCGCGCGAGGTAAGTTTTACTTACTTCGCGGTTCTAAATGTGGCATTTTGGCTGCAGAGATCTCGGGATCAGTGGGGGATTTCTCCTTGCTTTTGCGACATGCGTTTGGTTCCGAGTTAAGATTCGTTGGAACTTACGCACACATCAATTACACACGGCACATTCAGCATTTGAGCCAATTGGGGAGGTTGAAATCCGGATCATTGCATGGCGCACCGGTAGGTCAATGCCAATTTGTGCTTGGTAGCATGGTCAACTTTTTCTGTGAGGCAAAGCACAAATTCACAGAAAATTGTGACCTGAGAAACCAAAGTTGTTCAACTGTTGTGGCAAAACCTCTGCTGCTGTTGTGGCCCAGGTCACTGGAGTCTTCTGTCAGCCTCTTGCCAATTATGGGTTTGGTGATTTTGGTGGACAGTTTTGGCTCACCCAAGATCATCACGAGGCGTCATTTGCCCTGCAGGTCAGCAATCGACAGCGCCCAGAATGACCATGCCAACATAGTCCATGCCATGTTGGCCAACAAGGAGGTACAGGGAAACGATTCTGCCGTTGATTGAAGTGGAACGCATCACCATCAGCAGTCAGTTGACATGCAAATTGATGGAAAGAAAGACGGAAACAGTTTCGTTTTTCAGCATGTTTGCGGAACACAGTCCTGGAAGGCACATATCGAGAAAATCAGTTCGCTCTTCAGCCAATTGGGTGCAGAGAAGACGGGCGTGATCACATACGCCATGTACCGCGGCCACCGATTTCCACACTTGATTGCCCCCAGTGTTTTGTTTGGGATGCAACAGCAGCCCTTTTGTTATAAGATTCTTACTGCTACAGTCTGAGACCATCAAAAATTATTGTTATTTCATTTTTTTTCATTTTCATTTTCATTTCCATTTTCATTTTCATTATCATGTTCATCATCGTTTTTTTCATTTTATCTTCATTTTTTCATTTTTGCTCATCACCTTTTGCCATCAAACTTCATTTTTTTCATTTGCAACTTCATTTTTTTTTCATTTGCAACTTCATGTTTTTTCATTTTCCTTTTTTTTTGTTGGTTTCCATTGTTTTTCATTGTTTTTCATGGCTTTCCTGGATTTCAGGTGCCACGGGCAAGGAAAATAAAAAAATATATATATATATATAAATGAAAAAAAGAAAAGAAAATTTCCTCGAGTTTTTGAAGATTTCCTGGTTCGGAGTGAGAATCTGCAACTTTGAGTCCAAATTTTCATTTTTTTTCATTTTTTTTTAATTGCAACTTCATTTTTTTTCATTTTCCTTTGTTTTTGATGGTTTTCCATTGTTTTTCATTGTTTTTCATGGCTTTCCTGGATTTCAGGTGCCACGGGCAAGGAAAATAAAAAAATGAAAATTTCCTCGAGTTTTTGAAGATTTCCTGGTTCGGAGTGAGAATCTGCAACTTTGAGTCCAAATTTTCATTTTTTTTCATTGCAACTTCATTTGTTTTTCATTTTCCTTTGTTTTTGATGGTTTTCCATTGTTTTTCATGGCTTTCCTGGATTTCAGGTGCCACGGGCAAGGAAAATAAAAAAATGAAAATTTCCTCGAGTTTTTGAAGATTTCCTGGTTCGGAGTGAGAATCTGCAACTTTGAGTCCAAATTTTCATTTTTTTTTCATTTGCAACTTCATTTTTTTTTCATTTTCCTTTGTTTTTGATGGTTTTCCATTGTTTTTCATTGTTTTTCATGGCTTTCCTGGATTTCAGGTGCCACGGGCAAGGAAAATGAAAAAAAATGATAAAAAAATGAAGAAAAAATGAAAATTTCCTCGAGTTTTTGAAGATTTCCTGGTTCGGAGTGAGAATCTGCAACTTTGAGTCCAAATTTTCATTTTTTTTCATTTGCAACTTCATTTGTTTTTCATTTTCCTTTGTTTTTGATGGTTTTCCATTGTTTTTCATGGCTTTCCTGGATTTCAGGTGCCACGGGCAAGGAAAATGAAAAAAAATGAAAAAAAGAAAAGAAATTTTCCTCGAGTTTTTGAAGATTTCCTGGTTCGGAGTGAGAATCTGCAACTTTGAGTCCAAATTTTCATTTTTTTTTCATTGCAACTTCATTTGTTTTTCATTTTCCTTTGTTTTTGATGGTTTTCCATTGTTTTTCATTGTTTTTCATGGCTTTCCTGGATTTCAGGTGCCACGGGCAAGGAAAATGAAAAAAAAATGAAAATTTCCTCGAGTTTTTGAAGATTTCCTGGTTCGGAGTGAGAATCTGCAACTTTGAGTCCAAATTTTCATTTTTTTTTCATTTGCAACTTCATTTTTTTTCATTTTCCTTTGTTTTTGATGGTTTTCCATTGTTTTTCATTGTTTTTCATGGCTTTCCTGGATTTCAGGTGCCACGGGCAAGGAAAATGAAAAAAAATGAAGAAAAAATGAAAAAAATGAAAATTTCCTCGAGTTTTTGAAGATTTCCTGGTTCGGAGTGAGAATCTGCAACTTTGAGTCCAAATTTTCATTTTTTTTCATTTGCAACTTCATTTGTTTTTCATTTTCCTTTGTTTTTGATGGTTTTCCATTGTTTTTCATGGCTTTCCTGGATTTCAGGTGCCACGGGCAAGGAAAATGAAAAAAAATGAAGAAAAAATGAAAAAAATGAAAATTTCCTCGTTTTTGAAGATTTCCTGGTTCGGAGTGAGAATCTGCAACTTTGAGTCCAAATTTTCATTTTTTTTTCATTTGCAACTTCATTTGTTTTTTCATTTTCCTTCGTTTTTGATGGTTTTCCATTGTTTTTCATGGTTTTCCTGGATTTCAGGTGCCACGGGCAAGGAAAATGAAAAAAAAATGATAAAAAAATGAAGTTTAAAATGAAAAAAAAATGAAGTTTGAAATTAAAAAAATGATGTTTGAAATGAAAAAAAAATAAGTTTGGAGAAACAAAAAACGAAAAAAAATGAAAAATAAATGAGAACAAAAAAATGATTGAAAAACAAAATGAAAAAAATGAAGTTACAAATGAAAACCCAAATGAAAAATAAATGAAAAAAATAATTTTAAACATTTCCAATCTGTGGCTCGATGCGAATCATATAACCCTTTTGGATTGGATTCCTTTGACTACATGCCGTACAAGCATCCGTCATGCACAACCACTTGCATCGGATAGGATAGGGTAGACTTCACTCTCCAGAGGCTTCAGCAACTTGCAGGGTGCTGTTCTAGGCATACTTCAAGCCACTTCTTTTTTATTGGTGTCCAAGGCACTTCATATTCAGGGCCATTTTCAGATATTCATGATATTACATACATTTGAGATATTATGATACTATGAAAATAATTTGATGGCCTGGAAAAACCGTATGATCCAGCACTGCTGTGTGGTTTCTATGTGCCGCACTTACTTTCACAAATCTTCACTGGTTTTGAACCAGTTCTGTTTTGTTCCTCGGAGGAAGTTTAGAAGTCAAACTTCCAACAATATGGACAGATGGAAAAGCAGAGGTGAGAAGAGTCAGAGAAGAGTCAGAGAAGAGAAGGGAAGAAGAAAGAAGAGAAAGAGTCAGAAGAAAGTAGATGCAGGTGTGCGAAAAGGTAGAAAAGTCGCGAGCCACTTTGTTTTTCCAATGTTTTGAAAAGTAAGCTCCCTAAAGCGGCGGGTGCGGAGCCATTTGGCGAGACGAGAGATGAAAAACTGCACGCCGTTGTGGCGCGAAGCACATTTCGAAGTCAAAATGTACAAAACACACCAGGTTCGGAGCACTTGTTGAAGTTCAGCTGTGGAAAGAATGCACGCCGTTGTGGCGCAAAGCACGTTCGCAAGTCAAAAGTGTTCAAACTTAGGGCCTTGGACCACTTGAACTTGACAACATCCAAAACGGAGCAATTTTGCGAGACTTCCTCAATTTTGAACTTGTACAACATCAAACACGAAGCGATTCACACTTCCTTCAAACATGGAAAGTTGAGTGCAGAGCTGACGGCCTCGTACCAATGCGTTTTGCGATTTTCCCCTCCATCTGTGTAAAGTGCTGCGCCTGCCACGCGAAAGTGATGCCAAGTCATACGAAGTGCTGCACCTGTCACGCAAAATCATCTTAGCAAACCTGAAGATCTGATGCTCCAAAATGATCCAAAATGCAACTTTCTCAGGAAATCAGCGCCCTAACCTCCTAACATCTCTGATGAACATGTCTCTTGTACTGCGCCTGCCCCGCGACATGCATCTTTGATCATCTTTGCAGATTTTCTTGAAATGTCCCACGCATGCCATCGTTTTTGGCCATGCTAGAAAACCCACACGTTTTGCTCACTCTTGACAGGGTGCAGAATTCTGTGCGCCTGCCACGCAAAAACCACATCTGAACCTTCAAAAGTGGTCCGGGCATGTGGCGTTTTTAAAATTTTGATTTGGAAATCTGCTTCGCGCCCCAATGGCATGCACTCAACTTCCAAGAATGGTCCGAGAATGGTGTGCTTTGTACATTTTGATTTGGAAATTTGCTTCGCGCCGCAACAGCGTGCACTTTTTCGACATTACAACTTCCAAAAGTGCTCCGAACCTGGTGTGCTTTGTACATTTTGACTTGAAATTTGCTTCGCGCCGCAACAGCGTGCACTTTTTCGACATTACAACTTCCAAAAGTGCTCCGAGCCTGGTTTGCTTTGTACATTTTGACTTGGAATTTGCTTCGCGCCACAACGGCGTGCACTTTTTCGACATTAGAACTTCCAAAAGTGCTCCGAACCTGGTGTGCTTTGTACATTTTGACTTGGAATTTGCTTCGCACCACAACAGCGTGCACTTTTTCGACATTACAACTTCCAAAAGTGCTCCGAGCCTGGTGTGCTTTGATGTGCTTTGTACATTTTGACTTGGAATTTGCTTCGCGCCGCAACGGCGTGCACTTTTTCGACATTACAACTTCCAAAAGTGCTCTGAACCTGGTGTGCTTGCGCATTTTGACTTGGAATTTGCTTCGCACCACAACGGCGTGCAATTTTTCATCTCACATTTGGCCAGATGGCACCGCACCCGCCAATTTAGCGAGCCTACTTTTCGACCCTCCGGAGCCACAAATCATTGCAAAAAAAGCAGTGACTTGTGACTTTTCTACCTTTTCGCTCACCTGCATCTTCTTTCTTCTGGGTCTTTCTCTTCTCTGATCTTCTCTCTTCTTTGCTTCTCTTCTCTTCTCTTCTCCTCTCCTCTCCTCTCCTCTCCTCTCCTCTCTTCTCTTCTCTTCTCTTCTCTTCTCTTCTCTGACTCTTCCCATCTCTGCTTTCCCATCTGTCCATATGGTCGGAACTTTGACTTCTAAACTTCCTTCGATGAATGTATAAATTTTGTGGTTTGTTTGAAGGGCTACACCCTCCGAAGGTCCCAAGGCATTGGATACAGCGAACGCCTTTGCCATCACCCCAAGCTAAGGTTTGAGGAAGGGATGAATACACCTGCAATTTGTGAATACTTCGAAACCTTGGGTTTCTTTGCTTGCCAAATGTGAGACTGAACGTGGGTGCGGTTTATTGATGGGGCAGGTTGACGAGACCACGTATGTTTTCACAGGTCTGAGTCTGAATCGGATACAAACATGCAGACTATTATCTATAATTAGGTTTACAGCAGCATCAAACCATTCAAGACCATCCAAAGCCTTCATACTGTACTGCACTGAATTTCTGAGTTTCTGTTGCATGCGCCCTTTCAAAGAAATGCTCGCATGATAGGTTTAGACGTGTGGGATGCTTGGTCCTTCTTCAAGCTTTTGGATATGGATCGAGGCAAGCGAACTCAGGTTTCACCACAAAGGGAGCACTGTGTGCATCAAGCATGAATTTCCTATTTGATTTGCTTTACGTAGTACTCAAGTGATTTTATTTGTAATACAGTATGGGATACAGTACTTGATACGGTACTTGCTTGTTAGATCATGTTAGATTTTATAAGTTTGTTCCCTTACGTGGGATTTTGTAAAACCCCGCGCCTATTCATTTAGTTGTCCATGATCCCCCATGAGCGATTTTTTGGTTTCATTCGAAAAAACGATAAGAGGAAAAAACGATAATGTTAAACGTTGGTTCTGTGAATGATCTGTGCCCAGACTCTTGAAACCCAATGTTTTTATTTGCCCGTCGTTCTGCAGTTATTTCGTGTTTTTGGTTTCTTCATTTCATTGTTTGTTGCCGTAATGGCGCGCCAACGAATGCATGTCAGATTCTGCACAAGGAGGTGCCTGGTAGGTGGTCGCTACACTCCTTTTTTGACGATTGCGGCCATTAACAGGAAAAAACGAACGTACACAGGATTCACGAACGATAACAAAACGATAACGAAAACGATAACGTTTGGCATCAAAAATGGTCCGTGCGAGACACGGCCCTTTTTTCCTTTTCCTCTCGCTTCCCTCTCCTTTTTCCTTTCCTCTCCTTTTTCCTTTCCTCTCCTTTTGCCTTTCCCTTCCTTTTCCTTCTCCATTCCTTTTCTTTTCCTGTTTCTTTCCTTTTTCCTTGTCCTTTCCTTCCTTTCCTTTTTTTTTCTTTCGTTGTCCTTTGCTTATCCGTTGTTTTTCTTTCCTTTTCCTTTTCCTTTCCTTTTCCTCTCCCTTTCCTATTCTTTCCCTTCCCTTCCTTTACTCTTCCTTTTCCTTTTCCCTTTCTTCGCTCATGTGAATCCTCTGGTCAAGGTGTGAAGCCAGCGCTTGGAAAAACGATAAGAGGAAAAAAAATAACGTGTGAGAAAACCATTTGAAAGTGTTCGGGGGTTTTACAATACTCCACGTTGTTAATTGTGTTTAATCATGTGTGAACATGTTCAATCGGTGTTTTAAACGTTTGATATGTTTTGATGTTCCGGCTGAAAATGTGCCAGGTGGAGCCGTCGAGATTGGCGAGTTTTTTAAGGGTTGTTTGCGGCTTCGGGGTCAAGCCCGTGGAGTGGATGTGGGAAGAATTATGCATGAGACTTGGATAACTTAGATAACTTGGCTGAGCCATCCCTTCTCTTTGGAGCCAATTAGCCAATGTTCCTGACCCATACCCAGCGGTGAATGCGTTAGTATGTGTTTCGTTCCATGGAGAGTACCCATCCGAGGACCAAAACTGGCTCATTAAGAACACGGGACACTTCCAGGCATTGGGATGCACCGTGTCCATGTTTCCATACTGTATGCGTTTGTCTCAAAGTGGAGGATACGTTAGATATTAGATACATACATGTATTTAGCTGGCAATTCCTGGAAAGAATGATGATAATTTTTGGGGTTCCAGATTTGGAGACAACCCAAGATGCTTGCTAGTGGCTGCTAGTGCTGCAGTATCCCTGAGTCAATATCCAAAAATTGTTGCAAAGGTTGCATGCTTCACTCTCTCCAAATCAGATGCTGCTTTGACCTCATTTCTCACGCGTGTAGATGCATGCAGACGTTTTGGCGTTCGAAATCTTCGAATGCATGTATTGTGATAATTTTGAGTCTTGCGTTTGGTGCAGGCCTATATGGAGGTAAAGATAAAGCAGCTGACAGAAATGACTCCTGGCAACCCTAGCTGGTCTGTGCATTTTAAGTCGGTTGCGACAACCATGATTTTGCAGTTCAGTTCAGATGACCAAACTTTCTTGAATATGTTTAGCGCATATGTATAACAAGGCAATCCAGTCTACAACGATTACAATAGATCAATGGCAATATTTGTTTGAAACATGCATCCGGGATCATCCGGGCCACTGGTCGATTCAGTCATTAGCAACTGTTTTGGTGCGTATCAAGCGAACTTGGCCTGATTGGAGCCGGTCATCAAACCATGCAACAAGGGAGCAAGATGAAAATAGAAACTGTGATGGGAAGACACAGTGGTCGTGCTGCGGGTCAATGCTTGAAGGCTGTGAGAATCTGTGAGATTTGTTAGTCAGTCAGAGAAAGAAAAGATGGAATTTCGGAATGCCACACTTAGGATGTCAAAGCTCTCGGGGGTCAAGTTGGATAATCATTGGTCTCGAGTGCCAAGTCCGGAGTGAGTCAGAGGACGTTTCTTTCGAAGTAGATGTGTTGTGCAAGGAATGGGCAAGCTGCATGGTCACAGCAGCGCTGTGACTCTGCAAGTTAGTCGTGACAAGCTGCTAGTTTGTTTTGCTTTTGACTTGTCCTTCCGAACCTGCCGAACGCATTTAATGATGTTCGGACAAATTCCTTGGTTGACTCTCCTTCATTTCAAGCTTCTCAAAGAGAAAGCTCCAAGCAGGGCCAAGGTTGCAAATGCACAAGCACTTTTGAAACAAATACCAAGAGCTGTTCAAGGTTCAAGGATGCACTTTCTCGGGAAATGGCTTCAAGTACTGGTCGGTGGCACTGGTCAATGAATGTCAGCAAAGCGGCCAAAGCATGCCAAAGCGTTTGGAAGGTCTTGAAGCACAGAACGCTTGGAATATCTTGGAATACGAAGTTGAAAGATGTTGAAAGTCCAGTTTGGTTTGCACTTGGTTTCTTATGTTTCTTGATTTTCTATAGCTACGGGATCCTGCGGCAGATCATGTCAACGGGGGTTCAAACAATAAATGATATGAATGTGCACTACTTCCGGCTGAGGTGGTTGACATTGGTAGTTTGACTTTGGGCGACAGCTCCTGTATTTTCATGTAATTCATGTATTTTCCCCGATTCAGACTGCCCAAGCTTGATTCGTCATATGATTGCAAAATATTGCAACCGCGGTACTCTCAGGGAAGTAATGCCGCGCGTGCTCATTTCTAAGCCTTATTATAATTGCTACTGAAAGATTTGTGGTGGCCCAATTTTAAACCACAAGCTGCAATGAGCATCTAAGCAACTCACAGCAACTCACGGTATTCTTGCTTGGTTTGCAGGAATTTCATTGACCAGGATAAGGAGTTCATACATTGGAATCGTGCCCATTGTCACGCGACATGGTTGAGCAAAAACTGGCAAAAACAGAGACCTGGGTCAGTTGACGAGTCAGTGCATGTTCAGGGCGAAGCGCTGGCATAGCCAAACTCATGCCAGCTGCGCTCGACTCTATAGCTTTCAATATCATCATGTGCGAAGTTTTTGCAGTTTTCACCGGAAAAGGCAATCTTCATTTTCATCAGTATTCTAGAAGACCCACTTCTTATACACTGGGAATGACAGTTTTTTACAGCAAGAGTTCCTTCAGATTGGCAATTTCAGATGAGCCGGTCCTAGCCACCAATATATCCAAGATGCATCGAATTACTGCACACTGCAAAGGCTTGCACATGGCGTAGAATCTCATGAACACCTGCACGCTGTGGCAAATTGAGCCTAAATATGGCCTCGAGATGCATGGCAGAATGGAAGTACCAGGTGTCCTTCCAGGGGATGGGTTTGTCATGGTTTGTCCCTGTGTTTGAGCCTGCTTTGAGCTTTGAAACTCCTTTAAGATGTGCACTTCGCAAGAAACTGAAGATGCTGAAAGAGTCCATGGTGTGTATGATTTTTTCTGTCCCAAATGCGCTTGCATTTGAATTTGAGCCACGAAATCACAAAATAAGGAAGTCTGATGAAGTCTGGAGGTGCTGGGCTCATACACAAAGGGTGTACAGACGATGGACCGTTCCGTAGACCTGAGGCGCAAAAGTGTGGTGCCAGGAACTGCCAGGAACTGCCACAAACCTCTATGGGATTCACTCAGATTCACTCAGATGCGTTGGGCCGGCCATTCAGAGAAAGAGTAAACGTCATTGCTTGCTGGTGCTACCCACTTGCAGGCCGTATCATGAAATGACCGACATCTAATTAATGCTGATTTCATTGGTTTCACCAAAATGATGTGATTTTTTATATTTGTTTGTTATTTGTAGGATGCTGTAGGTCACTACCCTCGTGCCGCGCTTCGGAGGCATCGCCACAGATCGAGCCACAACGTACACCTATGATCAAGGTTTCCGGGCAGTTTGGGCAGTTGCAGGATAAAGGGCCGTGATGGTTCTATGGAGTACATGGAACAGTGGATGATTTGGCAACCAATAATCATCCAGATTAAGAAGATATGCATCTTGGATCATTTTGGTATGCACCATATTTCTCCATGATTGCATTCTATTCCACCATGCAATCAACATGTGTCCAATATTCCCCTGCTTGGTGTCAAGATGCTCCAACTGCATATTGATTCTTCCCATTCATCCATTCTACCTTGGTCATCCATGGTCATCCTTGGTTGATCCAAATGCGCGCACAGTTTGGGGATGGGTTGAAAACAAGAAGCAGGAAAATGATTCACCAATATTGCCCAGAATTCCAACCTTGGACTAATTCACCCTGGACTGTGTGTATACCCTGGCATCCCTGGCTGATATCAAGGGGTGTAACCCAAGAAAAGCTGACCATTGGCACTTAAAGTGAAACTCCCCCAAGTATGAATCAAAAACGGAAAAACGGTGGCGTTCAGTTCATCCACTGTTGGCTTGTTAGAACACATATCTCAGCCAGGCGGCTACACCGAGGCCAGGCAAGCGGTTGAGGATATAACTGATGTAACCGGAGATTTCGGGGATGTGGCTGGTGGAAAATGATGGAAAAAAACTGTACAACCAATGAGAATGCGGATGTTAGCCAACAAGAACGGGAAGAGATACCCAATGTCATCTGAGAAAGAATTGGGTGCTGGCTTCAAATGTTTGGTGCTTTCCAATCATTGGACACTGTACAAAGGCTCTTATAGTGGAAAGCTGCAATTGAGCAATGCCAAGCTGATCCCTGCAGTGGGATCACACTAAGCGGCTGAATGGGGATAACGGATAATTATAATCCACTATGGAGATCCCAATCAACCAATCATTAGAAGGGATGACAGAAGATGTTGGGCACTGCTGACGTGGCATTTCAAACATAGTTGCTCAGTTTGCAAACTTCATTGGGACACCAAGGCAGGCCACATTGCTTTTGCCCGTGCCTGCACGGACTGTGCAAGGCGGAGGCGCCATAAGGTATGTTTCTAATGTACAAATGAGGGCCCTTTCGTGCCAAGTTCTTTGCTCGGGGTTGCGGTTTTTGTGGCCTCACCATGCACTCAAAGTTTTGCACAGACTGAAGCTCCCGCAGAATTGTGCCCAGATCAGCATTTTGGCGATAACATTATAACCTCCCCATTGCCCATCGCGCCAGTTGGTAATTGTGGCTGGTCCATTCATTCATCCTTGGACGAGGACTGTCCACACTTTCTGTTGCATCACAGCCAGGCTGTTGTTGTGTGATTTGCATCATGCCCTTCACTTTCTCAAATGTCGGAGATTAAGCGTGCTAAGATTTGGTCGAAGCATGTCTAAGCTGCATCATACCACCCCAGGGACTTGAGAGTCTTGATACAGGATGCCACTGCTTTACCACCAATGATGCTTCCTGTGGCAGTTGCCCAAGCTGTTGCATGTTCTCAACATGTTCTCAACACGCCGATCTCAATACCCAAACAATTTGGAGGTGGGGACGTGCTACATTTGGGAACTTATTTGCGTAGTAAAGAATTTTGTGTGATTGAGTTTGTTCAGCTTGCAGCACTGCGGAGGAACTTGATGTTTTCTTTAGTTTGAGGTTGAACATGGGTGAACCCCTTTTTTCCGACACACTGCAGCATGGTCCTGGTTGATTTCTCAACATGTCCTGTCTTCAATCTCTTCGATGCGTATGCTGTTGATATGATAAGTATTGATAAGTCAGATATAAGTTAGCACAGCTTAGCAATTCATAGGCAATGTTTATTTTGCATTATTTTGCATTATTTTGCATTATTTTGCATGTTCAGCGCTACATTGTGAAGCTTAGGTCACCCACCTTGCAGAGGCATCAACATCATCCAGGACCGCCAGATCTCACGCGATTTGCAGCGGGAGTCTTGGACAGAAATTGACTTTGAGTCAAGTAGCAAATGGTTTCAGGGAAACTGGCAGAGCCGACGCACCGTGGAGGCGTGCACATGATACATCTCGTGAAAGCACACTTGCTCCCTGTTGGTCACAGCCCCTCTCAGTCTCCTTAGTTGCAGTACCTTAATTTGTCTTTGACAGGAAGAGCGCTAGACCTTTACCGTCGGCGCCCCAGACCAAGAAACGTCGCTTGCTTTCTTCACCAACCATTTGATGGGCCCACGCAGTGCAAGATGTATATAAATCCGTTTGCATTCCGATATAGGCTGATATATATATATATATACACATATATAATTATATATATAGGTAAATAATAATATAGATATAATATATATTTATATATATATATATGATTATGTATATAGAGGTAAATGTAGACATACACGACATCATTTGCGGTCTCGTGCATGATTTCCATCCCACCTTGGGATGGTTGAACCCCATAATCTACAAACATCTACCAACTCATCTACCATGTACAGTATACTCTACTGTATAATAATTATATATAATTATAATATATAAGAAATGTTTCATTTGTTTATCTCTTTCTTGGAACGGGTTTCAACTACCGATCGGGTCTAATGTTCAGGGCCCGCCTCCAGCGCTTGGATGATCAGACGGTAATGCCCAGGGAGGCCAGTGATGGAGCTATGAAGGGTCTGAAGTCAAGGTGGTCATCGCAGTCATCGCATGAGAAATGCTTCTGAAGTTCTTCCAAGATCTTCCACATTAGGTGCTAACATAAACATCATAAACACCATGAAACCACCGGCACATGCTTGTAGAAACTGTTCTAAATCCAGGTGGATTAGTATAGCCTAAAGAATCCGACAGATGTTGGTTGCACCTAGTTGTGAACAGATGAAAAAGATTGAAAAGGAATCCCTCAGTTTCGTGTTGCGGTTGTGAAGGATGTTCACATGTTTCAGCCTTCGGCGGCAGCTGGAGAGTCTTTCGGCTCAAATGACAGGCATATTTCGTTTTTTTGACTTGTTGCACAAGCAACCTCAAAAAGCTCACGCAGAGTCAAGCAGTCTTCTAGTGGAAGTCCTACTGCTGTAGCTGATGGTCTCCCACAAGCTGAATTTGGAAGGCCTGTGCTGCTCACAATCCTTGGCCAAAAGTTGTATATACCAGCAGAATACCTCAACCCTTCAATGAGAGATAAACAGACTTGTCAATCTGTTCCACATCCATAGGCCTTTTTCAAAAGAAGCATGACATGGCACTCGCGAAGTTGCGAGCCCTCCAATGTGAGGCAACTTAGCTCAAAACTCAAAGACTGGCGCACAGGTGGAAGTCAAGGTGATCTAGCACTGTTGTCATCGTTGAACTATGTCGAACTATGTCGAACTATGTCGAACTGATGAATCAGCTCTCCTTTTTTAATCCACTTACAGATCGTACAGTCACTTACATTTCCTGCACAATCCCTCATGGCCACCCCGTGATTCTATGATTCAATTTGCTTCACATCCTACATTTTGTCGGTGTTTGCTTTGCTGCCCCGGTCCTTTCAAGCAGCAGACCTTGGGTTTTGCTTTGCTTCTATCTTATAGTACAGTACATATATGTGCATACATGGGTATATTATATATATTGACTTGTGCAGATAAACGGATTGATACACTGAAAGGAAAGGCTGCATGGGCAAGAGCCACAATCCACTGCCGGTTCTTTTGAATGCTTACCTTTGGTGGACTTCATGTGCGTGATTCGAGGTCCTACCGGGTTCTTCAAAAAAAAAAACAGCCATCCGCCTACATGTTGTCACATCACACCTGATCCCCCCGCGCCCCCCTGATCAATGTTGTTGCCCAATGCATGCCGGCATCCGAACCGAAATTGCGTTTTTTGAAGGCCTTTCCAAGCAAAGTGATGTAACAACATTGAATTGGGGGAAAAGGGGCATGCAAGTTTCTTCACAATGAGTGTGACAGGATGGCTGTTTTTTGAAGAACCCGGTAGTCGCTCTTGTTGTTTTGGCTGGTCCTTGCATTTCATGCTTCATTGCATTTCGTTTTTGCCCCTAGCGGCCCTAAAAGAAAGCATCAGAGCTTAGTGAGTGCCTTAGTGTGCCAGGTGACAGAGCATTGTGAATTTGACAGAGCTGAGGTGGGATTCAACAGCTTCTTGCCAGGGCCACGTCTCCAAGGAGTCCTGCGTCTTCGGTCACCCTTTTTGCGTGACCTGCAGCGACATGATGTGCTGCAAAGCGGCGAGGTGCTGTGCGGAAGCCAAGTCATAGCCCTGCCGTTTCCAGTTTTTTGACAACTTGAACAGCCATTCCCATTCCATTCCCATTCCATATCATTCCCATGGCATCCCATGGCCTTTCGATGCACTTCCCATGCACTTCCCATGCGCTTCCATTTTCCATCATCTTCCCGTATTGCCTTGGGTTCTTATTGGAAGGGCCTCATGGGAGCGCCGGTCCCATTGCTCATCATTGCTTAACTTCTCTGGAAATTCAGCAAACACTCCTTGCCTTTTGGTTCCATGTTTTTATGCCATGCTTGCGAGAGTAGTTTGAACATGTTTGAAATTCACTGCTTCAGTATTTTGAAGTGTATCTCAAGCTCTAGACTTCAGCGGACAAAGTGTTCTCTTGAACTGAGAACCATTGAGAACCCGGTTCCATTATTGTTCCATTTGGATCCGGATCCATTCGGAGAAAAAATCTGTGTCTGAGGCACCTTACCAGCGCAGGTGGCCTCACACCCGGCCCTGTGAAGACTCCCTTTCTTTGTGCAGTCTATGCTTGTGGCAAAGGTGCAACTTTGAGATCCCGTTTGGCCGAGGAGCGCAGGGAGGTCACCGCCCCTGGCTTCTTTGCCCTCACTGTGTGACATTGTGTGACTGGGGTTTGGGTATCGAATGGTATCGATGTGCAGTTGTTGCCACGCGGTGCGGCAAATCTATGTGTTTCCACCAAATTCAGCCACCAGGAGTTGCACGTCCCGAGCCGTGCCTTGCGGATGGGGCCACCACTGCGAATGCCTGGTGTTTCGGTGCAGTTGCTTGAACTACCCAAAGGCAGCAGACGGTGACGTGGTCAACATTTGTTGAAAGCGCCACGGCCAAATGTTTGCCACAACGGATGGCCTGTACCAGTGCAGAACTTGAAAATCTTGAAAAGTACCGAAAAGATCCGAAAAGAATAAAGTGAATAAAGTCATATAAAGTGATGGAGGGATCCAGTGACATTCAGTGACACAGAATTCTAATGTAATGAATTAGAGATAATTAGAGAGATGCAGATGAGAATCCAAAACCATCAGATGCTGCTGGGATTGGGACCTTTTTGCCAGGCCTTTCAGAGAAGACGTCCACGGAGCTGATGAAGAGTGGCATTTCAGCAGCCTCGAAAATGACGTCTCTTGGATAATGACACAAATATAAGCAAACATTTTCCACATCAATCCACACCATTGAATTTGCATGAATGTGCACTTCCAACGTATCATACATGTCCTCATGGTGTTGCAGTTTCGGCTTGGTTGGCTTGATTTGCTGCTAGCCAACCGCGGGTATTATGGGGGAAATATGAGCATATGCAGCATATGATAATATGAGCCAACTGATCGGGGCATTGCCCAATTCTATTCCTATGTAGCAGGAATTTCTCGGGGATTATGAGGACGGTGACATTCTGGTTCTGAGCCAACCTGCCAACAAGTGCAAGTTTGCAACATTCGCACACTTTGTTTTGTATGATGTTGCATCAACTCCAGTTTCCAGGCTGGCATTTGGTCCTGCAGATGTAGCTGCTTGGCAGATGACTAAGAAAAGCTTCCTCAGGAATTGTTCCTTGCGTTTTACTCCGATGCTCAAGGGATGATAGATTTGTTTCCTTGGCAATTTGTGCATATTTGGGCATGGGTCAGACTGGTCGACCCTGGGCGATGTTCTCTTATGTCCTTGTCGTTTTAGAAGCCAACCCATCTTCGAGCACCCCAATGACTTGACCCATCTCTCGAAGCTGAGCTCAGGCAGGGCTGCCTGATGGGAAAATTCCACACTGCGAAGCTCATCGCTTTACGGTGACCTTGCGCGGTTTGAACAAAACGCAGCTGTCTGCTGGGCTCTTTGACGAGCGCTTGGAGGAGACGTTCTTTTATATTAATATGATCCTTGTTCAAGGATTTGCAGGGATCTTTTTGGGATATGAATTGGTGTAACGATACTGGGAATCTATGGTTGCCTGTTGGGTTTACAAAGTGCCATTGTCCATGGCTGCTATGGCTACTTGGAATCACTATTTGGAGCCATTGTGCATCTTAACCATCAGTCACTTCTGAGATCCAGTGACCTTGAAAAGGAGATCCGAACGAACGGCTTTGTGAATTTCTTCGAGCCCTTTGGATTTATTGTTTGTTTGATTATCATTAGGCAAAGGCTGTCGGATATATAACATAAGGGATGTGCATGTATGGATGCATTGGATGCTGACGGATGACAAGATGAATGAGAAAGAGGTCGAAAGCTGCAGGGAGGATACTTCCAGAGACTGAGAATCCCCGGCCGTAAAGTTTGCAACAAATATCATCAGGCAAATAAAGATAATGAAAGTTATTCTGTGAGTGTTTAGATATAGAGATTCATTGGAAAATATATATACTATAGTTATATAATGACTATTAATCTAATGATCCTTGCAAAAGCTCAGCAGAAATGGCCATGGTGATCTCCCTGTGAATTTGTTGACACTTCGCCAGGCTTCCGTACTTTGGCCTGGCGGAGGTGACACGCTTCGAAATCGGCGCTGCCCTGTGGGGCGGCCAATGGGACACCGCTGCACGGCTGCTGCTGACAGCCAACCGTGCGGATGCTTTGCACCCAGCGTCGCAGGATGGAATGATTGATGACTGACTGAGGAATGCATGACTGATTTGGATGATTTGGGGATGAGTCGAAATTGGGGCACCTGGATACACCTGGTATATTTGAGTCAAGATGTGGTCACTTGTGACGTGCAAGTGACTGATGCATTGGCTTGATCAGTGGGGCCCCGAGTCTCTGTATTTCAGCTGACTGGTGTTTGATTTCGCATGACGTGCTGCAGGCCTTCGTTGAAAACGACTACGCCGCAGGAATTGAACTCCTGCCAGCCACTCACAACTGCAAGGGAATGCGCAAGTTGGCTATGAACTTGTTGCTCGTCGAAGTTGGAGACTAGTGTGATTTGCCTTGTTCCAATGCCAACACTATATATATATTATAATTATATTATACATATTTATATATCCCTTTCGCTCAAGTAAGCATTTGGCTGAAAGAACACCCCGTAGAACAGCAGACTGCGACTCGCCATGGCTCCGCGATTCACTTGGCTGGCTTTTGTGACCACCTCGGTGACCACTTCGGGTGCTATGAAATGTCCTGGCTCTCCCAGCTGGGTCCACGCATCGGCCCAGGTGGAAGCTATGGCTGATGGCACCTGTCAGGATGTCATTGAGGAGATCCAAGCCCGTGTGGCCGGCAACGAAGACGGCTCCTGGCACGATCCACACAACGGTGGCCAGTACTCCCTGTTGCAGGCATGCTGCTCCATCCGCTCGTGTAAACCTATAAACTTTGGTTCGTGATATTCGTGGTTGTATTTCGTGGTAGTTTCAGCTTTGGAGCTAGGTCATCACAGATCATCATGTCATATTGATTTGATTGTCGAGCTATGTCAAACCTTGTCAAACCTTCTTTTCCGTGTCCACACAGAGCAAAGTTCTGCCACTTGTGCCCCGCATCCAGGAGGATGCCCTTTATCTGGACATCAAGCGGGTCACCGGAAACAAGCGTTTCACGGACAAGTTGACCTTCACCTTCTCTGACTTCCCCGGCGCTAAACCAGCTTGCGGCATCCATGCTTGCTCAGAATCTCAGGTCTTCTCTCTCAAGGACTTACTTCTCCACGAACTACTGCAATGTTCGCAATCTCTACTGTGGGAAAGAAGATGGCTGTGTGCCAGTGAAGCACAACTTGAGTGTCTCAGAGGTCAAGTTGACACCCTCTCGCTTTGCAGGCACAGACAAGGATGCTTGCATTGTCAAGAATGCAGAAGTCGAGATATCAATGTTGCGACAGTCTCCTGCTCTGTTGGGTGCCACAGTTGATGATACTTTGGCTTGCATCAGTAGTTGTCCATTGGATGACTCGACCTTGCAGCCCAGCCCATTGTGTGTGCTGGAAAGTTGCACTAGCAGCTTGGCCAAGTGCCTCTTTTCTTCCAGCTGCCGCGATGGCGTGATGTGCGAGATGAAATGCACGGAGCCTTTGGCGAAGACAGAGGAGGCCGTGCACTTCGCTGGATTGATGGAGTGCATGCGAGTGCATTGCCCAGGCTTCCCACCCAAGAAGAGCTGTGCAGCACTGCATTGCAGTGTTGAGGCGGCTAGCTGTGCAGTGCATTCCAAGTGCCGACACACCTTGGAGTGTGCGGACAAATGCGTGCCTGACAAGTACACTGCTGCATTGACAGCAACGGATTTGCCCATGCCACAGGAAGCCGTGGTCAAGACCTCAATGTTGCGACAGTCTCCTGCTCTGTTGGGTGCCACAGTTGATGATACTTTGGCTTGCATCAGTAGTTGTCCATTGGATGACTCGACCTTGCAGCCCAGCCCATTGTGTGTGCTGGAAAGTTGCACTAGCAACTTGGCCAAGTGCCTCTTTTCTTCCAGCTGCCGCGATGGCGTGATGTGCGAGATGAAATGCACGGAGCCTTTGGCGAAGACAGAGGAGGCCGTGCACTTCGCTGGATTGATGGAGTGCATGCGAGTGCATTGCCCAGGCTTCCCACCCAAGAAGAGCTGTGCAGCACTGCATTGCAGTGTTGAGGCGGCTAGCTGTGCAGTGCATTCCAAGTGCCGACACACCTTGGAGTGTGCGGACAAATGCGTGCCTGACAAGTACACTGCTGCATTGACAGCAACGGATTTGCCCATGCCACAGGAAGCTGTGGTCAAGACCTCAATGTTGCGACAGTCTCCTGCTCTGTTGGGTGCCACAGTTGATGATACTTTGGCTTGCATCAGTAGTTGTCCTTTGGATGACTCGACCTTGCAGCCCAGCCCATTGTGTGTGCTGGAAAGTTGCACTAGCAACTTGGCCAAGTGCCTCTTTTCTTCCAGCTGCCGCGATGGCGTGATGTGCGAGATGAAATGCACGGAGCCTTTGGCGAAGACAGAGGAGGCCGTGCACTTCGCTGGATTGATGGAGTGCATGCGAGTGCATTGCCCAGGCTTCCCACCCAAGAAGAGCTGTGCAGCACTGCATTGCAGTGTTGAGGCGGCTAGCTGTGCAGTGCATTCCAAGTGCCGACACACCTTGGAGTGTGCGGACAAATGCGTGCCTGACAAGTACACTGCTGCATTGACAGCAACGGATTTGCCCATGCCACAGGAAGCCGTGGTCAAGACCTCAATGTTGCGACAGTCTCCTGCTCTGTTGGGTGCCACAGTTGATGATACTTTGGCTTGCATCAGTAGTTGTCCTTTGGATGACTCGACCTTGCAGCCCAGCCCATTGTGTGTGCTGGAAAGTTGCACTAGCAACTTGGCCAAGTGCCTCTTTTCTTCCAGCTGCCGCGATGGCGTGATGTGCGAGATGAAATGCACGGAGCCTTTGGCGAAGACAGAGGAGGCCGTGCACTTCGCTGGATTGATGGAGTGCATGCGAGTGCATTGCCCAGGCTTCCCACCCAAGAAGAGCTGTGCAGCACTGCATTGCAGTGTTGAGGCGGCTAGCTGTGCAGTGCATTCCAAGTGCCGACACACCTTGGAGTGTGCGGACAAATGCGTGCCTGACAAGTACACTGCTGCGTTGACAGCAACGGATTTGCCCATGCCACAGGAAGCTGTGGTGTGAAGTCCCGGCCCTCCGCCAGCCCACTCGCTTTACATTTTGCACTGATTCCAGACTGGCAAGGGCCAGTCTGGAAACGTTCTGCAGGAGAAAAAATGTACCAGTATTGGAGCGTAGCGCAACCTAGAAGGTCAGCTGAAATCTACTGGAATCCGTTGTGAATCAAGCTGCCACATGGTCCCCCAAGCATAGAGATGGATCAAGCTTGGGGGCCCAACATGGATCAACCAATCATCCAGTGCTCAAGACCACCTCAGGCTCCTAAAGCGGCCAGCGAAGGAGGCGCTGTTGGCAGCCTTGGCACCACAAGACTGGGCTAAACATCTTAGTTCTTTGAGCCGTCCCTCAGATGATCTCAGATGTTCAGTGCTCGAATACAGGATGAGCTGCATCATAATGCATCATAATGCATCCCATGTTTGACAGATAAGATTCCATTGGAGTTTTGCACCTGATCAAATCCATCCTGGTGGGTGATTTGAGCATATTTGAGCCATTGAATGCCATGGATGCCTCCCACAGAACTCCCCGAACTCTGAGGCTTGGCCTGGAACAAGGCTGTTTCGGTCCGACTTGGTGGTGCCATGCCACTGAGACCAGTCCCCGGCGACTTTGTGTGGGATGGGAACCTTGGCATATCTTGGGATCAAAGAATGTCAAGGATCAGAACCGAAAATTTCGCGGATATTGAAAGATCATGAAGATTCATCAAGAATCATTGAAGTACATGTAGCCTACTTCAGGATGTCACAATGATCAAGATGGCCGGTTCATGCCGGTTCTTGGTTCCCCACATCATTGTGTCCGTCCCGCCCGCCTCCTCAGCGTCACCCACAACTCTTTCACACCCAACTTTGTTGCACACAACTCTCTCACACACACACAACTTTGTCACACACAACTTGGCACTTGGTGACATCGACGTCACTTCTGTGTGGCAAGCAATATAATAATATTATATTATATAATATTATGTAATATTATATATATGTACATTATTATACATACAGTTATTTATTATGTGCGTACGCAAGCAATGAGATTGACATAGATCATGTTGAGGCCAACAATAGGTTGTTGGTTTTTGCTATATGTTTATCCCTGGATTTCCATTCAGGAAAGCTGGAGAACCTCGACCAGTGACGGCCAAAGAGGTGAGCGAAGATCGGTGGCACTTGAGTGATGTGGTCCTTCCCTTGCCGCTGCCGGGGAAACCCGTCCCAGAGAGTGGCGGGCGCCTTTTGATGGAGGCATCGAAATTCACGGATGGCATCCCATTGCATCCCCAAGTCCGCTATGATGAATTTAAGGAAAAATATGGAAAGATGGTGAAAGATGGTGAAAGATGGTGAAAGATGCAAAGCTTGGGATGCTTCAGTGACGGTTGTTCTTTGAGACGTAGCCCAAAGCCGTGGGAGCCTTCAGATCTCAGCTGGGTAAAGTCCCCATCAGTGATACGCCTACGCTCATCAATGATGCCCAGTTATCGATAATATTTTTTTCATATATTATTATATTGTTTTAATATATATATATAATTCTATATGCAGAGTAGGTACAACATGGCAGAATATGGTAGAATATGGTAGACTGATGTAGAAAGATGTAGAATGCCATCAGCCAAATGATGGTTTGCTTCAAGGCCGTGCTGCGAGACTTCGTTCCCGGCGAGGATGCCGCAGCTGAAATTCCACTGAAGTTGGAGCAGATGATGCCACGGGTGCGGCACATCGTGAGCATCCCAGCAGACATGACTTGGGAGACCTTCCTGCATTGCTGAGCAGCACCGTGCCATACCGTGCTATTCTGGGGGAACCTCACAACAATGTCACCATAAATGATGGATATGTGTAAAAACTCCTGCAGTAAAACCATGTAGTGTATATATCATCGATCTACTCTGTAGCGTTGGTTCAAAAGAGCTAGCTGCTTAGCGGTTTGTATTGCATTTTACCCCATTTCCGGTTGACCTGGTAAAATACAGGTTATCAGCCGTAGTCTCACTACTTTGCTATGGGGACCCCAACTGACCTATCTCTCGCCGTTCCAGGGTCAGGTCCATCGGCTGTCGCTGTGCCCAATGTGGCCGGGGGCAACCCCGAGCCGATGGATGACGAAACAATGTTCCAACCCGTTGTAGCGTACTTCACCTTCATACAAAACAACCTTTCCCAAATCACCAGTGGGAACACCCTGCAAGTCATGAGGGAAGCTGAACAGAGGCACCTTCAGATAATGCATGGAGTAGTTGACTCAATTCGAAACGAATGGTCAAGTAGGCTCGTAATGCAGGAGCAGGAGTATGAGCAAAGGTTGCAGGAGGTTGAAGGTAAGGCCATCAGTGCCGTCAACGAGGAAAGGAAACGAGGCGACGAGTTAGAGGTCAGGTTAAATCAGGCTCAGGCATCGCATGACAAGAGAGTAGAGGATTTCAAGGTAGAGGCAAACACAAAGCATGATCAGAAAATTGCAGAGGAAAGGCAACGTATCACTAGTGAATTCGAAGCTTCCTATGCACAGACCGTTGAACATGCTAAGAATGCCATAGCTGCCACAAAGAAGCAATATGAAGATCAGGCTGCAATTGATCAGGCCAGGCTCATCAGTTTGAGGACCGAGTTCGAGAACTACAAGAAGGAGATGGCCGACAAGATCAACGAGGCAGCGGCTCAGAACCTTAGCCTTCAGGACCAAATCGATGACCTTCAGGAGCAGTTAAAGCATGTTGCTAAAGCGCAGCATGCCTCCGTTCCGAAAGCATCCGTCCAGAACGCTGAGCCGGCCGCTACCACTAGCGTGCCCCACTTCAATATTGCCACTCCCAAAGCATCCGACGCACAGGCTGCCAAAGGCAGTGATGAGCCGATTCATGAGTTGAAAACGCCTGCAGTGTTGGCACAGGAAGCAAAGGCCAAGTTGGATGAGCTGCTCAAAGGTGGCAGTCCCAAGCAAAAGCCGGCTGTCGGCAACGACCAGCCCCAATTGCCAACGCAGTCAGGGTTTTTCACCCCCACTGAAGCTATCAAAACTCCCCCAAATGACTCTCCTAAGAGCGTAACCAAGCAACAGCAAGTGATGGGTCCCTCAGATCTTATTGAATTGGTAAAAGCCTTAACCCAAAGGGAAGAAAAGGATAAGCCAAAAACTAAGGAGGCCGAAATCATCAAGCTGAACAACATGCCCGCTCCGGAGTCGTATAGGACTTGGAAAAATCATGTCAGGGATGAAGTGAAAAGCTGTTCAGATCGCCCGGATGAGGCATGGCTCTGGCTCAATGAGGTGTATGATCAAGAGTGCACCAGAGAGCAGTTGGAGAAGAAACTCCAAGATCCTGGAAAGTTCCTCACGCTGGATACAAAGTTATCAGCAGCGCTCACACGCTCAGCCGGAGGGGACCTCGCAACTAGGATCTTGAATTTCAAGAGCAGCAATCCCGAAAAGGCATCCAGGTCAGGGGAAGGTATGTTCTGCTCATGTTTGAGGACTACTTCAAGACATCAGAAGAAGCAGGTAGCCTTTACAGAGTAGAAGATCTTTTGGGTGTTGTCAAAGTAGGCGATACTGTCCAGGATCTCCGAAGATTCATCAACAAATGGGATGCTACCCTAGCTGGCATGGCTGTCACCCCCGATGATGCTGTGTTAAGGGACATCTTGTTGAGGCAGATCCGACCAAGTCAGTTGCTGAAATATGACATTGAGATGTTTGACCGTGCTCATGAGAAATCCCATGAAAAGTCTTATAGTTTTCTTCACCAATCCATGAAGAACTTGATCGACCGTGAACGATTGAGGGAGAACAGGAACCGCATCGCGGAGAAGAACAAGGCTGGGATCAAGGACACGAAGGCCGCACCCGCCAAAGGCGATGGTCGCGGTGGCCGAAAGGGCTCCCCAAGTCGTGGTAGATCGCAGGAACGAGGTGGCAAAGGTGACAAGATTTGCTATAAGTTCCAAAAGGGTACCTGTGATAAGGGGAAGAAATGTCCATTTAAGCATGTCAAGGATGACAAATCTCGAACTCAATCACCCAGAAGAACCAAAACACGTTCACCATCAAGGGGCAACAAAGATGATAAGGGGAAGAAAATGTCCAAGGAAGAAATGGCCAAAACCCCATGTATCTATCATGCCCAGGGAAAGTGCAGACGTGGTGACAAATGTTTTTATAAGCATGATGACAAAGCTGCTGCCGCCACCAAAGACACCAAAAGGGCCAATTCACCCGCTCCCAAGAAGAAGAGCAAGGATTCCACAGCCGCTCCATGCCTGATCCAGAAGTTCGCATGCATCGTCCGAAAACAGCCGAAGGCAACTTCGTGCTCTGATGAGTCAAGTGTCAGCATGAAGCGTCTTAGATTCCGAAAGGCCCCACATGTGATCGAGGTGAAAGCAGTTGGTCATCAAGTCCCAGTCAAGCACCGTCCAAGAGAGTTCACTAAGGTGTACAAGACAGCTGAAGACGTTCCAGTTTCATCCAAGGTTGAACAACATGAGGCTCAGGTTCGTGCAAGACAGCTTCAGGAAACTGTGAAACTTCATGATTCAGCTGTTGCACCTAGTTGTGGGTTTTGTTGTTGGAATGAGGATACACGTGACATCACATGCAAAGAGTGCAGGTTCATTAGCGGTCCCAAAGCTCTTAGAGACATTGGTCGTTTTCCGTCAATTGCCACAGCCGCGCCAAAGGCCGGTGTTAGTTGGCTTGTCGACTCAGGTAGTGAATCCGATCTTGTGTCCAAGGGTATGTTGAGGGATGTCAGCGCCAAGAACTGCCGTGCAGCCGAGCATCCGATTTCCTTAGTCACAGCCAACGGCTCGACTGAGGCCAATGAGGTTGCTGACGTCAAGTTGTCCGCATTGCCAGATCCTGTGCATCCGTATGTACTTGATCATACCCCAGCTGTGCTCTCCGTCCGAACGAGATGTGTAGATCAGGGTTACGGTTTTGTATGGCCTGCCAATGGCAAACCAATCCTAGTCCGTCCAGATGACAAGGTCGTCCAGCTCAAGATCGAAGGTCATGTCCCAATCTTGGATGATAGTTGCAAAGTTTATCCCAAAGATCAATTTCAAAAGGATAAGCACCTCAAAAAGTTGTTTGCAATGCCGACCTCACGGTCGAGCTCAAAAGCCAAGCGGGACGAAGCCCAAGATGAAGAGCAATTGGACGAGCTGGTGGAGGATGACGCTCAGCAGGAGTACATCCGAAGCCGCAAGACTGAGGATCTGTTGGCTGAAGCTGCAAGTACCCAACATCAGTACACGCATTTCCCCAAGAACCCCTTTTGCAGAACCTGCCAACGAGCAAGGATGATGGCACCTCAAGCACGAAAGAAAGGTGGTCAGAAGAGAATCGAAACCGAAGTGTTTGGTGACCACGTCATTGGGGATCATGTCATCATCAAGAAAAACGTAGAAGAGGGTTTCAGGGGGGAGCAAGTTGCGTTGGTGTTGAAAGATCTGCACACTCAATATCGGTATGTCTACCCTAGCCAATCCAAAGACTCACAAAGTTGTGTTGATGGCTTGAATCACTTCATTGGATCAAAGGATGATGTTCAAGTTGTGTATACTGACAATTCTCCAGAATTGATCAGGGCCATCAAGGATTTGGGTTACAGACACCAGACTTCCATTGAATATGTAGGTTCATCAAAGTCTTTTGCTGAGCGCGAAGTTCGTCAGATGTTGGAAGGTGCCCGGAGCAACTTGTTGCAATCAGGACTGCCTTTGAAAATGTGGCCCCTGGCCATGCAGCATCATGCGACCGCGATCAATGCAAGCCCCCAGCTTGACGGCAGTGAATCCCCATGGCAACTCAGGTTTGGTGAAGAGTTCCCTGCAATGCACATTCCATTTGGTGCCAAAGTGTTGTTCTGGAATAACCCCAAGAGGTTGGATAACACATCAGGTAAGCTCTCCCCAACAGCAAATGAAGGAATTTTCCTTGGGTATTACATCCAACCAGGTCATGATTGGAAGGGTGAATATTTAGTTGCCAAGTTGGAAGCCGCAGATTATCATGTCAACTGGGTGCACTGACAATCCAAAGAACAAAGAGGTTGGAATTGCCATCCGAGGGTTTCATCTTTCCTTTGAAAGCTCTGATTGACTCGAAAGCACCCAAAGCCGATCGCCTCGAGGACCAGGTCATTCCGAAGACACCCAAAGCTGTGCCTCTTGAGTCCAGCTTGCATCCGCCACAAGATGAGTATGAATACGAGCCAGGAACGCCTCTACCAGCTGACAGCGATGTCGAGCCTGATGCACCCGAAGCGCCCGTATTTCCAGATCTCAAATTGACCCCCAAAGGTGAAATTATTCCAGATGGACATCATTGGGATGGTCACCGGATTGTACGTAACTACAAAGGTTCAAAGCGTCCGGAGGGGATCGACTCAGAACTGTGGAAGATGTTAGGACCCCAAGATAGGAAGTTGATCATCGAGGAAGAAGCAAAGAAAGCAGCCAAGGAGCAGGAGGAAAAGCCAGCATCGTCATCTGGCAGCAAGGGCAAAAAGAAGAAATCTTCACCGGCCCGGCTTGAGGCAACTCAATGCCCTCCTGCAACTGCAAAGCTCGTAGGCAATGTTTGGGAAATTATTCCAGCCACTTCCCAAAAGTTTTCCGTGCCGGCAATGCCAAAAGTTGCCGCGCCTGCCACAATTGAGCACCGGCCTCGAATTAGAGAGCTCGTCAGAGAGAAGATCAAGGAACTTGAGTTCAAGGTCGCACTCGAGCTTTTCGCTTCAGTTGC